ATTTAAATAACCTAAATATTTTTTATCTTGGACAGAAAATTTTCTAAAAAAATGAAACCAAGTAAATTTTTTATAGTATTATGCACCCGCATTTAATATATTTTAATTTATACACTTAAACAATATTCTCACAGACAACAATCTTTATTATTCTGCATGGCTCAAAAAAAAGTCTCAAAAAAAGACAAATTAAATGACATTATAAATAGAGAAATGATGTAGTATAAAAGTTTAATTTATTTTTTAGATAAATATTTGATAAGAATTTGAATAGTGAGTGTCTCACAGTTTTATCTCTCTCCTTTTTCAGCCTCAAGGAGTAGATAAATTCAAGTTTCAATATTTTGATTTAGCTCTTCCACTTTTCGCGTTTTGCTTTTTACTTTTTGTTTTGGCACACCACTAGTGTTGATGTTGTTTTAACATTGAAAATAGACACATGCAGTTATTTTCTTAAAAACACGCAATTCTAAAAATAGTCAGCTTTTTTGTTTAAAAATTTAAGAACAAAAGTTTATATTACATATAAAAAAATTGTAAGGAAAAAATGACGTAGGGACGAAAATTATTATTGTATTTTAACGTTTATTTATAAATTTTAATTTTAAAGTTCTTATTATCTAAAGTCATTTTCTTTAGTCATTTTCTAAAGGATAGATAAATGAAGTTTAAAAAATTCGTATATAAAAAAATTCGTAATATATATAAATAAAATAAAAACGTATATAATAAAGAATAAAATCATATTTTCTTTAAATTTTTAATTATATTCAACAGTTCTTTCAACATTACCCCCATTATCTCCCTGTCAATAAATACACAGTAGCCCAATTAACATCACCAAAAGTTGCTATAAGTGCTAAAAAATAATTATAAAAATAAATTTTATATAAACAAAAACTTGCCTTGCAGATTTGCCTGTCGATTTGTAAAACCCATTGCGGCTAACTGATCAAGTTGTTGACTGTAACGCTCTTCAGGGGTTTAGCTCTTCACAAGCCTTATGTTATTATATAATTCTATTATTATTAATAACAAAATGAAACATAACATAAATATTTTCATTTTAGAATTAATTTAAATTTAAATTCAATAAGTTGATTGTTATTCACAAATTTGTATATTGTGTTTGTTTTATTTGATGATTTTATTTGATGATTTTATTTGATGATTTTGACACGTTTCTCTTACCAATTTAAAATTTATTTTTTTTAAATAATTTTCTTCTCTTCCTTAACTTTATTTTTTAATAGATAAAGCGTGATTAAAAATTATGTTTGTAATGTTACTCTATTAATGTTTTATTCCTTCCTCGTTTATTCTCCTTCCCCATAGTTGGACAACCCTCCCGTAATTGTTGGACAACCTTTGCGTAGTCGGAATAGCCTTTCCTGTATTTTTAATAACTGGGGCTCAGATTTTTTGATTGTAACTAGAGTTGGAAAAACTGAAAGGGAGAAATTACGTAGAGACTAAAATTATCATTGTATTTCAACTTTTAGTTACAAATTTAAATTTTAAAATTAAAGTACTTATTATTTAAACAAATTTTTAATTTACATGTGTAAATAACAGAGAACGTGCCGTCCAGTTCCCCAAGATAATTTATTTTTTTATGTCAGCACGTTCCCCAGTATATAGAATAATATATTAAAGATTTAAACTTTATTTTTGTCTTCTAAAGGATAGATAAATGAAGTTTAAAAAGATTTTTTAATAAAAACGTATATAATAAAGAATAAAATCATTTTTTCTTTTATTTTTTATAATTATATTCAATCAGTTCTTTCAACATTACCCCCATTATCATTAGGAGAATCACCCCCTCCCGGTGAAAGTCCACCTGCCAATAAGCGTTCAATAGCCATATTAATATCCCCAAAACTTGCTAGAAGTGCTAAAAAAATAATTATAAGAATAAATTTTATAAAAACAAAATTTTACCTTGTACATTTGCCTGTTGGTCTGTAAAACCCATCGCTGTTAACTGTTCAAGTTGTGGGCGGTAACGCTCTTCAGGGGGCTGGCGATCGGCGGCTCCAGTATTACCAGCATTTTGCAGCTTAAGAAAATTTTCTTATTAAAGTCAAAAAAGTGTTAAAATTAATTACATTCCCAACATTCATCAATGCAATAGACCCCAACAATTCAGCAAAACCAGCAGGAATAGCGGTATTTTGAGAGGTAGCATTTGCAGTAGGCTGAACAGCAGGACTAGAAAATAATTAAATAAAGAAAAAACAATGAAAACATAAAATTTACCCTTGTGGAGTTGTTGAATTTGTTCCTTGTTGTACTCCAGTTGCAGCGCTTGCTTCACTTGTTGGTGGCTGATTTTGCTGATTGACAGAGCCCAAAATTCCTCCCAGATTTCGAAACATATCACCACCTCTGAAAAATATTTAAAAAAAGCAAATAAATGAACCCTTTCTAACCAACTCCTAACCAAAAAAATAAAAAAAAAACTCACAACATTGAGGAAAAAAGTTGAGGGCATTCCTCATTAAGCACTTGCATAGCTTGATGCATTTGTGTCATAGCAGTGAAAACTCGAGGATTTCCCATTGCTTGAAAAAGTTGTGGATTTGCATTAGTCATAAGTGATCGCATTTGTTCTGCCATTGCGGGGTTTCCAATCATTTGCCCAAATTGCTGCATATTTGCTGAACTAAGCAAGGATTCAACCGTTGACGAGTTGGAAAGTACTTGACGCATTAAACTTTGCATACCAGGTGTATTCATCATAGCTTTAAAAATAATTTTAAACGATAAAAAGCTATTTAAACATACCAAATGGAGATCCAGCTGCGCCTGCCGCTGCTCCAGCACCAGCTGTTCCTCCAGCGTTCTGCTGTGGCGGATTCACAACCCGAGACCAAGGATTGGGCAAAGCCTCTGCATTTTCCACTCCAGCATGTTGACTTCGTGAGGAAACTAAAATATGAAAATTTATTGGGATAAACAGTGGTAGGCATTTTAAACTCAAGTAAAAAGTCTTTCTTAAAGTACTTTTTAACATGGTTAGAAGATTAATTCTATGAGAATTTTGACAAAAATTTTGACCATTTTGAGAGCCATTTTGCGCTTGAGTATTATTCGCCGCATATTGACCAGTACCAGCATCACCAAGAACAGAATTCATCAAAGGTTCTTGGACTTCTTGATACATTCTATGAAGGGCTGCTTCGCCCCCAGGAATTCCCTAAAAAACAAAGATTTTAGAAATATCAAAAAACAATCTGAAAATATACTTGTATGTTACGGATAGCCTGGTCGTGATTTCGCATCAATTCATTAAACATATTCGGATTTTGAACCATTTCTAGAGTTTGCTGTATAATTCGAGGATCGTTAAGAATATGGCCCAAGTCTGGGTTGTTCTGGATTATTTGTTGAAATTGTGGGTTGTCAGCTAGTAAATTTCGCACCATATCTGTCATATTTGGGTTGCTCAGAAAACTATTAAAATAAAAAATTAATTTTCTGTGCATAAAAAACCAGGTAAATTTAACTTAAATTATCTAGTTCAATGAAAATAACAATAAAATTTAATACTTTTCAACAAGTGGACTGTTCATCATATCACGAACCATCGGATTGCTTAAAATCGCACCAATTCCACCAAATGGGCCAGCAGCGGGTGCGGAACCTGGAGCTCCAGCGGTTGCTGTTGTTTGTGATCCTGTTAAAGTTGAAGAAGCAGATGAAGGAGTAGACTCGCGTGATGAAGTTGTTGGAGGATTTTTAATAACCATATGAATAACCATTCCTGAAAGAGAAAGATGCAAAACCAATTAAAGAAATATAAATTTAAATCCAGTTTTGAATATATGTAATGTATTAGAAAAGGATTTTGAAAAATACTTGTATAGTCCGTCTTTATAAACAAATAAATTTATAAAAAATAAAGGTAAAATTGAACTCCGTTCCCCCTTTTTCCTCAAAATGTTTTAAACGGTCTATTGCTTTAAAATTTTTGAATAGTGCGAACCTATTGGAAATAGAAGTACACCCAAGGATTTGGTAGAATATTGGTAGTAATTAATTAATATTGGTAGCAGAACGGGAATTATAGCCACAGAATAATGTTTGTGCTCCGTTTTAAGTTTGACCATTTTTATTATTTCGAGGAAAAAAGGGGAGAGGGAAAGAAGTACCACATTACCAAAATAAATATTAAAAAAACTAACCATCAACGATTTTGTGCTCCTTCAATGTCTCATGATCTTTAAGAATTTTACCAGAAAATATTAAACAAATTTTTTCTGTCGGTTGATTGATTTTCTCAGAAAGTTGTATTTTCAACTAAAAATTTAAAGAAAATATAATTTAATAACAAAGAAATTACCTTTTCAATGTTTGTATTTTCACGAACATTTAATTGGTATGTTTCTTTAATTGTTTTGACTTTAAGCTCGATAAGCTGAACAGTTTCATCTTCGCTTGCAGAATCAGTCATCTTCAAGAATAAATAAAAATCTGAATAAAAAACCCCTCAAAATTGATTAAAAAAATAAAATTATCGGTTTCGTTTCAAAATAATAATTACAGAACACAAAATTCGTTTCGAAACGAATTAATATTCTCTTTTCTCTCTTTCTCTCATGTTCTCTTCTTTTCTGTACTATTTCGTTTTTAATTTCTTTTTTTATTAAATGAAAATTTAAAATACGTTGAAGTTGACGTCAAATAATCCACAACTACCCAATTATATTTATGCAAATACTTTTTTTTCTTCATAAGTGCAAATTTCGAGAACATTTTTATTTCCGTTCCTATCAATGAGGAGGTTTTAGTTTTGGGACCGTCAGTATTTATTTTTGTCGGCTTGAGACTTTTCTCACTTTGTTGTCTATTGCCACATTTTTGTAAATTCTCTCTTTATTTAGATTTTCCATTAGAAATTAAATTTTAACGTTAACTTTTAAAAGAAGACATTGGAAATTTTTGACTTTCAGAGAATTCTTCATCCTTTCCTCTTCTCTAATTTTTAATTAAACTTTTAGATGTTTAAAGAAATATTATTTTTGTGTATTTTATTAAAATTTGCTTCAATAGCAACCTCAAGTGATGTTCTTGTGTATACCGATGCCAATTTTGACAAAGAAATAAAGAAACACGACGTTGCTTTAGTTGAATTTTATGCTCCGTGGTGTGGACATTGCAAAAAGGTATTTTAGAATAATAATCTCTTTGTTTTTAACGGAAAATTTTGTTAGTTAGCTCCTGATTATGAAAAGGCTGCTACTAAACTGAAGAACAATGACCCGCCGATTATTCTAATTAAGGTTTGGAATAGATTATTTACTTTCTAACCTTATATACTTTCAAGGTTGATTGCACAGCGGAGAAGGCGACTTGTGATAAATTTGGAGTAGGGGGTTTTCCAACACTTAAAATCTTCAGACATGGCGATGTCGCGTCGGAGTATGATGGTCCACGTGAAGCTGAAGGAATTGTTAAGGTAATTTTTGAATAAGATTGTTAAAACGAAATGAAAATTTATTTGTAAAATTTTTAGTATATGCGAGGACAATCTGGCCCAAGCTCAAAGGAGTTGAAAACTGTTAAAGAATTTGAGAAGTTTATTGATAGTGATGACGTCAGTGTTATTGGATTCTTTGATGATGAAAACAGCAAACTTAAAGATTCGTACCAGAAGGTTGCCGATACTGAAAGGGATAGATTTCGCTTTGCTCACTCTTTGGCTAAAGATGTGCTCAAAAAGACTGGATACACCGAGTATGTTTTTAGAAAAATTTATTTTAAATATCTAAATATAAACACAAATGTTCAAAATAGAATATAGGTATCTTGCCAAAGTCGCGTAAAACTTATTTTTAGCGCCGCGTGCCATTATATCCAAATTATTTCTCTTCCTTTTCCTGTTCAATTTTTTGGCAAAATTGTTGTTTTCAGTCCGTCTTTTTCTCTCCCAAGTTTTTGCCTCTGAATTTATAGAATGGTCAGACTTTATTTTCTCCCTTCTTTTTCCTCTTTTGTATTTTGCCAACGGTTTTTCCGTTTTGGAAGGATGAAGGGAAGGAAAATCTGAACATTCTCGTCTTTTTCTTTTTCTATATAGCATAGCAGATCAAAATAGGCAAGGGCTAACTGTTATAATAGTGAAAAAACTTGGGGTGTAAAAATGTGGCTCCGAATTTTTTCGTAATTGTAATCCAAAAACGGTTGTAATTCGTAGAATCTAACCCTGAACTCTGTTAGATTCTTCATCATAGATTTACTAAAAGGTCAGCATGAGGAATAAAAGTAAAGTAATTAATTTATTTAGAGTAAATTTTTTAATGTAATTCATTTCACTGATTTTTGGTCTAACGGTAGAAAAATGATGAAATCTACCTCCACTTTTATTAGTTAAAAATTTTTTGAAAGTTATTCCCTTATACACACATAGTATTTCATAATTTATATGTATGTATTTTTCACTACTATCTCTAGTTCTTTTTATTTTAAAATATAACAGATTTTCACTTTTTGTTTTCATCAATTGTAACCCCCCCCCCCCGATAATGCTTTTCTAATCTCGTCAGCTGGTTGTTACCAAAACAACTAGTAGTTCTTCATATCTCTAATCTCTCTTTATGTTTACTGTTAAGTACCGTATCAATTTTATTATACAAGGCTGCGTTTGGGCTTTGCTAACACAGCCGTGAATTATTTTTCAAATTCTTTACATCCATTCACATCGAATAGTATTGATTTCCGATAGCGGCCGCCCTTTCCTTTAACATTTTTCATTTTCCAACCATTTATAAAGACAGCCTACTCTTCAATATTCACTTTACTGATGGTGGTTCTTTTAGTAAAACCAGCTTTATATTCTTTTAAAGTCGACGGTTGGATGTTTGTCTTCGTTTTAGTTTTGTTTTTCTAACAAAGTAGTATTCAACTGAGAGTTGTATTTTTCATAAATATTGAATGTGGTTGTAATTCTGTTTTTCTGAGTCTAGTTTGACGTTTATTTATAAAGGTATGTAACTTGTAAAAAATTATATATAGGATTATAAAGTAAATCCTAACTTTAACGCATTACATCTTTTCTAAAGTCAGCTTTAAAATTTAATTTTTGAATTACAGTCTTTACTTTCGATAAGATATTAATCCTTTTTTTCATTGGTTTCCTAGCCATCTGGTACTAAAAGTATCTGGAAAACTAATTTTTCTATTAAAGTTTACTCGGATCTTGTTGAAATCTTTGTATTTTCTAGCAAGAGCTTGTTTATCGTCAGACAATTCACTGCCATCTTCGATAAGACTGACAGATTGTTAGATTGCTTTTCGGAAATATGGTAGATTTTGACATATGCATATCTGCTGTATTGAAAATAGTTCTGCTATAATCATTATAGTTTTAACGAATGTGTATAAATGTTGGGTCGATAACTTGTTAAAATTGGCTATCTTTTGAAAATTCTTAATTATCATCTGATTTCGTTTCTTGAACTTTTATTCGTCTTAGTGTCGAGTGTGTCTTAACAAAGGTAGCACGAGAATATAGACTAAATTTCTATATTCACTTAATTCAAAATAATAATTCTCCTTTTTGTTAAACTTTGTTTTTTATCTGAAAATTCTTTTTCGGTTCGGTTCTGCCACACCCCTCCCATATATTCGCAAGATATATTTTATATTTTTCCTTCATACGTACAAAATGGTCAGACTTCCTCCATTTTATGGGGAAATTGATTGAAGGGAAAACTTAGTAAAAAATAATCTTTTCGTTATTAATGTCTCTCATTGAACATGCTACAGGGAAAATTGAGTGATAAAGGAGAAATTTACATAGGAAGTAAAAATATAAAATATGTATAACCTGCGAATATATGGGAGAGGTGTGTCGGAACCGAAAAGTGCCGAAAAATTATACAAAATTTATAATTTTTATGAAATATCTTTGTAGTAGCATAACAACCGCTACAAAATTGGTGCAACTGCCGGGAATCGAACCCGGGCACCCGCGTAGCAGGCGAGCATTCTACCACTGAACCACATTTTCTATGACGGGTGGTTTTCCAGATTTTCGGTAATTTATGATTCCCTGAAGGTTTATTCAAAAATGACGAATATATTCATCAGTTTTTCATGTGAACTAAGTTTTCTAGTTCAGATTTTGTATCATTTCCCAATCACTGATTTTTCTTGGCATTTTCTTCTGTTATGCGTTTATCTCACCAACACCCGTTGTATTCTGGCGATAGCTAACTTGTGATCACTTAATCAGTATTGATTTATCAACTAATATTTATTCTTGCGTATTTTTGATACTAGGCGTGTTTCTGATAAGTTAACCTCTACTATGCACGGCTGTAAATTCCTTATATTTTATCTACATTTTATGTTAGTAAATTAATTAAACATAACCCACTTTAGTATGTTAGATTCATAACAAAGTTTTGATCTTAACAGTTTCGTTTAGTCTTTGTTTTTCATTATTTAATAGTTATTATATAATATTTCATTTGTTTCCCCATTTATTGTTGGATAATTCCTTAAAAATTAACCTTATAGCTTTGTGATAGCCAACTTGTGATCATTTATTAATTCTAATTAAAAAACAATGTAAGGACTAATCCAGGTCAAAACCGACTTGTGCTTCATCTCAAAATATTGATAACAAACAATGAGCCAAGCTGTCAAATGATCCATCATTATCTTTTTCAATGCTTCATAGAGCGATGTAGTTTTTACGCTTGCTACTCTTCGTCAGTGCAAAATTATGTTTATGCTAAATTGCATCTTTTTCCATTGCCTAGTTTTAAGCTAGATTAACTTTGAAAACATTCGTTAGTATTGCTTTTCAACCTATCGAGTTACAATCACATGTGTTACAATCTCACTTTTTTCTCAACATGTACATTCACCAATTTAAATGACATTGGAGAATAATATCTGGGTATTTATTATAGCAAATTTGAAATTGAATTTAAAAATACGTATAAATTAAATTGAATTTGAATTAAAAATTCGCTATTGGTACAAGTCGTTTTGCGTCGTGCGACTTTAGATATTCAGAATAGATATCATTGAGAATGTCTTTCCTTTTGAATGTTACTTTTAATCGCCAGACGCTTTTTGTGAAAATATGGCATGAAATTTTCTAAATGAAATTTTCTAAAATCTGAAACATTCCAATAAAATCAACTTGAGAATCGGAAAAAATCGGAAAAGTATTTTTAAAATTTATCAGTGGTTTTGATTAACGCATTTTTGTTTCCCTCTTTGGATGTTAAGTTTAAGTATTAGACTTGTTAAACCCACAACACGTTTAAAATTTAACTTGATGGATATGTTTTGTCTGCTAAAAATGCTAAGCACGGTTAAAAACGTTTCTCATTGATAGTGTAGTGATTTGCCTTAGAGAAATTTTTTAAAGTTTTGATAGAAAATGACAAGAGACACATGTTAATATTTAAAAGTTGATAAGAATATGTATATCAAATCAGACCTGTGAATGGACACGGATTTTCATATCCGTATCCTGATATTTACGGCGGATACAGCCGGATATCCCAGGCATCTTAGATATTATTTGTATCCGTATCCATGCACAGGTCTGTATTAATTATTAAACTAATTACATAATTTATGATCTATTACATTTTAAAAGAAGTCAAATATTTATTTATATTTGAAAAATGTTAAAATTAATCTTGCACTTTGTAAAATTATATTTAATTTTTTTACCAATTTATCTTTTTGAAATTACTTATGTTAAAACAAATAATTCGCTTAAAAATAATTTAAACAAATTTATCTTTTAACTTTTATTTCAGTGATATTGTTGTATACGTTCCTAAGAAGCTACACAATAAATTTGAGCCTTCATTCTTCCATTATGACGGCAATTATGATACTGACAAAATCAAGAACTTTTTGGTTCAAGAAACGTAATTTTTAACATTAATTTCTAAAATATGTTTTCTGTATTTTGCGTTGAAAATCTTTGTTTATAATCAACCTTAATTTTACAGGAATGGACTTTGTGCGATTCGTACACAAGGCAACCTCTTTCAATTTACACAGCGTCCACAGATTGTTGTCTATTACAACGTTGATTATGCCAGAGATCCTAAAGGCTCGAATTACTGGCGCAATCGTGTGTTAAAGGTTGCACAAGACTACAAACGAAAAGCATTCTTTGCTGTCAGCAACAAAGACGAATTCTCTAATGTAAGGGATAAGAGTGTTGATATTTTGATTTCATTTTTTTAGGAAATTGAACAAAATGGTCTTGCCGACAGAAAAGAAAGTGATAAACCTTTGGTTGCTGCTTTTACGGATGATGGGAAATTTCCAATGAATAAGGAATTTAGGTGTGATTAAATTTAAGTAATGTTTCAACAATATTCGAATTCTTTAGTGTTGAAAACTTGAAGCAATTTGTTGATGATCTCTTGGCCAACAAGCTTGAGCCGTACATGAAGAGCGAACCTGTGCCAACGGAACAAGGCGATCTTAAAGTTGTAGTTGCTAAGAACTTCAAGGAGTTGGTGACAGATTCTGACAAGGATGTCTTGATTGAATTGTAAATTTATGCTTAGAGTTTGATAGATATATTCTTTTATAGTTACGCTCCTTGGTGTGGTCATTGTAAGAGTCTCGCTCCCAAATATGAACAACTTGCTGAAAAGGTAGGATAGTTCACTTTGTGATTGTTACTACCTTTATCATTATAAGAACTAAGTAAACTATTGGAATTTTAATTAATATGTATTTGTTCAATTACTAACTAATATTTTAAAACATTTGTAGTTGGCCAAAGAGGATGTGGTCATTGCCAAGTGTGACGCAACAGCAAGTGAGTTTTAATATAAAATTTACTTTTATTTTAGAAATTAAAATTGTAATAGAAGGTATACACTCGACCTAAATTTTAGATAGCTTAAAATTAGCTTTTAGATAGCTTAAATTTATTTTTAAATTTTGTTGACCATACGATATCCTGGTTAGCCACTTAAGCTACCCCAATTTAAGTTACTCATTATAAGGTAGTACGAGTTCCTTAGTCCTAAAGGATACCTAAAAGTGAGGGTCGACTACTAAATAGTCTTCAAACTGGCAGTAGGGAATCACTGAGGATCAGTGTGTTGAGTACTTATTTTTGTTGCAACTTAATAATTTCTATTTTTTTAGATGATGTTCCACCGAGATTCGATGTCAAAGGGTTACTTATTTACTTATTTGTCCATATATTAATCAGGATATTTTTAGATTTCCTACCATCTTTTGGGTTCCAAAGAATGACAAAGAGAATCCCGTACCGTATCAAGGAGGACGTGAAGTGAATGACTTTATCAAGTTCATTGCTGAACATGCAACAGATCCATTGAAAGGCTATGGCCGTGATGGCAAGAAGAAGAAAGCAAAGAAGGCAGATGATAAGAAGCCAAGTGATGAACTGTAATTGAATTTTTTGGAAGAATTTGTGGCAAAAATATTTAAAATGGTTTATTCACTATTCTTTAAAATTATTTTTTTAATTGAAAGGAAATTTTTGATTTAAAAATTTTAAAAATTTTTTTGAATTCCCTAAATTCTGATTTTATTGGAAAAATTTTTTTTAAACAAATTTCCTCTCAAAAAAGCTTTTCTGCTTACATTATTTATTTTTTAAACTTAAATGATAGGGTGGCTTTTCCAAATACCTAAAATATTTATTTGTAAAATCTTTTCTGCTTAAATATTTTTTCCATTACTTTAAGTTAAATCTTCTGATTTCAAGACTTTTTTCCATAATTTTAAAATACCGTGCCTTTATCCAGGCTTTGTTAATTCTATTTCTTTATAAAATAATTTGTTTTGATGTATTTCTATATTTTTAATTAAAATAAAATTGTTAATTAATATTTTGTCGAGAATTTTTTGTGGGATGTGGGTAGGAATAGAATTTTGAATTTAGCGCGTTTTTGGCAATCTACAAGTTGGTATTTTACGTTAAGATTTTTTGATCGATTTTGTGAAACTATTTTTGCCGTGTTCTTTAGAGAGTAGTTTGTATGTTCTTTTGAACTAATTCTGCTTTATCCTTTCGAGTTTTAGTTTGGTTTTCAGAATTTTTATTTTTACCATCCATTCAAGTCTGAACAAGATATGTATTTGTGTGTAGTGGTAAGTTTTGCACAATCCTGAATTGCAGATTTTCAAATAACTTTAACCCTGTTCTTAATGCTTAACTACACATATCTTTTGTGGGACTGTATAATACATAATTCTTTATTAATTGAGAATTTCTTCCACGTAGTTTAGTCATTGTTAAAGATTTAGTTAAATACTTGACTCGATTTTCTTGGCGTTTTCGGCAATTTTTCCCTAATTTTTTTACATTTTTTGATAATTTTAACATATCCTCTATATTCCGGATGTTCTAGACAGTTTATGATCATTTCAGAACGTTAGGCATTCGGAACTTAGGTATTGAATTCAAAGTCATGTGAATTATCGATTTTTTTCGATGGTAAACGTTGCTCTAAATTATTCATCTTAAACATCCTCTATCGAACTAAAGTAACATTTATTGTTAATCCAAACATTAAAATAACATTCTGAATGCCTAATAATGTTCGATCTAATCTATTCAAGTCTAATTTCCCTCGTTTTTTGTCGAAAAAAGTAAAAATTTTCAATTGCCGATCCAATTTGGTGGGATGTTTTTCGATTAAAATTTTTGGCATAATGTCAATTTTTAAGATTGACAAATTATAATGAGCAGTTCTGATTCATCTGATAATGAACTTATTGATGATGAGATTTCGCAAGAGCCATTAGAACCTAAAAAGGCTATTGAAAAGATCCTTTCTTGGCGGTGGGTTGAGCGAAAGAAGAAAAATATTATTCAATCAAGTGACGAAGATAATGAAGAACAAGATGATGATAAAAATAGTATAGATGGGGATGTTTATCGTGATCGTGAATTCTTTATCAAATGGAAATATATGAGCTATTGGTGAGGTTTTTTAAATTTTTTATAAAGCTTTGACTTTTTAAAGTAATAGTTTATTTTTAATTCTGAAATCTTAATCGCGTTTATTTTAATTTATTTCTCTTGTTACTTAAGGCGTTGTGAATGGGTTAATGAAGATGTGTTGGAACAGAATTACAAACAAGCACTTCGAAATTATTGGAGACGGATGGATCCGAATGTACCGCCTGAAGTGGATGATGGTTCACACGAGGATTTAATTACGGGCAAAATCGACGACAAGGAAAAGGTTTTTCGTTTTAAGAGTTGTTTTCGGGTTACTCTGAAATAAAATGAGTTGTTAATACTTCGGTATAGCATTAAGTAAATACATTTCGATTTGTTCATACAGTATTTGTTATCAAGTCCCTAAAAATAAATTCTTTAGGAAGATGATCCTCACAACATGGAGCAAAAATATTATCGATATGGAATTAAGCCAGAGTGGATGCAGGTTATTTTTATCAAATTCCATTTTACTAGGCATTTTAAGGTACATCGAGTGGTTAATCATGCGGAATATGAAGATAGTGAATTTGATTATCTTGTGAAGTGGCGTGAACTTTTGTATGATCAGACCACATGGGAACGTGATGATCTCGACATTCCTGGATATCAAGATGCTATTGCTAGATATTGGAAACATAGGTAATTTTGTTTTTGAACTTACCTTGGAATAGATTTATTTTTCTATCATTTTTAGAAAGCTAACAATCGGTGAACCTATTCCCAGAAGTGTTTTGGATAAAATGAAAAGGAATGCAGAAAAAGAAGATGGAGAAGCTTCCTCCTCTCCAAGTGGTGGAGATGATGAAGACGACGAAGATGAACATCATGTGAAAAAGAACTCGAGGCGAGATTGCAGCAAGCCTCTTTCTGAGGTTTGTTTTAAACAAAACATGATTTTAGACAATAATTCTCAAACTTTTTAGCTTAAAAAGAAGTATGAAAAACAACCAGATTATGTAGCTGAAACGGGCGGCACATTACATCAACATCAATTGGAAGGATTAAATTGGTTACGTCATTGTTGGGCTAACAAAAAGGATGCAATCTTGGCGGATGAAATGGGGCTGGGGAAGACAATACAGGTGTCTAGTGTTTATTCTTAATAATTTTTTCTTGAAATCATTCTTTCCAAAAATTTGGCATCATCCATGTTTACGGCAGATAAAAAATATTTCCCATTTTTCTTTGGGCTCATCCCAGGAGGTCTGGGCATTTAACCCAAGAGGTTTAAATGACCCTCAAGTCCCTATTGGTCAAATCCAAATAGACTGGGTTGTTGTTGTCTTTCTCCTGGGTTGATCCCTTTTCTTTAATTTTTCTATTTTCTTAAGTTCTAGTATTTTTCCTATTTTAGACTCTCGTTTTCCTTTATTCCCTTGTCAAAGAAGGATACACCAATGGTCCGTTTCTCATTTCTGCTCCTCTTTCTACACTGATTAATTGGGAGAGAGAAGCTGAATTTTGGACACCCGATCTCTATGTTGTTACTTATATTGGAAATAAGCAAAGTCGTGAAGTTATTCGGTTAGTTTTTTGTCTTTTATTACAAATCAAAGCTTAAAGGTTAATAATATATAGTAACTGTATCAAATAAAACCTAAATTTTTGATAATATTATACAATTATTTTCGCAATTTTTATTGATATTTTGTCATTTTGTGGCAGCTCCTTAACATACTTTTTAAGTTAGGGTCTGACCGATAAGCTCAAAGATTACGTATGAACGAACCCTGTCTATTTTTCATGTTCTAAAATTCAATTTTATTCTTTTTCAGCGAGAATGATTTCCTCTTCCCTGCCTCCACCAATAATCACAATTCTCACCACCAAGAGCAGAAACGTCGAAAGAAAGTCAATAAGCCAATACCAAAATTCCATGTCATGTTGACTTCCTACGAGGTTTTTCTATTTTTTAATTTTTATTATAATTTTGTTTTTTAGTTGATTAGTATCGATAAAGCAATTCTGTCAACAATAGACTGGGTCGCTTTGGTTGTTGATGAAGCTCATCGGCTAAAAAACAACCAATCCCTTTATTTTCGGACACTTCAGGAGTTTGATATTGGTTATAGGCTTCTTCTCACGGGCACTCCTTTGCAAAATAATTTGGAAGAGTTGTTTCATCTTTTGAACTTTCTGAGTCCAGATAAATTCAAGTAAGTTAAAAATTTTTTAGTTTTTGGCTGGTTTAGTTTATACTTGAAAATTTTCTTCCTTTCGGTTGGGCTCACTCCCTGGCTCTAGCCAGGGCAGAATCGGTTTAATTATAAAGATCCCATTCTCAAGACTATGTTACTCAAAAATGTTGAGTAGTTGCCGTATTTTCTCGTTCATAGCTTGATGTTACACTGCCTTGTTTTAATTTTATCGTGTTTGAACTTAACACTGCCGTCGATATTTTATTTCTTCTACTTTCCTTTTCTCTTCATTTCAGGATTTGTAAGAGGCTAATTGCCTCTCTGATCTACATGAACTGGTGTGTATCATACTGTCTTTACAGAAGAACTTTCAATTTGCTCGTATGTTTGAATAGGCGTATTTCGGCAAGGCGTATTTTGAATATGAAAGTTGTTTTTCCTATTGATAGATGTAAACTCCTTGCCGATTTATGCAAAAATTTCAACAGCCTCAAATATGTACCCGCTTGTATCTAATTTATGGCAACTAAAACGAGTCAAATTAATAAGTTTAGCGTTGATTTACTTAGTCTTTGTGAGAAAACTCATGGCATATAAAAGTCCATCTTATTTATATGATTTTCGGATATTCCTAATATAATATTTAATGTTAATTTTGCTTATGATATTTTTCCGAAATGTTTTAAAATTCCTTTTCATAATTTATTTTAATCTAATGTATCACATTGTTTGTTTTTTGGTAACGATATCTTGCCTTAACATTATATTGCTGAGAAAAGTATTATCTCATTTTTTATCCATAGATTGACTCTCAGCTCTTTTTGAGCATATCCTTTGATAATTAATTTTGTTAATTTTTCATATGATATTTGTCATAGTTAAGAGTAATTATTTACGCCCATTTTCAATGGCCCATAAAAGGCCAGCGAGAACCGGCCAGATAGATTCATTCAATCTTGAGTTTTCACACCGACCCAAAAGATGGCTGGTTCTCACTTGAATAAATCTTTTAAAATGTAGGCCTGTTTTAATTGGTGGATTCGGCGCGCTCTAAGTGGGTTGCCACTCTTGGGGCCCACCGCTGGACTTGTTCTTCCAATTAGAATATAATATTGTAGTGATTGATATAAAAATTTTAATATGTTTTTGTTATGTATTACGGTGGGAAGCAACGCCTTTTTTTGTCAAGTTTTCAAAAAACAAACCTTGAACGGACAGTTGTTGTTTTCCCACCGGCTTTTCCTTTTTCCTCTGCCAGCTCTACCCCTATTTTGAGCTCGACACGAATCTTTATATATATTTATATTTAATTAAAAATATCTTTTCGGACAAACTATTTAAATGTTTAACTGTGAGTCTGGCAATATTCTTGCTTAATGTTTATAATCTCCTTTAATATTTTTACCCAATGTATTACATTGTTTGTATTTTGGAAACGATGTCTCGCCTTAACATAATGCTATAAAAGTATTATCTCTTTTTTTGTTCGTAGATTATCTTACTTTTTTTCGAACATATTCATTGACATCAATGTAAAACTGAAAATCATCTTCAATATTTTTAAGATATTTTTAGTTATAATATCTAAACTTGCCTTAACAACAAATCTATTGCCTTGTTAAATTTTTACCCCAATATTTTATTCACGATATAATAGTTTATTCTGGCAATAATTTTTCGTCTTATCCAACTGCTATTAATGCATATATTTTCGTCTAATAAAGATTCTATTTATTTACCTTGCTCATATAATAATGCATTTATTGAGCTTCGATTATTTAAATTACATATTCCCTTAAGGTAACACTAGATAATTACAACTTTACTCATTAACTTTTATAAATCTTCCAATCAAATATTCAAGGCATATCAGCTGAAAATGAAAGGGAAACCCGGATAATATCTCAATCTCTGTCAATTTAAATTTAGTTTTTTATCTGAATCCTATACCCTTTAATTTCGACTCGAGAAAATACGGTCATACACATTTTCCTTCATAATTAATCTATCTATACGAATTATAGCGATCTTGAATCCTTCACGAGTGAGTTTGCTGAAATTTCAAAAGAGGATCAAATCCAACGCTTACATCAACGACTTGGTCCTCACATGTTACGAAGGATGAAGGCCGATGTTCTTTCTGGAATGCCTTCAAAGAGTGAATTAATTGTTCGTGTTGAGCTGAGCCCATTGCAAAAGTTATTCTTTTCTTTTGCAATTCTTTTTTATTCTCTATCTCAGGAAGTATTATCGCAACATTCTGACAAGAAATTTTGAAGCGTTGAGTGTTAAAAATGGCCGATCTCAGATGGCGCTTTTGAATATTATAATGGAATTGAAGAAATGCGCCAACCACCCTTTTCTATTCCCAAAAGCTAGCATGGAAGCTCCAAAGCGTGTTAATGGCTCTTATGATGGAGAATCTATGATTAAAAATAGTGGAAAATGCATTCTCTTACAGAAAATGTTGAAACGTTTAAAGGAGCAAGACCATAGAATATTAATATTCTCTCAAATGACTAAAATGGTTTGTTTTGTTTTTCAAAGTTATAGTTAATTATTAAATTTAATCGCTATAAAACTTAACGTTTTAGTTAGACATTCTTGAAGAAATGCTCGACTATTTGGGTTACAATTATGAGCGTATTGATGGTTCCATTACAGGACAGAATAGACAGGATGCTATTGATCGTTTCAATGCTCCCGGTGCTCAACAATTTGTATTTTTGCTCTCTACTAGAGCCGGAGGTTTGGGTATAAATTTGGCAACAGCTGACACTGTTATTATTTATGACTCGGACTGGAATCCACATAACGACATTCAAGCAGTGAGTCGAGCTCACAGGATTGGACAAACGAAACAGGTTTTTTCTGCTCTGCAATATTTCTTTATTGAAATTATTAGGTCAAAATCTACAGACTCGTCACTAGAGGTTCGGTAGAAGAAGAAATTGTTGAAAGAGCAAAGAAGAAACTTGTTCTTGATCATCTAGTCATCCAGCGAATGGGAAAGACTGCACTCTCTAAAAACGCCATGAATCAATCATCACGCGTTCAATTTGACAAGTCTGAATTAGCCGCAATTCTAAAGTTTGGTGCAGCTGAATTATTCTCTGAAAAAGAAGGCGAAGCTCAAGATCTGGAATTTGATATTGATGAAATTTTGAATCAAGCAGAGACGAGAGATTCTACCGAAACTGCTGGGTTGGTTTTGAATTAGTTGCTTTTAAAGTTGATTTTTCTATCGAGGCCGGTCGAAATTATATTTTTTCTAGACATAATTTTTTCGACTGATTACATTTTTTCTTATAATTTTTTGAACTTTTTCAATTTTAGAGCGAATGAATTACTTAATTCTTTCAAATACGCTAACTTCACCATCGATGATGAAAAGGAGCTGACAGATTTGTCACAACTTGATGAATCCAGTCGAATGGACGACAGTCCAGGCAGAGCAAGTAAATCTCCAGTGTCTATAAAGGATGAGGAAGAATGTGATCGTGATTGGGCACAAATTATTCCAAAAGAAGAAATTGAACGTGTAATGGAAGAAGAAAAGCAAAATGTGCAACAACAGCTTAAACCTAGAAACCGGCCGACAATTCGAACGTTTGCTGAATCAGATAATGATGAAACTAGTGATTATGATGAAAGTGGAAAAAAGAAGAAAGGCAAAAAGGTTTTTGATTGAAATTAAATTTTATCCGATAAAATAATTTTTCAAAGGTTGGTAAAAAGAGTGTTTCTAGCACTGTGAAGAAGCGAGGAAGACCATCTAAAAATGCTAGTGAAAGTGAAGCAACTCCAGCTGGTGAGAAGCGAAGAAGGTCAAAAAAGAAAACTGAAGGAGATACTGCAGAAGGAGATTCGTCAAAGAAAAAGAAGCGTGAAAAAATTGATGGTGTATTGGCGATTAGAAAAAAGAAAGGGGATAATTCTGAGGCAGACAATGCAAATAGCAGTGAGAAGGTAGTTAAATATTTTTTTAGATTTATTACTTAATTGTTGTGTCTGTTTATTTAATTTGTTTTTTTTTTCAGAAACATCCTCCTACAACATTTGAACGAGCTGTATCTTTGGCTGTCAATAAACGAAAATATGAGTTAGACTTGAAAGATCGCAACGGGCAACCTTTTTTAAAATGTGTTGATTTTTTCCGACCGCATCTTAAATATATGAAGAAACTTGTCAGCAAAGGAGATCCGCTTGAATCTGAGGCTATTAAATACCTTGTAATTTTTTGTAAAATAAAAAAATATTTTTTTTATTTTTTAGGTTAAGCTTGGAAACTACATTACAAAATATGTCATCGATTTAATAAGAAAGTGAGTTTTAATGAATGTTTTTGTACAATAAAATTAACAATTTTAGAAAAGAGCCTTTACTCGTCCAGAAACAGGCTAGTAATTTAAATTATATTTTTAAATGAAAATTATGAATTTTACTATTTTTTTCGGTTTCTTTTTAGTTACCAATTCATTTCTGTCATATTCTTAAAACTGTTTTTATACATGAACATCTTGAAATGTTTTTTGAATTGAAATTCTTATTCTTTTTAATAATTTTATTTTCTATAGTGGCACAACTACTTGTGGATATTTTTATCACAATTTGTTAAAACACATCACGACCCAAGTCTTTTATTAAACGCATATAGAGTATATGCTCGTAACCACCAACATTCAACAAATGTATCATCAACAGCAGCAACATTTAGGCGCTCTTCAGGTCCAAGTAGGCAACAACTTCCATCACTACAACAAGCAACAGACAGAAAGACAGTAGAAGTTACAACATCGTCATCATCAAATATACAGTCTTCTGTAATAAATTCCTCGTCAAATATATAGTTTTTAAAGTGATTTTAATTTTCTAAATCGGTGTGTGATTGTTAATTTGTTTATTTTTAAATTTTTTTTCGAAAATAATTTTTAAACAAATAAAAAGTTTTTGGATTACACACCTTTCTAATCGCCTATTTTCCTCATTTTTGAGATGTTTTTTTGTTGTGCACTTTTTTGTGTCCCTCGTCTCCCCATTTTAATTTTCATTTTATAGTTATTAATGTATACATTTTATTATTATGAATAATTTGGTGTGATCTTTTTTATATTTTTTTAACATTTATGATAGAGGCCGAGGTAAATATTATTTAAAAAAATCGCAGAATTATTTTTAAATCTTGGAGAATATTTAGAAATCATGTAGTGGTAGTTTGTTATGTTTTTAACTCAATTTTTTCTGGATTAGTTTTTTAGCTCCAAAATATTTTACAAGAAAGTAAATAATTGGGTACGGCCGATTTATATCATTATTAAATCAATAACTTTTAAAGTCTTAAAAAATTTTTTTAAATCATAAGGGACAACGTCCTAAAATCCCCGTAAGCCCTATAATCACAAGAAAACTACTCCAAAAATATAAAACATCTTGAAAGATTAATATTTGAACCCTCTTTATATCCAACTTGTTTTGCAGTAGAATAATCCACGACTGACCAAATACATAGTAATTTCTAACCCCATGATAAGTTTTAAAATTTTCTAACATTTTTCGAGGAATTCATATTTAACAGATTATTTTTATTATTTTTAGAAATTAACGTGTCAAATTTTCAAAAAAAAAACAAAATTAAAAAATGACATCAAGCTTCAAAAAAACTTTAATTCTACAAAGAGAATATAAAGTAAACACAAATTAAAGAAAAATCAAAAATATTTTTGTAAATTTAAAAATTCATTCAACATTTTTAATGAAAATATTTATTTTATATTTTTTTGTTTTATTAACGAATTTATGGGGAATATTATTTACAAATGCTTGTAGTTGTGCAAGAATGTCGGTAGAAGAGAAATATTGTAATGCTGGTTGGGGTTAGCTAGAAGAATAAAATTTAATTTAAAAAATAAAAATTAAGTTGCTCATGTAAAATCACTCAGACGTGCAAAAGTACAAGATAAAAATGGGGCTAGTGAATATGAATACACTGTTAAACTTTTAAAAACTTTTAAGGTAAAAATTGACTTAATTTATAATTGATAGGAGAAATGAAGTTTTTGTCTCTAAAAAGAGAATAAGCATTTGTATTTCTTTCCCACAATCTCAGAAAAGGTTTAGATAAAGTAGGAAGAGGCCCTCACGAAAATTCCTCACCAAAAGCCTTCAAGGTCTCGAAAGTCGAATTTTTTCAATTATGGATCAGTGCACTTCGATTAAAGATATTTTGAGATAAAATTCTAAAAAATTCTTTTTGGTTTTTTGAAAAAAAAACTTTTGGCTCCAAAAAAGCTTAAAAATTTTTTTATTTAAGGACAGCAAAACTTGTAATCAAAATAATAAACTTGATTGTGTTTATTCAAAAACAAATAGTGCTGCTTGTGGAGTTGAACTAAAAGATGGTCAAGAATATTTACTTTTTGGTAAAATTGGGAATAATTAAATTAATTAATTAATTTAGGAGGATATGAGGATGATGGAAAGAGAAAAATAAGTTTATGTGGATATTATCAAGAATGGGAAAAAGTAGACGAGAAATTAAAGAAATTATTGAAAGATGGGGATATGGATAAATACTGTAAATAAATAAAATAATTTTGTAAAAGATTTAATAAATATATTGCATAAATAGATATAGTCACACTTAGATTTTAGTTAAATTATTAATTTTTATCGAGTCTGATATTACAACAAATGAGGAAAATTAATTTTGTTATGATTTTTATAGTTATATATTTATGTCAAATACATCTAACTAATTGAAAAATCAGTGAAACCGAAACCACAGTGATCAGTTTAAGCCGGCATTTGAGCAGTATAATTTAATTTGTAAGTATTTTAAGTTGTCACTTTAAATATAGCCCATTGCATTTTAAGTTTTCCCCACCGAGCATTTTAAGGCTCAAATATTTGCTTCGATCATTTCCTAAAATATTATAGTAGATACTGTTATATTTTGTTTTTAATTTTCATTTTGTTTAAAATTTAAGTGATAAGTCTAAATTTTTTTAGCATTCCAATACTACGCTTAAATAAAAATACACACGTATTGCAACTGTTTTTCCTTTTTTTGAATATTATTTTTTGTCACAACACGAAGCAACTTTTGTGTAAACATAACATTTTATTAAAAATTTATTTCCTTGATAATAAACTTATTTTGATAAAAATACGTGTCAAAAACGTTTAAAAATAATTTATTTTTGTTAAATTTGTGTAAGCAAATAATCAAGAAATTTAATTTCTTTTAAGAAAGATTCACTAAAGAATTAAATTAATAAAAATTATTTAAAATTAAAATGAAAATTTTAATTTTAAATTTTTTAATTTTATTATTAATTAAACAACAAATTAATTTTGTAAATGCTTGTTCTTGTTTAAATATAACTGTTAATGATATTTATTGCCCTTCTAATTGGGGTATGTTATAAACTTTTTTTTATATAAATGTTAAATTGAGGAGGAGTAAATTGGAAATATATGTTAATAAATGAGAAATTAAAGGGTGAAAAATTTTGGAATAATTAAATAATTTTAAATATTTTCAAGTTTTGTTAGGTAATAGCGATACTTTTAAAAATTATAGGTACTTGTGGGTTATCCCTAACCAGTTTTTGCGGACATATTTTGCGGACTCTGTTGTATACACAGAATGGTCAGTCTTCCTCCTTTCCTCAATTTCACTCTATTTCACTATGGCATTATTTAATGAGAGGCAATAAAGAAAGGATTATTTTTAAATATAAATGACCGATTTTCAAATCATGTTTGCCTCATTGAATAATGCCATAGAGAACTCTTTCCTCAATTTCACTCTATTTCACTGTGTTAATAGAGGCAATAAAGAGAGGCAACAATGAAAGGATTATTTTTCTGCAATGTCATCAAATAAGAAAATAACAGATCAATCTTTTCATTTTTATTTACATATTTCAGTCATTTAGAAATATTTTTCTAGGATGATAAGCACCAAACTCCGCATTTTTAACTAATGGTCCGTTACTTCGTGTGCGTACCTTAACAGAGTCTTACCAAATTAACCAAACACGGTCCAGAAACAGATTCATATATTTGACAAAGCTAACCAATTTTGGTATCAATCGAGCTCGAAATGGTCAAGGATTCCGTAAAAAGGGGTGGGCACAAACTCTACTATTACCGAAAAGCTGCACTGAAAGTACAGATCGGTCCACATTTTGATTATTCCATAATTTGGTCGTTCCATGATTTGGTAAGACTGATTTGTTCGTTTTTGTGGACGTATTTTGCGGACTCTGTTGTATACACAGAATGGTCAGTCTTCCTTCTTTCCTCAATTTCACTCTATTTCACTATGGCATTATTCAATGAGGCAAACATGATTTAAAAATCGGTCATTTGTATTTAAAAATAATCATTTCTTTATTGCCTCTTATTAAATAATGCCATAGTGAAATAGAGTGAAATTGAGGAAAGGAGGAAGACTGACCATTCTGTGTATACAACAGAGTCCGCAAAATATGTCCGCAAAAACTGGTTAGGGATAACCCACAAGTACCAAATTATAACCTAAAAACATTCAAGTTTACAAAAAACAAAAAGAAAGTTTTTTTAATTTCTAAATTTAAGCTGCTCATACTTTAATACTTAAACGTGAAGAAATAAAAGAAGGTGCAGTTTGGGAGTGGAAACTTCGCTATACTGCTAAATTTTTGAAAGTTTTTAAGGTAAATAAATAATCAAATTACATATATTTTAATTAAAAAAGGGGGAAGAAGAGGATTGTGAATATACCAAAAATAATATTTATTATTTATTTACATATGCAAATGATGGCCTTTGTGGTGTTTATCTTAAAAATGACACAGAATATTTAAATTTTGGTAAGTTAAAGTAGAAAAAATTAATTATTATTTGTATTTTTTTTACTATTTTTATTAGAGATTAAACAAGATTTTGTTCAAAAATTTTTAGTTATCAGGATAATTATTTAAGATATATCGACGATTGATACTCAAGTCCGTCTCTAATTTCAACATTCTCCAAGAGAGAAAAATAAATAATAGAAATTTCTTAAACAAACAAAAAATTTATAATTTAATCTTTTAAAAATACGGGAAAACCCCAAATTAAGAATAAAAAATATTTTTTAAAAAATTGCTTAAAGATAGACAGGCATTGTAATCTTTGGATTTACATTTTCTAAATGTAAAGATTTCTTAAAAAATTTAATTTAATTTCATAAATCTCTTAAAAAGAAAATCTTCAATATTTATTAATTTTTTAAAATAAATTTGATTAAAAATATTTTTTAGGAGTATATTATCCAAATGGAGAAAGAAATATTGGGTTATGTGGATATAATAATGAATGGAATGCTGTACCCGAAGAAATTAAGAAAGATTTAAATAATGGAGCTTTAGATGATTATTGTAAATTAAAAACAACAAACATTCCAAAAATATAATTATTTTATTTAAATTTTGTTGATAAAAAATGAGAATAAAGTTATTTACTGAAATATATTTTATCTAAAAATATATTAGTTGTAATTAAAAAACATTAACAAATAATTTAAATAATGGGGCTCTTATTTAACCTAATCTTGTGTACCTACTAATCTTGTGTACAACCTTCAGAGTCCTTTTTGTATATACGATCATTACTCAAGTTGTCAAGTGTAGAAATTCGTTATTTTCGATTAATTCTCATTAACTTTTTATATCTGATTAGGTCTGGTCGATCTCTCGATATTTATTTCCCCTAAGATATCTGAATCCCTCGCCCTACTTATTTGATTAAAAGTAAAACTTATATTGAACAATTATCTCTAACAAAATTAGATAAATGTTATGATTCTCATTGAAATTTACCAAAAATATTATTTTATTAACAATTATTATTTAAAATTAATTTTAGATAGACAATAACCATAAAATCTCTATTAAAGTTCAATTTATTCTAAATAAATTAAATATTTCTTGATTGAAAATATTTTTGAAAAACATTTAATAAATATATTGCGTAAATAAAATCACATTAAAATTTTATTTAAATTCTTAATTTCATCGACTCTGATATTACAACGAAAGAGGAAAATTAATTAATTTATGAAATTATTAGGCTACATATTTATGCCAATAGCGCGTGAACAGTCTAATCTAATTTTTAACCGATCATATTTTCAGCTTTCCTCAAATGGCTCAAGTTTTTTATGGCGCAAATATTTGCTCCGATCATTCATTCCCAAAATATTTTAGTAGATAACGTCATATTGTTTATAATTTAATTGTTGGAGATTTAAGGGCTAAAAAATCTTTTTAGCATTCTAATAACAAACAAAAATAACATACATTTTGCGACAAAAAAATCTTTTGACTTTTATGTAAACACAACATTTTTTAGATTTTTTTTAATTTAATAAACGTGTCAGAAACGTTTTAAAAATAATTTTTTAAAAAGAAAATTTATACAAATATTTAAATAATCCAAAAATTTATTATTTAACAAAAGATTCACTAAAAGAATTAATAAAAATTATATTAAATTAAAATGAAAATTAAAATGAAAATTAAATTAAAATGAAAATTTTAATTTTAAATTTTTTAATTTTATTATTAATTAAACAACAAATTAATTTTGTAAATGCTTGTTCTTGTTTAAATATAACTGTTAATGATATTTATTGCCCTTCTAATTGGGATGTGGAAATTAATTATAGCGATTAATACTAATAGCGATCATTTAAAAATAGTTTTTTCTTTAATTTCTAAACTTACTACCTCTTATTTTTAATTTTAAATTAAGAAAATAATTTTTAAATAAAAATTTAAGCTGCTCATATTTTAATACTCGAAAGGGAAATAATAAGAGAAGGTTTGGACCAGTGGTATTGGAAAGTACGTTATAACGCTAAATTTTTGAAAGTTTTTAAGGTAAATAAATAAAAATTTATAAATTTTTACTGTTGAATTTTTCCAATACCAATACGATGTGTAACGAAATAGGTACCTTTCTGTTATTTCCCCCAAATTTTCCTTTTTTCCTAATTTGATCGTAAATAACTTTATTATGATTAATCCAATCCGAATTAATCTTATATCATTCGAAAGCTCTCGTTAGGCGCTGTTTTCTTCCCAAGTGATGGATCAAATCTGATCACTCATAAAAAGTTACGACTTAATAAGTGCAAGGTACAATATCTACCAATACAGGGAATACCGAAAAGTTCCGAAAAATACCTAGACAATACTTTCGGGAGTAACGAACTGTGCCTAACACTAGTTTTTAATTAAAAAAAGGGTGAAGAAGAGGATTGTGAATATGCTAAAAATAATTATTATTATTTATTTACATCGTTCTATCCAAGCATTTGTGGTGTTAGTCTTAAAAATGACACTGAATATTTAAATTTTGGTAAGTTAAAATTGAAGAAATATTTTAAAAGTTTAAATTTAATCATCAAGATAACTATCTTTCAAGATAGCAATCCGTCTCTACATAATTTTACCTTTAATATTCATAGATATAGAATAAAAATTTTTAAATAAAGATATAATTTATAAAATAATTTTTAGAAATTCTTTAAAATAATTATTTGAAAAGAGTTTCGAAAACATGAAAACAAAAAATGAAAAAATTTTTTTAGAAAATTATTGAAAAAAGGATGGTTTTTTTTTGGAATTAGGCGTTTCGGATTTTATAATTTAATTTTATAAAATTCTTAAAAAGAAAATCTTAAACATTTAATTTTTTTCTAAATTATATATATATAAAGAAGTTTTGAGTTTCGTTTAAAAAACTCTAGAGGTCACAGTTTTGCCTCAAAGTCCCTGAAAGTTCCACATTGCCCCAGGTACTTTATCAGGCGCATTTGGAATAATTATTCATTTTTCCCTGCGCCGACGTCTTCGCGCCGAAACGACCCCTGGGACTTGGCTATCTCGTGAACCGAAAGAGATATCGGAAAACTTCCGCTTAGAGGCGGATGCCCCGCATTTTGTAGATGTCAAATAAAAAAAAAATTTCGAAAAAATTCGAACTCTAAGATACGATATGCCGTTGTAACCCTTTTTAAATGGTGGTCAAATGTCGTGGCATAGGGTAGCGGTCTTTTGTACTATTTCTATATCTCTGAAACCGCGCCGCAGATTTGGATGGGACCTGGGTGTATTAGGTAAACGGCCATGAGAAATTTAATGGGCATGGCCATTTTAGTGCCGCACTCGAGTGTGGCACTGAAATGGCCGGATGAAAATTTCAAAGGCTTATAACGGGTTTTTGAGAAGTGGGGGGTTCTTGGGCCTGGGAGTGATGTTGGAGGGTAAAGTGTTGGGAAGTTATCGGTTGTTGACCACTTGAGTCTCAGATGAAGTTTTGGGGGTCATATGGGTCAAAGAGTCGGGGTCGAAAAACCTACTTTTTGTAGCATGAATTAAAACGCGTTTTCGATAGCCAGTTCGAAAGAGCGTCCCGTGGGGCTCCGAAAAAGGTATAATATGTTGAGGGTCCACTTGAGTCTTAAAAAGTTATAGCGAATGTGGCCAAATGTCGCAAAACTTTATGAGACTCTAACGTCCCGGGGAAATTTTTTAAAATTTTTTCTAGGCCGGATTCGTACTCAGCGCATGTCAGAGTACCATATAGGCCTATTTTTGACCCAAAATTCCAAAATTTTGTCCCCCACCCTATTTCCAAAGGGGTACCCCTTTTGGGGAATTTTCGGGATTTTTTAAGGGACCTTAACTTTTTTTGGGATTATCGGATTGGGATGGGGTTTCCTTTGAAAAATCGAGTAAAAAATTAGTTATTTTTTCACCGAAGAAAATTTCGAAAAAATTCGAAATTGGAGGTGTAGGAGTCAAATTTAGAAAAACCCAAAATTTTTCGGTTTTTCGAAAAAATTTCGGGATTTTTGCCGGCGGTTAGGGGCATAGATATTTTTTCTTGATAGAGCAGATTTTTCTGCATAGAATGAGCTTTTAAAATTATTAAAAAAGGTTAACTTTGAGAAAGTTATGATTTTTTGAAAATTTCGGCGATTTTTTCGGCCAAAATTTTCGGCCAAAAAAATAATTTTTGCAAAATGGCCACAGGTGGGCCAAATGTTATATCAATCGAAAGCTCTCATCGAGCTGAGCTTAAAAATATTTTTTCCGAAATTTTCTGACCATTTTGTACAAAGTTATAAAAGGTCGAAATTTCGGGTGTGGGTGGTATCATACCCAGTGGGGTACCAAAGGAAGGGTTATAAATCAAAGTTGGCACGGTTAAATTATAGAAGATCCTCTAATGCACCGAAAAATATATTTTAGTTTGGGGGGTCACTTGAGTCTGACCAAGTTATAGGTTCAAAAGTAACAACATCTGGGTAAAACACCCAAAAATGGGGGGTCTCGAGTTTAAAAACCTGCCTCGAGTCTCGATGGGGGAGGGGGAGAATCGAGGGCCGAGGCCCGAAGTGACCCAAAATGGGTCCCAACGTGGGGAGGGGGAGAATCGAGAGCGGGAGGCCCGAAGTAACCCAAAATGGGTCCCAACGATGGGGAGGGGGGGGGGGCGACGAGGGCCGAAGGCCCGAAGTGCGCCAAATTGTAAAAATGGGTCCCAACGATGGGGAGGGGGGGGGGGACGAGGGCCGAAGGCCCGAAGTGCGCCAAATTGTAATAATGGGTCCCAACGATGGGGAGGGGGGACGAGGGCCGAAGGCCCGAAGTGCGCCAAATTGTAAAAATGGGTCCCAATGGTGGGGAAGGGGGGACGAGGGCCGAAGGCCCGAAGTGCGCCAAATTGTAAAAATGGGTCCCAACGGTGAGGAAGGGAGGAGGGGGGACGAGGGCCGAAGGCCCGAAGTGCGCCAAATTGTAAAAATGGGTCCCAACAGTGGGGAAGGGGGGAGGGGGGACGAGGGCCGAAGGCCCGAAGTGCGCCAAATTGTAAAAATGGGTCCCAACGGTGGGGAAGAGGTGAGGGGGGACGAGGGCCGAAGGCCCGAAGTGCGCCAAAATGGGTCCCAACGATGGGGAGGGGGGGGGGGGGACGAGGGCCGAAGGCCCGAAGTGCGTCAAATTGTACGAAGTGCGCCAAATTGTACGCCCGACGCGATGCCCATTTAAAAATGGAACGAAGCACCTCCCATCTAAAGAAGGGACCGATCCATCTAAAAGGAAGAGTGCCCTTCTTATTTCGAAAAATTTCTAAATAAACTAAAACATTTAACGTAAATCTCCAAGCAAACAATAAACCTAGCACAGTTTTAAAGCCGCAGGCTTTCAACGCGCGTCCATGGACGCGCCTCCAATTATAAATAAACGCTTCCCCGACGTAACTAAATTTTAAAGATATCAAACCCATTCAGCTATTTATCCTGCAGCTAGTTAAATTTAAAATATTTTTAGGATATTATTCAAATGGAGAAAGAAATATAAATTCATGTGGATATAATGTAGAATGGAATGCTGTACCCGAAGGAATTAAGAAAGATTTAAATAATGGAGCTTTTGATGATTATTGTAAATTAAAAACAACAACCACTCCGAAAATATAATTATTTAATTTAATTTTTGTTGATAAATTGAAAATAAAGTTAAGAATAAAGAATAAAAGAATACGGGTTTATTATCTCCCAGGAATGTCTCTTGTTGGGATAAAAGTCGAATTTGGTTCCCCGATTTAGGGGTTAAAAATGCTACCGATGATATCGAATCCCAAAAAATTAAGTGTTTCGTCTAAAATAATTTTAAAAAATTTTTTACCCACACTTAAATAAAAATAATAAGCGACAGAAACTTCCTGTATTTTTGAATGTTATTTTATGCCACAGACGCAAAGAAATTTTCATTTAAACATTCCCTTAATAATTTATTTCGGCAATAAATTTTCTGTTTTAATAACGTTTTAAATAAATTTCGTTTAATAAAATTTGTGTAAACAAACAATTAGAAAATTAAGTTTTTTTTAAAGAAACTTTCACTAAAAAATCATAAAAATACTTAAATTTAAAATTAAAATGGAAATTTTAATTTTTTATTTTTTAATTTTATTATTAATTCAACAAAAAATTAATTTTGTAAAGGCTTGTACTTGTTTAATACCAGTTAAAGATGTTTATTGCAGTTCTAATTGGGGTGGGTTAGAAACTACTATTTTAATTACAATTGTGCTATTCGTACTTATTTTAGAAGTACAGAAATGGATATTTTGGTTAAATAATTAAAATTAACCTTAAATTTTCAAATTTTCGACTGCGTCGCTGAAGCTTGATAAATAAAAAAATTAATTCCAATTGAATGTTCCGTATTTTTCTAGCGTACTAAACTTGGAAAAATCCCCCTCCCCCCTATGTACTTCCAAATTAAACTTTTTGTACTTAAACTTAAAATTTTCGATGGCAGACCTGATTATAAATATTTTATAAATGTTAAATTGAGGAGTAAATCGAATATTTAAAATTGTAGTATAATTATATGCCCACTCTCTTTTTCGAAAATTTTTTCAATTGCAGAGGTCAGTGTAGCAATAAGTTAAAAATAGTTTTCTCCTTAATTTCTCAACTATTTTTAATTTTAAATTAAAAATAAGTTCTCCGAATAAAAATTTAATCTGCTCATATTTTAATAATTAAAAATGAAATTATGAAAGAAAGCCGTGACAAGAGGGATTGGAAAATTCGTTATACCGCTAAATTTTTGAAAGTTTTTAAGGTAAATTATTTAAGTAAAAATTTATATTTTAATTAAAAAAGGATGACAAAGATTGTGAATGTACCAATAATAATTATTTATTTACATCTGCAAATGAGGGCCTTTGTGGTGTTTATCTTCAAAATGACACTGAATATTTAAATTTTGGTAAGTTAAAATTAGAGTTGTACCCCGTACACCGTCTGCCGAAAAATTTTTTCAGATTTTTCCCTCAAAAATAATTTAAAAAATATTTTTTAGGATATTATCTAAACGGAGAAAGATATATAGGCGTACATAAGTGGAGAGAGACATATAGGTGTGGATATAATATTGAATTGAATTATGTACCCGAAGAAATTAAGAGAGATTTAAATAATGGAGCTTTTGACGATTATTGTAAATTACAAACAACAAACACTTCAAAAATATAATTTTATTCTATTTTTGTTAATCTTCTCTCTAATTTGTGTTTAAAACAATTAGGGCTCTAAGATTAAATTTACCAAGAAATATTATTTTATTATCTTATTATAACTTTAATAAAATATCCAAAACATTTATTTACTTTTTTTGTCAACAATTATTTATTTAAAATTAATTAAAATCATCATTATTTTGTTCACTTCCTTCACAAATTTTATCAAAATACCCGTTATTTAAAGATTCCCTAAAAGCTCCATTAACATTATTCCATTCCAAATTAGTTAAACATTCATTTAAATTAATTGGAAATTTTCCTGTTCTGTAGCTTCCTAAAAACAAATTTTTTGTTTAAAATTAAAATTAAAAATTAACCAAAAATTAAATATTCATTTCCTTCTTTAAGATTAATTCCACAACCTGGAAATTGGGCATAAAAATAAACTAAATCTGTTTTATTCAATATTCCTTTTGTATCCTTAAAAATATTTTATTTACTTTGTGATTAATTTTTATTTATTTACCCTATAAACTTTTAAATATTTAACATTATATTGTTGTTGTTTATCTATAGTTTTACTTCCAAGTATTAAAAAATGAGCAACTAAAACTTTTCAGACATTTAATTAAATAAAAAAGGATTGGCGGATATGATTGACGGATCCTGGGAAATCCCCTGATATCCAGAACTTTTTCGGATTCGTATATTGGAAGGGTAGAGAGATTTGGAGGATGTGGAAGGGTAGAAAGACTAATATAGACAAAATCTGGGTAACCAGGTTTTGTATATTTATGAATTAATTTAAATCTTTATCTACCCACCCCAATGAGCATGACAATATTTATCCTCTTGGGTCATTAAAGTATCGCATATACAAGAAATTATAAGATTCATTAATTGCCCTATTACCAACAATAAAAGGCAAAAAATAAACAATATTTTCATTTTATTAAATTAAGGGAGTTTTTGAAAATATTTATTTCGTATTTATTTAAAATGTTTATTCTATATTCAGTGTTTGTTCAATCAAAAATGTCTTTAACACGTTGATTTAATTCAAAACAGAACAAAAATCTGACATAATTTAATTATGATATTAGGTTGGTTAAATAATAGACAAGACGTTATTTTTTAGTTTATATTTGAGAGAATCTGTAAAAATGTTTTCCAACAATAAAAATGTTTGAAAAAATTTTTTTGATAAATACAAATTTACTTCCTGTTAAAATAAGAATATTTTTTTAAATAAAGGGTATGAGAGAAAAATGTTTTTTAATTTTTAAAACTAGGGTGGGATATAAATGGTTAACCGAAACCGAAAACCGGTGGTACCGGTTAATAGCAGGTTGTATCTACCCCTAGTTAAAACGTATATAATTTTGAATTGACGCATTGTATTCTCAACTTTTTTCGTTGATTTTATTGCGAATTGGCTTGGAAATAAAATTTAATATAAAATCAGTAAAAAGGTATTTATTTTTTATTTTAAATTGGAAATTTACAATATATTTTTATAAAAATCTTTTTTTATTAGTATTTTGTACAATTTTTATCCAAATTTTCATTATTTAAATCTTCCTTTAATTGTTCTGATAAATTTTCAACAAGTCCACATGAACTTACCCTCTTTTTTGTATTACCATCAAAATAATTACCTAAAAATTATTTATCAAATATTTTTAAAATAATTAAATACCTCCAATTAAATATTCTTTGCCAATTTCAAGATAAGCGCCACAAGCAGCGCTTTGTGAAGCCGTATAAACAAAATCTTTCTTTTTTGTTTGTTGACATATTTTATCCTTTATGTATATCAAAATATGTTTTTATTCCAAAATTAAACAACTTGCCTTGTAAATTTTCAAAATTTTAACGGTATAACGAACTTCCATAGAAAACCCGTCAGTTTCATTTATATTTTCTCTTTTGAGTGATAAAATATGAGCGGCTTTAAATTAATTTTGTTTACATAAATATTTATTTAAAAATATTTTTTATTTATTTATTACCCCAATCAGAACGACAATAATTTTCTTCAATTGTTGCAACCGTACAAAAACAAGCATTTACATTAATAATTAATTTTTCTAATACAATAAGTGCAAAACAACAAAAAATAATTATTTTCATTCTTTTTAAATATTTTAAATTTATTTTTTTTTGATTTTTAATTGTTTAATTAATTATTAAAAAATCTGAAGAAAAATATAATGATGACTTTGAATTGTTAAAATTACTTTCTAAAAAGAAGGAAATAATGACGTTGAATTAAAAATTCCCTGGGAGGAATTTTTCGGATTCGGATACTGGAAGGTTGGAAAGATTTGGAGGATTTGGAAGTGTAGAAAGACTAAAATATAAACAAAATCATGGGTAACCAAGCTTTGTATATTCATAAATAATTTAAATCTTTATCTACCCACCCCAATGAGCATGACAATATTTATCTTCTTGGGTCATTAAAGTATCGCATATACAAGAAATTATAAGATTCATTAATTGCCCTATTATTAACAATAATAGGGCAAAAAAATAAATAATATTTTCATTTCATTAAATTAAGTAAATTTTTGTTGATTTCTATGGAAAGCTTTTAAAAATTTGTATTTATTATTTATCTAAAAATATTTATTTTATATTTCAATCAACGTCTTTGACACGTTGATCTCATTCAAAACAAAAAACCGACACAATTTAATGTTGGTTAAATAATAGACGAGACGTCATTTTAAAGCTTAAATTTGAAAAAATTTGTAAAAAAATTGTTTTCCAACAATAAAAATGTTTAAAAAATTTTTTTAGATAAATATAAATTTACTTCCCGTTCAAATAAAAATATTTTTAAAATAAAGGATATTAGAGAAAAATGTTTTTTAATTGTAAAAACTGTGGGAAAATCGAGGTACCGGTTAATAACAGGTTGTGTCCAACCCTAAATAATTTTTAATTAGAGCATTGTATTTTCAACTTTTTTCGTTTTTTATTAGTAATTGGCTCGGCTCGAAAATAAAATTTAATATAAAATCAGGAGAACGTATATATTTATTTTTTATTTTAAGTTGGAAATTTACAATTTATTTTTATAAAAATCTTTTTTTATTAGTATTTTGTACAATTTTTATCCAAATTTTCATTATTTAAATCTTCTTTTAATTGTTCTGATAAATCATTCCAATCTTTAACAAGTCCACATAAACTTACTCTCTTTTTTGTATTATCTTCAAAATACTTACCTAAAAATTATTTATCAAATTTTTTTAAAATAATTAAATACCTCCAATTAAATATTCTTTGCCAATTTCAAGATAAGCGCCACAAGCAGCGCTTTGTGAAGCTGTATAAACAAAATCTTTCTTTTTTGTTTGTTGACATATTTTATCCTTTAATTATTTTTTAAAATATATTTTTAATTATTCCAAAATTAAACAACTTGCCTTGTAAATTTTCAAAATTTTAACAGTATAACGAACTTCTCTTGAAAACCCGTCAGTTTCATTTATATTTTCTCTTTTAATTGATAAAATATGAGCGGCTTTAAATTAATGTTTTTTTAATTTAAATGCTTATTTAAAAAATATTTTTTATTTATTTATTACTCCAATCAGAACGACAATAATTTTCCTCAATTGTTGCAATCACACATGTACAAGCATTTACAATAACAATTAATTGTTTTAATACAATAAGTGCAAAACAACAGAAAATAATTATTTTCATTCTTTTTAAATATTTTTTAATTGTTTAATTAATTATTAAAAAATCTGAAGGGAAATATAATAATAACTTAGAATTATTAAAATTACTTTCTAAAATGAAGGAAATAATGACGTTGAATTTACCACCCAAAATTGTTTTTTAACGGATCAAGAATTAATTATACATATATTTATTAAATATTGTAAGGAGTGAAAAATAATAAAATGGAGAGAAAGGGAGGAGAAGGGGAGGGGGCAAAATTAAATTTTAATTTTTAAAATTATTAAACAAATTCAATAATTATTTTATATTCCAAAATTTCATGACTTTTATGCCACGTTACTTCCTTAAATATATTTCTAATTGTGTGATTTGGAATAAAACAAACAAAAGTTTTTTTTAACTTGTGAAATTATTTATTAAAAAAATTAAATATATTTAAATTAAATTAAAAAATAAAATAATAATTTAAATTTTAAAATATTAAATAGTAAGATGACTAAAAAATAAGGCCTCAAAAGTAATCTGGAACTGAAAAAGTCTGGATATTCAGAAATTTTCTTTTCGGTTCCGGTCATCCTGAGATTTCCCAAGAACCTCCAACCTTACTCAATAAATTAATTTTTCTCTGTTAAACAAAAAAAATATTTGTGTAGATATTTTAATATTTATTATTTTAGATACATATGTGGGAAGTTTTCATTCACCTTGAAGAAAATTATGGCAAAAACAAAAGTGGCGGAAAATTTGCCGCACCCTGTAGATAATTTAATTAGCAAAACAGTTTTATATATTTAAATGAATAAAATATTTTTGATAAATTAAAAATAAATAAACAAACAAATATTTTAAAATTTAAATGTTTCAAAAAAATTCTTAGCATTTCATAAAATTGTTTAAAAAACAAATCATATGTTTTCATTACTAATATTTATTTATTTAAGGAAGTAACGTGTTTCAAATACATTAAAAAACTTTATTTAAAATTTTTTTTCAATTATAAAAATTAATATAAAATAAAAAGATAATCAAAATATCTTAAAATAAATTTTAATTAAAATGAAAATAATTATTGTTTATTTAATTGTCTTAATTTTAATTGTAAAATGTATAGATTCAAGTAATTGTCCTTGTAATCCATCAACGGTTGAAAATAAATATTGTCATTCTAATTGGGGTAAATAAATTTTTTTAATTTTTTTAATATTTAGTATATCTCTAAAAATTAAGCATAATTTGAGTTAAACTAGAATTTTTTTCAAAATTTACCAAACAAATAAGAACATCACCCCAAGCATTACAAAATTTCTGATCACTACATATTGGAAGGCAGATAGCCATTTAATTCCTAAGGCTGTGCAGTAGGCGGCGTGGTGTAATGGAGATCAGCGCTTTCTACTGAAGATGCTGGTTCGCTTCCAGCCAGCGATTAACCTTTAACACTAGCTAAAAGAGAAATATAAGTAGCTATAGCCCAGCTTTGCTTTATTATATCTAATAGTCTCTTTTTCAAATCTGGATTAATTATGTGTCGACAAACATTCAAAAATTTTAATTTGATCTCTTTTTTAATTAAACCCTTCATTATTTTTAAAGAAAAGGTTTAAATCAAAAATGAAATTCAAAAATTTTAAGTTGCTCATGTTCAAATACTTAATCGTTCTAATTCTCGTTATAAAGTCAAAATTATTAAGATGTACAAAGTAAGTAATTAAAAAAAAGTATTTTCAAAAACAAAAATTTATAGGGAGTACAAGGAAAACCAGAATTAATTTCCCCGCCACAAAATTTTTGTGGAGTTTTTCTTGAAATTGGTAATGAATATTTAATTAGTGGTTAGTTTATATTTTTAATAAAAAAATAAAAAAAATTTAAGCAAGTTATGGATTTAATTTAAATACAAAATTTCTATCAGAATGTAGAATTAATTTAAAATGGAATCAAGTTACAAAAAATTTGAGAGAAAAGTTAAATAATGGAGAAATTGATAAATATTGTAAAATAAATAATTTTTAAATTAATTATAATTAACAAGCTTAATTTTTAAATTTAAAAAAAATTTTTAATTATTTTTCTCGAATAAACCAAGAATAAATATTATATTTATATAGTTACATATTTATTAACAAATTTATAAAGAAAATATTTAGTTTACTATAACGTAAAATAATAGTTAAATAGGGGCCCGCCTATTTAAGAATGAGGAATTGAAGGTGGAAGATATTAGAATCCCAGAGGTGTTAAGAGCTAAGTAGGGTTAATGGTTTCGGTATACCGCTTGATCTAGCATTTAGCTGACCGTAATCAATAATATAAGCTCAGTTGGAATGTTCTTCAACTGGATAAAAGAGTGACTCACAGTCCAGGCCGACTGAAGCGCTTTTCCCTATTTTCCTTTGGATTATAAGCTTCTTCTCTATAGGCGGGTTTATCGCTTGTTTCTCACTGATTACACTTTGCAACTTCCTTTTGCCTAGCGTATGAATTCCGCTTTTCCCTATTCACGTGAATTTCCTTTTTAGCATTTTAATCAAAGTCCACCTAGCTCTCGGATTTAACTTTAGAGTCTAACACCTTCCACCCCACGGAAGACCGTCCCTGGTCTTATTTTTAATTTTAAATTATATTTTTGAATTAAATTAGGCCCACCTTTTCTCTGCCTCTTTCTCACCACTTAATTTCGTCGGCAGTCTCTCGCCATGTGTCCACGGCCTCCACAACGGTTGCACATTCTGTCGCCCTTGCGACGACTTTCTTCACCCATTTGAATTTCTTTCCGCACTGCTTGCAGCGACCATCCTTTTCGGTCCTGTAGAATTCCGCCAGCCCCTCTTGAAGGATCCTCCATTTCCATCACCTCTAAATATCCTTCATTTACAATTGGGGTATGTTTCTGCGCTTCTTCTACGAACCGGGCCCAGACTTCCCCTTCGCTCAGAGATTGGAAATCGGCTATGATGACCATTCCATGCTGAGCGCGCGTCAGCGCTACCGTCGCGCGCCTTGAGTCCTTCAGAAATTCCGATGCAGCGGGCTTCGATTTTGCCGCTGTGTTCTGTGTGCGCGTAGTTACTAATACAACTAGCCTTTTTTCCTGCGCCTGAAAGGCATCCGTAGTATGTACGCCCACTTCTAAACCCATTTCTCTCAATCTCTTTCGGAGGCATTCCGCTTCATAAGAGTAAAGACATATCACCACCACTCCACCCGGGTCTCTTTTCTCCAGCGCTTCTACAATTCTTAGCGCTGCGCTATGTTGTTCGGGGTTCATGACACTATAAGACGCCGGGTCCACTTGGGTAGTCCCACAAATATTCAACAGCACTAGAGGAATGTTAGCGATAGGAAGATTTACACCCAAGTGCGTAAGTCCCTTTCTATCCTCCGCCTTTATTGCGGGTAAAACTCTCTCGTTATGCTGGCGATACGAAGAGTAGTCGAAACAGGTCACTAACGTGGGATGAGCTCTATAACACATTTCAAGAGCAGTCATGGAAATACGCGGACAGTGTTCAACCTGGCACGTAATCGATTCAAGCCCAAAACCATCGTGTAATAAATCCGGGAGGTCCTTTAAATGAACACCAATTTGTCTGAGATCTCCCGTCAAGAGAAGGGAGACCAGACTTGGCATTTGACACACTAGATGTACTAACGCGGTGTAAGAAACCTGAGTGGCTTCATCAACAACTAAGTGGGAAGTGGAATTGTGTGCCCCGGGGATTGCCAATGCCATTTGTATTGTTGCAAACGCCACATTTCTAAAATCTTTTTCCTGTAATACCTTCCCTACTTTTCGTTCAGCAGCATGTCGAGGGCGGGTATCAATCATTTCCAAATATTTTTCAACATCCCTTACCTCGGGATTTTCAAGTTTGCTTTTGTATTCGTTTCGCTTTACTTTTGCAGCAAGGAGTTGTTCTTCCAAAACAGCTATGTGATCATTGTATCTGACTTTAGCCATACCGCTGAAGAAGGCGACCATGTCTTTGTCTGGCATAGTCCTTTCAACTTCCTCAACTAACCGGGAAATGGGTAAATTAGCTGCGGCGGTGCCAAGAACAGCGCAACCGGGCTTTTGGTATACAGCTGCAGCCACACAGGCCGCTGCAACCCTGGTCTTTCCGGTCCCGGGCGGGGCTTGCTGATAGTGCACCCGCCCGGTCCCTTCATCAAGCCAGTTTGCAAGCGTGGCCTTCTGCTGTGTGTTTAGCTGGCGCGTGCATTCAAGGTCGAGATTCACTAAAGCGGCTCCCCCCTTCAATTCGTCGGGCCCTCGACGACCAAGAATTGCTTTCAAAATTTCTGCCCTTTTCGATTTTTCTTTTTCAATAATTGAGGATGGTAAATTAAAGCCTAGAGTATTTGCTTGCGCTCTCATTCCACCACCTTCTTCTGTGGTGCGAATGAATACATCTCCTCCTTCTACCATAAATTCAAAATCTTCTTCTTGCTCAATGGTTTCTGGGTTTGGCATCAAAAATATATCAATTTCAATGGTTATTAAATCTTCATATATTTTCTTTTCAATTTCTTTTATAAAACCATGACCAAAGCCTTTTGAATACAGGGTTGTGTAAGCGGAAATGGACGTGTCTTTTGACCACACTTCACAAATTTTCTTTGTGTAACTTTTGTCTGTGGATTCAAACACAATAAAGAAATTTCTTCTTTCCCCTTCAACTCTTAAACCTACACTTCCTTGGAACATTGTTTCATATCTTGCAATCTCCTCAATTTCGCTAGCAGCAATGAGTGCGCCTGCCATAATATTTTCTGCGAATTTTATTTCCTTAATCGTGTGGTCTGGAGTGATTGGAAAGAAAATTGGAGTTTTATTTCGTGCTAACCAACGCCATTTTTCTCGATTTGGCATGGCTATAGCTAGAACATGAGAATTTTCTTTGGCTAGAATTTCAGTTCCGTGTCTTATTCGTGATCCAGGTGGTAGTATATAGGCTCCTCCGATTAGCCACCCTTCTGGAATTTTCGCTAGTTGCATATCAAGCAGGCTTCCCCTTTGAAGATTCTCAAAGTCGAGATCTTCTGCGCATTGTCGGTTAAAAAGTTTCGCAGTTCGCTCCATTCCGAAAGCAACTACAAGCGCTGAGCCCATAGTATTTTTAACTTCTTTTCCTTTTCGCTTTTTAATATCCACAACAAAACCAGTGTTAAATACCCACGGGGCTAGCGAAACATCCAGAATTTCTAAAGCTATGGCCTGGGCATTAATTCGGCTCTGAAACATCCAGTTAGCTGTGTCAATTTCTCTTCTCCCCTCAATCCAATTATATTTCGAAATAATTACGCTGTCTCCTAAGCAGAGAGGCCTTTCCGAATCCAATTTTAATTCATCGGGTATTTCCAAAAATAAGGGCCATTGTTTCAAATCAGTCGGATTAGGTTGAACCGCAATCAATTTTTTGTCTAGCATCTGCGCTATGACATAACGTTTGACTTTCAAATTTTTACCCGATGTTTGATCATCGAGTGAAAAATAACTAGTAGATACCGAAGTATCCAATGATTTTTCTTTCTTCTTTTCCTTTCTTTTAACTTCTTTAAATTCTTCTTCTTCTGGGTGCGATAATGCCGCAAATCCTTCATTAGCAAATTTCGGAATTTTAGCATTTTTAGTTGTCTTCTTTTCTTCCTCCCAAGTTTGCGATTTTTCCCACTCGTCAGTCTCCATATCTTCTTCGAGTAAGAGCTTTTCCATGCTCTCCGTCACTTCTTTCGGATCCAATCCTTTCTCTTCTTCAGTTTTTTCCAAAATTTTATCAATTTCAACTTCTTTATTCGATACCGTAGTATCAAGATTTGGATTAATAACTGCACCAGCAGGTATTAATATATTAGTAGATACCGAAGTATCCAAATTAAAATCAGAAGATGCACTAGCACCCGCTGAAGAATTAGTAGATACCGAAGTATCCAATTTTGAATGAGTGATGCCCGGAATTGTTGTAAAAACTCCACGGCCTTTTCGACGTATTTCAGGTTTTTCTTTAAATTTTTCCATAATTAACTGAAAATAAAAAAAAATTTAAATTATTATTGAAATAGAAAAAAAAAATTGAAATAATAACGCGATCAAAATGGAGGATTAATGTGAAAGGGGAGAAAAATAATTTTGGAAAATTATGGATTTGGAATGTGAAATAAATTTTAAACCGGGTATGGAATGAGATTTATTTTGTGTGTGTATTTATTTACCATAAGTTTTGTGTGTGTATTTTTGGAAAAGTCTAGTTTTATTCAATGGACAGCCTACGGGGTTTTGGATTTACCCTTAAGTTATATCTCTTTTGTCTTTGAGGTGGGATTTCTTCTAACTCTGGACTCTTTTCTCTCTCAACTGTATTTCTAACCTTTCAATTTCGTTATTATTTGTAAAATCTTGTGTCTCGTTTCCTCCTAAACCTGCCTCATCTAGGCATTGCTCTTCCTCAGGTGATAATCTGGGACTTGTACAGGCAGGGGGTAATTCTTCAAAGCATTTCTTTAGTTGGTTTATGTGAACTACCCTTGGAGCTGCGCCAGGTGAATTGCAACTAGTAATTGTTACGTGTGGTCCTTCTATTTTTACAGCCCTGAATATACCTTTCCAAGGCATATGAAATTTTTTCGAAGTTCCTACTTTGCCTGCATAATTTCTCAAGAGAACTCTGTCTCCTACCGTTATTGTGGGGTTTCTTAATAATTTATCATATTGTTCTTTAGCTTTTAGTTGCGCGTGCTTGTTCGCTTCCGCGGCAGCTTCCCATGCAGTCCTTATTGATGTGACTAATTTTTGTTTAAATTCGGAAATGTCATTGCTAATCATAGAGTTGCTTATCGAAGGGTCTATTATTTGATCTATACAAAATATGGGATCCCTTCCAAACATCAGGAAAAAGGGTGTTTCCCCTGTAGAAGTGTGAATTGATGTGTTATAGCAAAAGCTCGCGGCGTCTATGAGTTCGTCAAAGTCTGGCTGGTCTTTACTAATATATTTCGAAATTATATTGTGGAAAGTTCTGAAGGATCTTTCCGTAACAGCGTTGCCTTGCGACCAGTGAGGGGTGGCATAACTTTTGTTTATATAGAGCATGGAGCAAAAATCTCGGAAAAATTCGCTGGTAAATGCAGTAGCATTGTCTGTGATTAGTTCAGTGCAGCCTCCAAATTTGAGGTAGCAGTTAGTTAAAAATGCGCGTGCTAGTGTTATTGCTTTTGTGTCTGGGACTGGTACCGCAATTACATATTTCGTGAACCAGCAGATTATATTCATTAAATGTTTGTTTCCTTTTTGGGTTACTGGGAATGGCCCTGCTAAATCAAGCCCTACTTTTGCGAAAAGTGTGTTGGATGGGACCATATACATTTCAGCTCTGTATGGAGGATTGGGTGAATGTCTTAATTGGCAAGTTATGCAGTTGCGCGTCCATCTTAAAATGTCGGAGTGCATTCTAGGCCAGTAATATTTTCTACATTTTTTGAGAGTTTTCTTTAAGTCCATGTGTCCCCCGCCTAATTGTGATGAGTGGAATGAGTCAAAAATTAGTGCCCTAAGTGAGGCTGGTATGAAAAGCCGTGGTTTCAAATCACCTATTTTCTGATAAAGTACCCCATTTGATAATTCAAGGTTCGCAGCTGCTAGTGTAAAATTTTCTTCATCCTCTGCGGGAATTTCTTTTGGAATTTCTCCTGAAACTATAAACTTAGTGAAGGCTGAAGCTTCAAAATCATCTTCTTGTTCTTTTAAAATATTGATTGAATATCTTTGCCCGTCCTGTCTTTTTAGCGTTATTCTCGGAATATAATCTTCTATATTTAAAACTTCGTTTTGTTGTAGGTTGAGGCATACTGGGAATTCTGCTATATCTTCTAACTCTTCACTTTTTGTGTCTTCTTTTGTGATGGCTCTTGAGAGTGCGTCAGCTAATAAATTTTCTTTACCTGATACATGAACAATTTTTATAATGTAATTCTGTAACTCTATTAGCCAGCGCGCTAGATTCGGGTGTGCTTGTGCCTTTTCCATGAGATATGCCAGCGGTTTATGGTCAGTGTGTAGTTCTACTTCTGCCATGTATATAAACGGACGAAATTGACGCAGTGCATAAATAATTGCGCCTAGCTCAATTTGTACTGGGGGCCATTTGCGCTCTGAGTTTGATAAGGATCTGCTGCAGTATGCGATTGCTTTGTAAGTATTTTTCTCTTTATCTTTTTGCATGAGTGCTCCACCTTGTCCAGTTTGCGATGCATCCGTGAAAACATGAAATGGTTCATTGTAATTTGGAAATACAAGAACTGGTTCGCTGCTTAAAATCTTTTTAATTTCTTCAAAAGCTTTTTGCTGTTCTTCTTCCCATTTGAAAGTAATTTCCTTACGAGTGAGTCTAGTGAGAGGCTCAACAATCATTGAAAAGTTTGGTATGTGTTTTCTGAAAAAGGAAGCCATCCCAACACAATGTCTTACTTCCTTGAGGGTTTTAGGTACTGGAAGGTTTGTTATTGTTTCTACTTTGCTTAGACTTGGGGAATAGCCTGAGGAATTAATTGTGTGTCCTAGAAAGTTCATTTGGGTAGAGGCTAGTATACATTTTTTCGGGCTTACTTTCAGATAATATTTCCTTAATCTGTCAAATACTTGCCTAAGGGCATCGAGATGTTTTTCAAATTCAGGAGCTTTGGTAAAAATTAAAAAGTCGTCTACATAAGCTATGACACTATCTTCAAGTCCACTAATTACATGTGCCATTACACGTGCAAACGCGCTTGTCGCATTTTTAAGTCCGAAAGGCATGTGAGTCATTTGATAAATTTCATTTTCAGTTATGAGTCCACATTTGCGTGACGCTCGCTCAGTGAGCCTAATTTGTAAATAGCCACTGGACAAATCTAGCAGTGAATAAAAGCTACAACTTCCTACTTTTTCCATAATTGTTTCAAATCTAGGCAGTGGAAAATGGTCCGGAACAGTTATTTCATTGAGTTTTCTAAAGTCTATGCATGGTCTGAGTCCTCCGTCCTTTTTCTGGACAAGAACAATGTTCGAAACCCATGGTGTATCAGACTTAATCATAACACCTGATTTAAGTAATTTGTCAATATGTTCGTGGAATTCTTCTTGGTACTTGAATGGAACTCTGTGAGGTCTAGTAGAAATTGGTTCATCGGTAGTCGTAATTATGTCATGCTCCCCTACTAAGCATGACCCAAGATCATATTGACTTTTACTAAATATGTCAGAGAATTCTTCGCATAGGTCCTTTAATTTTTGTAAGTCATTTCCCGTAACAGAACTTTTTGAAAAATCTATTTTAAAAGCAGGGTCTTCGTCTAAAGCATTAACCATATTTTCAAGTACACGAAATTTATTTAATTCACTAAAATTATTTTTTGTATTTTCTGTTAGCCACGGCCCTTCATTCCTTTCTTTTAGTTCATTAGCATAGGCTATGTGCATGCCCTTACAAATATGTTTAGGGGCGTTAGTTGGATTTGTTATTAATAAACTAGCAATTTTGTCGGAAGCTTTAAATACAGTACTGATTAGACCGAGATTTTCAGAACTTAAGCGTTCATCTAGAGAATGTGAAACTGCATATTCAAAGTCGCAAGTTGTTTCGAGTTTCGCATTAACTATTTTATTTGTCCCTGGGGGAATTGTTATAGATTCAAGAGTTGCAATCCTAACATTTGTTAATAAAGGTAGGTTACCTGTGCCCAAGTTTAGTGATTTATTTCCAATCCAAATTTTCCCTTTTGGAAAGTCAAAGGTTACCGTCGGTAATGTTTTTAGTACATCGCATCCTATTATTAATTGGTAATTTCGCCTCTCAATTAATTGATTGTCCTCTACGAGATTAATTTTAGCAATTTGTTTATGACCACTTATATCCATAAGAACGTGCATTGATGCATTAGCTGAGATTTCATGCCCTGAGGCGGAGGTTATACCTATTTTTGTGGGTTCTATATTTGCGTCCAAAAATTTAGCTAAGGATAGAGGAGCAATTGAAATGCTTGCACCAGTATCAATTAAGCAGTTAAGCGGTTTATTATTAATTAAAATTCGTGTGACTGCGGTACTCGGATAGACTGAATTTATTTGATGTTCTATTGTAAGTGTGTTGACTACTGGATCCGGTGTTATGTCTGGACTAGGATACTTAGATACCTTGGGGATCCATGATTTAACCTCTTGTTTGTTTTCTTGTCTCAAGCCATTTTCTTTTATGTCATGAGAGTGATTAGTAGATGCCGTAGCATCCAAAGCTTTTTGTGTACTATTAAGTACATTCTTCCCAATTAGTAGTCGGCCTAAACGCCCATTTCCTAAATATACTTCTAAAATTTTCAAACCCCAACGAATAATTAAGTCTAAGGTTAAGATTGAGATTAAAATTGTTGCTATTACTTTCCAAGCCCAAGTATAATCACCTAATACTTCTTTTGTTAAATTCATGCTTGCTTCTTTCCACTGTTCTGACAGTGTTTTAGTTATAATCATGTCTTTATTTTCAATTCTGTATGAGAGTTCACTAAGTTTGGCAAAATTAGTCATGTAAGTGTGCGTGTTAATGTCTGTTAGGTTTACTAAGACTAGTTGATGAAATGAGTGGGCCTTAATTTCTGGTATGTCAAATGCCCTTAATTCATTCTTTTTAATTAATCTTGGATGGACCGTTTTTACTTCCCCAGTTAGTTGATTAATTTCTAAAGTTTCATGATTTAGTTCTAAAATTATATTTTTAAATTGTGCACATGGTGCTTTCTTTGATGTTGGTTGAACTATCATTGTCGTTGGGTCTAAGAACGCCAAATGTGTTTGATTTTCAGTAGTTAGTTGAATGGGAATGAGTTCAAAACATTCTTCTAAGTTAGTTGGAATAAAATTAAATTCTTCTTCTTTTAGTGCAATACATGGCCAAATTCTCAATAAAGAGGAGCCTTCACGTTTTGCAATTAAATAATTATTTCCAAATATTATTCTTGCAAGTTCAGTGGGATTAGAAATAAGCGAGGCTAGTGCCCATCTTTTTACTTCTTCTAAATGGTCGCAGAGTGCTTTAAGTGAGTGAGTAAAGGCAAATGTTAGTGTTTCGGCTAGTTGTGTGTCAAGATACGTAGTTCAGCAGCCATTTCAGGCGAAGTTACTATACCCAGTTTTTCAGTGTTTAAGCTTCTTTTAGGTCTTGTCGATTTTATTGTTGTGGCAAATCCTTGTTCTGAGACTTCTAATTCTATTCCACATTCAGTTAATTTATGAGGGGGTTTGTTAAAGTGTAATGCTAACTGTGCATCGTCCGAGAGCCAAGTGTTGTCCAAAATTTTCCCATTATACTCCCCAAACTTTAAATATCTACATAATTGATTTTTATTTGGGACCCATTCAAGGACCGTTTTGTCTTCCAATGTGCAGTTACCTATAGCATATGAGCAGTTATTCGTGCTTCCTAGTGGAGTTCTAATAACAGGTTCGCCCCAGTGTGAGTTAATTTGTAAATTAAACAATAAACAATTTTCGACTGATACTGTGGTCCACCAAAAGGAACCTAGTAGCCACATTTTTGGACTAACATCCAATTTATTTTGTGTACTCCAGATATCATTTTCTTTAGTCATTGCGCCTAAACTACATTGCTTTTCTTTAATCATGCGCGTGCATTCTTCATTTGTTACTTCTAGCATTTCTGAACCTATTGCCTCATTAACAGGTACATTGGAGAGTGTGGTAAATTTTCTAATAGACTTCTTTATTTTTCTACAAGCCCAACCTTCTGTGGTATATTCAAGATCATTCAGAACATAAAGAGACCTGGTTTGTGGTACTGGTATGTGTGACATGTTATTTTCTAGGGAAGGGCAGTGCGCGAGTTGTGGTAATGCCCAAATCGTTGATTGTTTTTCCATTTGGCATATCATAGGCATTCGAGGTGTCGGGACGCTAAATGTTGCGCCGCAGGATGTTATTATCGCAATTAGCATTAGTAAAGGAAATAGTTTTGGTCCTATGGATTTTGATTCCCAAGAAGAAATTTTTATTTCAGACTCCTTTTTAGAATTATTTTTATTCTCATTTACTTGTAATGGCTTTTTATTCCCAACTTCAATAGAATTTAAATTTTGCTGGGAGGGTCCTGCCGAATTTTGAGACCCAGTTTGTAGATTACGAATTCCCGTTAAAATTTCTTTTAATAGAGTATCACTATACCTCTCATCTTTACTTTGATTAGATGTACCTTGTACCATTTGAGGATTTCCATTTTGTCTATTCATGTAGTCAGTCAAGCGGGTACGGCAATTGGCGGCAAAATGTCCGACTTTTTGACAGTAGTTGCATACAGGTCGATTATTCCATCGTCGTTCATTGTCAGGTGCTCTTATTTGTTGTCGGCTTCGGTTGTTGCCCTGAAAATATCTAGAATTATTTTGGTTTCTTGGATAAGACCCGTTTGGATTGTATCTCCAGCCATTTCGAGGTTGTTCTCTGTTTGGGTTAGTTTGATTCAAAGTTTGAAACCTACCTGGCTTGATCATGTAATTGGATTGTTCTTGTTGTACGGCGTTCAATTGAGAGTGTTCGTGTTGTGTTGCATTGAGTGGAGCAGTTCCACTAACAGCCGGGAGCATTATTTCAACTTCTCGAGCGTCCATACATAGTTGTTCAAAACTTCTACCAGTTTGCGTGAAGTTTAATAATTTCATGTAGAATGAGATGCTTGGCTTTAGTCGTTCAAGTAAAAGTTCACATAAATGTCGTTCTAAAGCAGGACCTTCATAATCAGTTGCTGTTGCTAAAGCAATAGGTCTAAAGCGTGCCAGAAAGTCTTTGACATTTTCATTTTCATGTTGTTTGCAAAAGGAGAGTGCCTGTCGGGAGAGCACTCGGCGTTGTGGTGAATCTAATTCTTTTCTAATAAATTTAATTGCATCTTGGACAGTTGCCTTTTTAACAGGTTCTAGTTTTTCTAAAATTTGTTTTGGAGTGTCTTCTAAAAATAATGAAAGTCGATTTAATTTTTCTTCCTCAGAAAGTTTTGCCCCAAATACTTTAATTCTTTCTAAAAACTTTTTACTCCATTTATCAAATGTTACCAGACTGTCTTCAGAGTAGATTTCCAGAGGCGTTATTCCTTCATGGTGAAGCATATTGATAGTGTGTTCAGTATTTTGATCAATGTTGTCGTTCCTATTGTCATCGTTGCTTTGGATGTTAATGTTTTGAGCAACGTCGCTTTCATCTGAAAATGTTAATATTCGACTTTTCGGTGAGCTCTGTGGTTTTCGGCTTATAGATCTTATTATGGGTGACAGTGATCTAGATTTTTCTTTGGTCCGGGCTTCCATTCTTTCAGCACAGCTTTCAATTTGTGTCCCTAGAGTGGCAAATCCAGTGTTTACTTCCTCTGCAAGCTTGCTTAAATTTATGGAATTTTGATTGACCTTTCGATTTATAGCCCTTAGTGATCTATTAACTCCTTCTTCAAGCCTTATTGTATCAGAATGAACCTTTTCCAGATCAGTCATCTTGGCTTGGCTACTTAAGATTTTACCTGACATTAAAAGCTTGTCAACAACATTGACAGAGATGTCTTCTGTCTGATTGGATTTGCTTGATAATGCACCAGCATTAGCAAGATAATTAGTAGGTACCGAAGTACCCATTGGAATATTGGATGCCGAAGCACCAATGTTCGGAGGATCCTTGGACCCCATGTTAAGAACGTTTTTTTTTTTGAGAGAGAGAGAGAATTTGTTGATTTTTCTTTAATACACAATACGACTTATGAGTGAGATCTGTCCCTTTATATATCCCTTTTATTTTATTGGACTTTATTCCTTGTTGTAATAGTTTGAACAAACAAAAGTTTAAAGCTTTTTGTTCATTAGCTTAAGTTTGTTTACGTTCCCAGGCTTTTGTAATAATTTTATCTTATCGCTTTTCAATTAATGCAATTTCTCAAAAGGAAAAAAAGGATTATTATTATTCTTTTTTATTGTAATGCTTGAGAGCGAGAGCTTTGATCTCTCAGCAAAATTATTTCCGCTGAAGGGGAAGAAAAGAAAAAAAAAATTGTAAATGTGCACAAGAGCAAAACCCAAATTTATAAAACGCCAAAGCGCATAGCCCAAAATGTCACTAAAATTGATTGCCAGGCATTGGACCTTAAACATCGGGATCTGTGAGGATTAATTTTATTCAACTCGAATTTGTTTAATTCTGATTGTTTCGGATTTATTGACTCGGATTTATTCAACTCGGATTGTCCCTCACACACACGTTATTATTATTTATTTATTTATTTAAATAAATACACACACAACCCTCATTTTGGACTTTGTTTGAGTAAATGCGGTTAACTACTTATTTCACATTCCAATGTGTAAGGGGAATAAAAATAAAAATTCGCGAAAATTCACGAGAGGGGAAAAAAAAATTTTAAGAAGATTCACGAGAGGGAAAAAAAATTTGCGAAAATTTACGAGAGGGAAAATAAACTGTCATATATTCAAAAATAGAAAGTAAAATATTTAATTGAATTGAAAATTTTCGGACAAAATTGTTGAGTTTTTTTTTTTTAACTGTCAGTTAAGGAATAATCAAATTAGAAAAAAAATAATAATTGTCAATTGTTTGAGAGAGGAAATACAAAACATTTATTTAAACAGACTTTCCTTTGTAAGTAAAAAAAAATCCTATCCTTAGTTTTTTTAGTGGGAAGTTAATTGACTAAAAATAAGACTAGACTGACTTTTCGGCTTTCAAATGGTCAGTGTTGCATTTAACTTTTTCCATTAAATTTGACAGTAACTAAAATAACAACTGTCACGCTTTTTACTTTTTGATTTTTCTTTAACAACAAAACCAGTCTCCAAAAACATTGGAAAAGCTTTTCTGATTTTTATCTATTTTTAGAACAATGAAAACTTTATTTAAATCTTTTAAATTTAGATGTTTTGTTGTTAAAAAAAATATTTTGATAGATAAACATGTTTAATTAGAAAACAATTTACAACCTTAAGACGCTTGTTTTGCAATTTTCAATCCAAAAAAAACTTGATAAAGAACTGTTTTTGTTTCCATTTGCTTTTCAATAAAAGAACAACAAACATTTAGAAAATGTTTGTTGTTGTTGTTGATACTAGAAAAATGTTTGTTGATACCAGAACATGTTTAATTACAAAACAAACACCAATCTTTAAAGCTCTAGTTTTACAATTTATGAAAGCAAAACATTAAGTTTGTAGTGTAGTTGGAAACGACTAGGTTTTGACAGTTTGTAAGAGAAAATACGACGAGGGTTCGAACCCCACCGGTTGTAAAAAAAATTTTTTCTTGAAAATAAACTTAAAAATACTACAGTACTACATAAAAGAATGAAATTAGGCCTGTAAATATACTAAATAAATCAACCTCTTTTCCTTTATGTGTGGCAATAAAAAGAGAATATCTAAAAATCTTTTAAAAACCTTTTTTTTGGAAAATAAATTTTTAATGTTTAAAAAATTAAATTGAATTCAAAAACAACAAAAAAAAATTTTGATTAATTTTAGGAATTATGGATTTAATGAAAAGTAAAATTAATTTTCTCTATAAACCTAATAGAATTTTACTAGTGTTATTGGCACACAAATAACGTTAGAAAAGGAAAGAGGTAAACGTGGATACTGTATAGAAATAGTAAGAGAGGAATTAAAGCGCTAATAAACAAAAACACAGGTTAAGGAAAAATTTTCTCTCATTTTCAATATAACAATTTTCGGATGAGCCCTCTCTTCTTTTTCACTTTATCCCCGAAGAGTCAGTCTACTTAATTTACATAATAAATTTTATTTTCCAATTAAAAAACAGCAAAATGTGTGTGAGAAAAAGTAGTCGTAATAAAAACTAAAAACCAGTGACTATTTTTATTCTTTTGTATTTCGATTTAGAAATGGAGAAAGGTTAAAAATTAGCACGATTTAAGAATGGAAAAAAAAATTTTATAGACAAAATAATGGTTAACGGAAAATTTTCTCTCATTTTCAAAACTGTCAATTTTCGGTGAACCCCTCTTTTCCATTTTACCCCAAAAAAGTCAGTCTACTTAATTTATTTATTAAATTTTATTTTTCAATAAGGATTGGATTAGTGTTTATTGTGGCGAACAATGAAATGAAAAATAACTAGTCTAAAACAACAAAGTGTGTGAGAAAGAGTAGTCGTAATAAAAGCTAAAAACGAGACTGTTTTTATTCCTTATTTTGATTTAAAATAGAGCAAGGTTAAAAATTAGATCGATTTAAGAATAGAAAAATTTTAAAATAGCAAAAGGCTTTAAAAAGATAGAGGAAAAAAAATGGGGAAAGAGTTGGCGAGTACAGTAAAGGAATTGTTTATTAAAATTCTGTTTTATAAGTCTCTAGTGTTGAGTGTCAAGTGCTTTTCAAGGTTTTTTTTTTGAAAGTTAATATACTTAACACTTGATACGGATGTCATGTAGGAGGGTGCACTTGACACCCGACAAAACAGTGGGAGTGTGCACTTGACACTCGACAAAATACTCGACACGGATGTGGAGTAGCCTAATTTAAAAACATTTAGTATGTGGCAAAATCGCTTTCACGGGATCCTGTAATTTTTACCATTTATAAATTTTAGTTTCAATTACAATTTCAAAAACTGTTTTGTAAATGTTAAAATTAATTTTCAAAAAAAAATATTTTCCGGAGAAAAAAATAAAAATAAATTTTATGTAGCATTGAAAATACACAAATGAAAGATCAATTCATTTTCCTTACTAAAAATAATATAAAATGAGAAAAGGCTGACTTTTTCTAAATGCAAAAAGGTTTATTTTTGACCGGCTCCGTCTGACACGACTGGCAGAATTAATTCTTATTTCTTTTAGAGAAAGAAGAGAACAAAAAAAATTGTTTAAAAATGCAAAGTGAATAATAAAAATGAGCAAAACACAAAAACAATTTTTATGAGTAAGAAAGACTGTGTATAGGCCAAACAACAAAATTGTATTTTTAAAAAATGTATTTGTGAATTGTAAATTGTATTTTCAAAAAAAAAATTTTTTCAGACGAAACGAAACGAAACAAAATTAAAAAAACAACGTTTCGTTAACGAAACGAGACGAAACACCAAGAATTAAGTGAAACGAAACAAAACGAAACATTTTTATTTAAAAAAATTTATAAAAACCGTTTTATTTTCTTTATTATTCGCTTTTAAACACGCTAATTTTAAACACGCTCTTTTCAAAATGGTCTTACTTGAGAAAGGTAGTTTTAAAAATGGTCAGATTTAAAAAAAATCAATTTAAAAATTGTCAAATTTATAATGGTAAAATTTCTAACTGGCCAAGTTTAAAAATACTTTTGGAAAATTAATCAAACGTTAAACGGATGAATGAATAAGCACAGAACTAAACTTTTTTTTTGAGTCCCATTTCAGATAGATTTAAACTATGAGTTTTGAATCGGCTATAACATTTTTGGAAAGCCATAAATTTTTGAATCGGCCCTAGAATTTTGAATTGGCCAAAAATTTTCTTTTTAAGTTCCTGAATAAATTTTTCTCTTATTTTTAGTAATACAGCCATAAAGAAATATATTTTATTTTTTTTTTTTTTAACTACCATGAATTTATATTATTCTCCAATTAAAACAATTTTTTTAAATTAAATGTTGTTGTTGTTGTTAAGTATTCTACATAGCTAATAGTACATAGAATAAATTTAGTAGGTACCTAAGTACCCAAATGTAAACCATCACCTTTTGGTGGAAAACTTCAATTGGGTGGAAAAGCATCACCTTTTTTTTGTAGGCCATAATGAATTAATAAATATTTTTGTAGGGCCATGAATAATTATTTTCTTCTTTATCTTTTTTTTTTGTTAAGGCCAATATGAATAATTAATTTCTTCTTTATATTTTTTAAGGCCAATATGAATATTTTTGTTGTTGAATATTATTATTATAAAATGCGCTAGTAGGTACCTAAGTACCCAAATGGTGGAAATAGACATCACCCTTCCCGGGGAAATAAATGAATTTACCATGCCCTACTGTAGCCTCCCGGGCCGGTCCGTGCACTGACCGGACCCGGGGAACGCGACGGACCTTTCCCTTACCCACGAAGGGTAAGGAGTCCGGTGCTACCAGTTAAATAGGGGCCCGCCTATTTAAGGATGAGGAATTGAAGGTGGAAGATATTAGAATCCCAGAGGTGTTAAGAGCTAAGTAGGGTTAATGGTTTCGGTATACCGCTTGATCTAGCATTTAGCTGACCGTAATCAATAATATAAGCTCAGTTGGAATGTTCTTCAACTGGATAAAAGAGTGACTCACAGTCCAGGCCGACTGAAGCGCTTTTCCCTATTTTCCTTTGGATTATAAGCTTCTTCTCTATAGGCGGGTTTATCGCTTGTTTCTCACTGATTACACTTTGCAACTTCCTTTTGCCTAGCGTATGAATTCCGCTTTTCCCTATTCACGTGAATTTCCTTTTTAGCATTTTAATCAAAGTCCACCTAGCTCTCGGATTTAACTTTAGAGTCTAACATAATCGTATAAATTATAATCAATCTGCCTAATAATATACACAATTTAGGTGTAGAAAGATGGATACTAATGCCGTTTTTTCGAAATAAAATTTCAACAAAAATGTTATTAATCATTTTTTATTTAAAGTTCTAAGGCGGAAAATAATAATTTGTTAAATCTTGAAGTTAAAACTGACTACAATAATTGTACAATAGACATAGGTATTATGTACAAGGATAGGTCCATCGCATTGAACAATAGAAAATAATTTCAATTTCAATCGACTTTATTGGCCATTTTTGTTATGTACAATTAGTCTTAATTTATGAAATCTCTTAATATTTCTGCTGACATAGAAATCTTTTTTGTTTCTCATTCAAAAGTAAATTTCGTTAGTAAAACACAAAAACTATAAAATACCTCTTTTATTTCATGAAAACAAAATATACAATTCAAAATTTAGGGGGAAGAGAATTAAAACAATGATTCATTTGGGTATTTTACAAATTAGAGACAGAAATTGGTGGGAATATTTATATTTATTTATGTAATATTCGAGAGAAAATTTTAAATTTTTTTCTTTTCCCTCTCATTCAGAGCCTCTAAGAGATGAGTTTTGCGCGTATTTATGCCTTGATCATTCAGAGCTTCACCGGCTTCTTAGACAGATCCTTCTTTGATGGCGTTTGAGGAGTAGCATGCTTCCGGTCCTTCTTGGAAGATTTCCCACTGCTTGCACTTCGACTGCGAGAACGACTGCCGTCTAAAATAATTAATTTGTCTTTAACAATTGAAATGACAAATTTTAAAAATTCACCTTTCTGTCCCTTTCGACCCTTAGAACCCCCGCCAGACTTGCGACTGCGAACTTTGCCAGCATCGGACTTTGATGTTGCATCGGACTTGGACGCTGAAAATAAAACATTGACGGCTGTTTTTCTATTCTAGCCAAATTCTCATTACCTTTCGACCCGCCATCGCTTGTTGAACCAACTGTCCGACTGCTTTTGCTGCTGCTCGCATCCTTCTTACGACGATGACGGCCGGATGAACCACTTCTCTTCTTAGCCTTTGAAGTTTTCCCATCAGCTCCAGCTTCTCCCGCACTCGTTGGAACTGGGAGTTTACTGCCTCGGCTATGGCCCTTTGCCTTTTTCTCTTTCGATGCCGTTCCAGTACTTCGTTCCGATCTTCCTTTACTCTGCTTTGAATCTTCGCCTTTTTCCTTCATGTCCCTCACTTCCACTGGCCCTACCAAGTAGATTGGAACTGGTACTGGAGCACCTAAACGACTTCAAACTTTCAAGTTTATGTAAACCCAAAATTCACCTTCAAATTCACTTTCACCGCCTTCACTTTCTGGGCTGGCTTCTGACCGCTTCTCACTTCCAGCCTCCGAAGTCCCTTTCTCCGACCCTACCTAAAACAGGGATTAAAAGTTAAACACGCTTTAGACATAAAACATCACCTCATACTCCCCTGGAACGGGATTGTCCACCGGATACAATGTGACGTAGTAGACCACAGCAACCACGATGGACAGCAGCAGTAGCATGAAGAACATGTTGACGAGACGATGCGACCTCTGATGAGTTGATAGAACGTTTTGCGTTCGCGTCGAATTGAAGAATGTTTTGTTGTTTTTACATGAATTGCTGCGACTTTTATATGTTTTATCTAACCTAGTTTCTTGTCATGAAACCTATAAAAGCACGGCTCGAAGTACACCGAATAACCTCTTCAATACTAGCAACTCCAACCAACTCCAACCTTCGCGCTCTTCACTCTTCAAATGTAAGTTTAACCTTTCTTTATCTATCGTCTAATTCATCACTAATTTTTCTCAATTTTTCAGGCTGGTGACAACTCCCGACGACAGGATCGTGTTCCCGGTCAAGGAGGACTCGCCGCCGGAGCCGCTCGTGGAGCTGAAGATCGAGAACAAAGGAGACACGATCCAGCTCTACAAAGTCAAGTGCACGAAGTAAGCGTCAACCATTTTGCGTCGTTTAGGACAGACCTAACCCTCTTTTATTTTTCAGCAATGAGCTCATCAAGATCCGGCCCCCTGTCGGCATTCTGAAACCTGGAAGCTCGGCGACGGTTAGGCTTCTTCTCCTGACCAAGGAAGACCTGCCAGAGGACGACCGCCAATGTTTGTTGCTGCACTCTTCATTTTTGCCACAATCAAGCTTTTTTCCTTTTCAGACGTCGCGGTCTACAACCACGACACCGAAGACTCGAACACGAAGGCGCGAATGCAGTGGGACATGGTCAAGAAGGAGCAGGGCATCAAACGTCTCTACGTGCGCTTCGAACGCGAATAGGACGGAAGCGGAAGATGCGTGATGATCATGAAGTGCCACTGTGATTGCCATGTAGAAAAGATTCTCACCCTTGTGATATATTCCCACTGTATATTGTGTCCTATATGTTGTGCAATCACTCTCATCCTATTATGTTGTAAATGTATTTTTGTTGTGATAATCTATTGCCCAAACATTGTTGTATATATTGTTTGTTTGAAATAAATATTTGTATGATTTGGGATTTCTTTTTTTTTGACTGAGATATAGGAATAGGGAGATGAGTATATGAGTTAAGGAGTATCCTTTTGAACGACTGTTTTTGCCCTTTGACGACAAAGGAGGGTGCCTGAGGTGTCCGTGGGACTCATTGAAATGAATCTTGAGTAATGTTTTTCCCCAAAATTTTGGAAAGAGAATTTCCCAGATCTCTTATAAATTTTAAAAGTTATTGCCTAGAAATTTCAAGACGAATGTGATTTAATTCGTTGCGTTATCTTAATTGCCGTTTTTTGACTGATTGTGAGATATAAGCCTTTTATCCTTTTAGTTGAGATAAAGAAGGTGATAAATGGTCTTTTTTCATTTAACTTGTCTGATGACATTTGCTTTTCAAGCATAAAAGTCATTGAAAACTTAGAATACTCCCCATTAATAATAAAATATATTCCCATGAATCGTTTTAATTTTTCTTACACAATTTTGGTAAAATAATTGCCCGAATCTTTTATTAATTTAAAAGCCTTGTATTCTTAGTTCTTTAGACCGGAATATAGTTGAATAAAGATCTCCAGAATAAAACTTAATTTTTAGCTCACCAACGGGAATATGTTTTTTACAAAATTTTTTGACTGGGCTATTTGAGTAAAGATGTATCCTGATCTTATCTCTGATTTTAAGATTGTTCTGTTTCTCAGATGAATAATATTTTCTGTCTTATAATCTTCCTGTCTCAATAAAAAGAATTGAGAAAAGATTTTCACTTTTTTAAATTTTTTTAATTAAGTCGTTACTAAGAATTTGCTTTGATTTTTTATCCTAATTCTTCAATTTTATCCTAATTCTTCAATAATTCCTAATTCATCAATATGATGGAATCTAAATTTAAACAAAAATATAGCATTTAATTTATTTTTGTATTTATTATTTCAAAAATATTTTTATTAAATTTTAAACAAAAATTACCACACGACTAAAAGAAATTTCAAAAAAATTTTCTTTACTTCCTCTACCATTTATTTCCTTTCACACGTTTATTTAATAAAATTTTATTCACCTGTTTTGTCATTTATTTTATCGAAATTTTATTTGCTTAAGGAATAAACGTTTTAATAAAATAAATAAAATTATTCATTTAAAGAAAATTTTATTTTATGTTGAAAGTGTCCCCCCCCCCCTCTTGTCTTTATTTAATTTAAATATTTGAAGAATGAAAATATTAATTATTTTTTACTTTTTTGTTTTGCTAATAATATATCAATATAATATTAATTTTGTAAATGCCTGTAAATGTGCCCAACAATCAATCCAAATTAAATATTGTCGGTCTGATTGGGGTAATAAATAATCAAATTAAATAAACATAAACAAAATTAATTTTAAAACATTAATTTACAAAAATTAAGCCGCTCATATTTTATCACTCAAAAAAGAAAATATAAATGAAACTGAAGGGTTTTCAAGAGAAGTTCGTTATACTGTTAAAATTTTGAATATTTACAAGGCAAGTTGTTTAATTTTGGAATAATTAACATATATTTAAAAATAAAGGATAAAATATGTCATCCAAAAAGAAAGAAAGATTTTGTTTTTACGGCTTCACAAAGCGCTGCTTGTGGCGCTTATCTTGAAATTGGCAAAGAATATTTAATTGGAGGTACATATTTAATTATTTTAAAAAAATTTATTTTTTAAAATAATTTTTAGGTAATTATCGCGATGATGATATAAAAAAGCGGATAAGTTCATGCGGACTTGTTGAAAAATGGGATGATTTGTCTGTGGAAATAGAGGATTTAAATAATGGAAATTTTGATAAAAATTGTACACAATGAGAGGAAGATAATAAAATAAATTTTTTGATTAAATGTTTGTCACGGCACGAGCCTAAGAGAAGTTGAAATTTTGCAGTAAATATTAAATTCATATTAAATGACATCTTGAATTAAATAACAATATACGAATCAAAAGATTCTTTAAAAACATACTAGTAGTATTTTTTTTAATTTCAGAATTTTTCTTTTATTTACTTCCAAATTTTTAAATTTTAAAAATTCTCTAAATAAAGAAAAGTTTGCAAGATTTCCCCGCTTTCGGCTCTTAAATTATGTCGAAATTCTATTTAAATACAAAAAAATATTCATTATTTAATGTAATAAAAAACAAATTATGTAGATAAACAAATTACTAAAAAAAGCTTTTAGATAGTTGGTTAGATTAAAATAAAAATAATTTATATTTTTTGATTTTTATTTATTTAAAAAAGAAGGTTATTTTTAAATAATTAATATATTCTTTCCTTTGTTTTAACTAAAAAACAAGCGAAACAAACAACAAAACAAAAACAAAAAAGTTGAACATTTTTTTTCTTTTTCTAAACTTTTTTTTGTTTGAAAATCTTTCTCAATATTTTGGCAACAATTTGTGATAATATTTTTATTGTTTTTGAATTTATTAAAGTTAGGTAATATTAAATATTAATTGGCATTCTGTACATATTAAATAAAAATATGTACACAAAAATAAATGATAGATTTCTACATCTTACAAAATCAGATTCCTAATGAATATTAAAATGACCAATTTGACTTTTCAGATAAAATATTTGTTTGACTTTTGGCCCTCTCCTCCATTCCCGAAAGTCTAGAAATTCTAGAAATCCTCCTCTCTTAGTTTCCCTAAAAATTCTCCTCTAAACTTTCCATCCCATCGAGGGCAGGGCTGTGCGCCAAAATTTTCGCGTGGCGCGCCAAACGCCAAACGCCAATTTTTTAAATTTTAAAAACACGCCAAACGCCAAACGCCAAAAATCGGCCAAAATCAACGCCAAAACGCCAAACGCCAAACGCCAAACGCCAAAATTTTTAGAGTCTATAAAGACTTAAAAACCACTGTTCATCTCATTTTAGCGCCGCAGGCGAAATTTTTTTAATTTTCAAGATTCCCAGAAGCCAGAATTCATCCTTTTTTACCGCCGGAACGAAATTTTTGAGAATTCTGGAGGCAAAGAAGCCGAAATTCATCCTTTAAAAAATTTTAAAAAATAAGAAATTTATAGAACTCCTTGAGATTAAGGTGGATATGAAGGGATAAAGGGAGTAATGAGTATAACAGAGGTCATGAAGAGAGTAAACGATTGACGGGACTAAAGTTTTTTTTCTGCTTCCTCCTTTAAGCGCCGCAGGCGAAAATTTTTAAAATTTTGGAAGTCCAAGCAGTAGATTTCTTCATTTTTTATGCGCCGCAGGCAAAAATTTTGAGAATTTTCGATGACTGTACGCAGAAAAATTTCCTTTTTCGATCATCCCTTTCTCCATTTATTTAAAAAAAAATTCATCATTAGGGGTGTATATTTTTGGCGTTTGGCGCGCCAAAATCGGAAAATCACGCCAAACGCAAAACGCCAAAAATCGGCCAAAATTAACGCCAAAACGCAAAACGCCAAACGCCAAACGCCATGACGCACAGCCCTGATCGAGGGAACAATTTACCGAAAAAAAATATTTTCTTTTTGAAAAAAAATTATTATTTGCCATTTTGTAAAATATTTTTTCAGAAAATATTTAAATAATTATTTTTTGTTGCATTTCCTCATTTAGTTGACCTTTATAAATAATATTTTTAGCCTCCATTTAAATAAAAATATAATATTTCACTCAAGCTAAAAGCATAATCAATCCCTTCTCCTTTCCAAAAAATTCTTTTCCCTTTCTCTCCGGTTTGTTTGTCTGTTCGATGGCCCCAATAATTTATCTATTATTTTTCCTTTTCTTCCCAAAAAAGGTTGTAGATATTAAAGTATAATTAATGGTATATAATATACAGATTTAAGTAAACCCTCTATTGTATGTACATTTTTAATTTATTTTGGTAGGACCGTGTTTTGATAAGACCGCCGTGTTTTGTCTGTTACGCGTTTTAGAATTCCTCGTTTTGCTCTTCACCCAATTTTTGGAGAAGTCTATCTAATTGATTTTATTAAAATATGTATATTTCAGAATTACTCGTAGAATTACTTGTTCCGACACTGAATTTTCTCTAATTTAGCTCACTCTTCCCTGTTTTAACCTTCGACTTTTTTGGTTACGAAAAATTCCATCCCTAACATCCCTAACAAATTTTTGATAAGGGATGTTGGTCCGGAATTTTTGGTTTGAGCCTTCGGTTCAGTTCCAAATATCTAATGATTTTCCGCAAATTTCTAATTTCATTTTTGGTAAGAGAAGCAAAACAAAAATTTTTTGTTCTTATTTCTATTCACTTTCCCTTCAGTACATATAACGTCTACTTTCCGTATACCCTAGTTTTTTGGAAAAATATATTTCAATAAAATCATATCCAAATAAAAAAGGAAGACAACAAAAGCTTTAAAAAATATTTAATTTTTACTTTAAAATAAAAGAAAAAGCAGCAAGCAAGTTTTTAAGATTTGGCCATTCCTTCCTCTCTTTTTTCTTAATTTTATGAATAGATCAACGCATCCCAAGTTTTTTTGTTCCCCTTCCCCTCCCTTCCCTTACCTTCATTTTCTTTTATTAAATTCTTAACATTTTAATGTTTTCTTTTTAGAACAAAAGAAAAATATAAAAAAAAATCTAAAAAGTGCTCACACTTTTTTAATCAAAAAATTTTTTGGTAAGAGAAGCAAAACAAAACTAAATTTTTTGTTCTTCTTTCTATTCACTTTCCGTATATATTTATCCTTTTTAAAAATATTTACTTTATTCTTCACACATTTTCTGATTTTTGTTTGTTTTTCTTTGATTTCTGAAACTTTTTCTTTACTTCAATTAAAAGTCTGAAAATTAAAACTTTTTCTGTTTCAAGTTTTAATTTAAAATAAAAATTAATTTAAATATTAGTACTTTATTATATAAATGATGGGTAAAACATACATAATTAGTCAGAACTAGGTTAGCACCTTGCTCCCGACGAATTTTTGGGCGAAACCCCGTCCGAACCCCGAAGGCTCTACCCCAACTAACCCCAAAACCGAAGGCTCGGGGTGCTACAATAATCAGAACTATTGTTGAGATTTTGCTTAAAATTTTATGATGATTAAATTATAAAGAAAAATTTCCTTGTTTAATTATGATTAGAGATCGGACCGTACCATACTACAGCCGTTTTTCGGTATTTATCTGTATTCCGTATCGGTAATATGATACAAAATTCCGATCTTTATTTATGATTATTTATTTATTGAGACTGGACTTGAGTTGTTGATTGTCAAAATTTTTGACTGATATATTTTGACCAATATATCTTAATTACTCATCAGTAGGGCTGTCTGTTTGGAATCTAACCAAACCTATCTGATTTGAGTATTTTTTGGTTTGATTCCTCGGTTCAGTTCCAGATATCTAATGATTTTTTTGCGAACCGACAACCTTACTCATTCTATATAAAATTTTTAAAATTTTATTTCAGACTTAGATATTTATTTCTTTATTTTTGTGCCTTTTTAACAACATACTAATTATTTATATATTTAAATACTAATATTTTTTGATAAAAAAATGGACAATCTTTATCCTTCTTCAACTGACCCATTATTACTTAGTTCTTCAAATGAAGAATCTCCAGAACAAATTGAACAAAAAAATAAATATTTACAAACAATAACCTCTACTCCAAACAATAACCACCAACACATTCATTTTAAAATTGGTCTGATTAATTTAATTTTTGTTTTTAAAAATTAATTTAAATTGAAGGTGATGAAACTGATCAAGAACCTTTGGATAACGAAATGGGTACTTCATTGGCTACTTTAATTGCTAATAAGGTGTGGGAATTTTTTTTGTTTTTACGACTAATATTTTGGATAATTGACCCTCCTCTAATCACAAGGATAATTGTTTTAAAAATAATTAGGGGAAGCGATAAAAGAAAGTGTCTAATCGAATTTGGATCAAATTCTATCTTTATTTTTCTTTTTATTAAGCTAGTTTCTGTTAGCTAAAATATTTATCAATTAAGGAATTATTTTTACTTATTTACTTTTTAAATGAAATTATTCTCAATTAAGTATCTATTTTTTAAATTATTTAACAAAATTTGCCCACCCTCCCCCTCCCCATACCGCAGGACCAATGGGTTGAATCGAACCAAGGCGATATTTTTTAGCTAAGTTATATCCTTGCAGTACATTGACTCTCCCCCCCCCCTCATTGTACCGCAGCAGGACCAATGAGTTATCGAATCATGGCGATAATTTTAAATTAAGTTATAGCCTTGCAGTACATTGACCTGTTACCTTATCTAAACAGGTCAACCCTCCTCAGAAATTTTTTAATTTAAGAGCGCTGATTTTTTACAAAATAATTTTAATATTTATATCCAACCATTCCAAATATTTTTTAGTAAATTACAAATTTTATTTTTTCATTTGAAAGAATATTTATTTATCTTTTCCTCTCATTAACCTTTTCTCTTTGTTATTTTTATACATATATCCCCTCCCTCCACTTTTGCGCAGACTATTGAATATATTTAGATAAACAATTGTTTTATGTTTTTATCTAAATTTTTGTCAACGGTAAAAGCAAATTAAGTGTTTTGGGGGGGGGGGGGATTGTTTGTTTATAATGGAAGGGGAGAGAGAGGGAGGTTATTATTAAGGGCAATTACTTTAATTAGAGCAAAAACAGCTAGTCTCTATATTTATTTATTTTTAACCTTTCTCCTCTCTTTTAATTAAAGTTTTGATTAATATTTTAGTTAATTAAATTACCAGAACCTCTCTTTTCTCGATAACCTTCCCAAAACAATTTTTAGACCCCCCCCCTTCCCCCCAATCTCTGCTAAACTTTCCTTTCATTTTGTTCTAAAATCTTTAAACTTTTTTTCTTTTTTTCGCTTTTTTTTAAACGGGTGATTCAAACACTTAAAAATTAGTAAAATTTCTCTTTTTCAAAAGCTTTATTATTTACTTTTTTGTTTCCTGTTTCAAAAATTCTATCGGTTTTTAGTTTGTTAATTAGGTATTTCCTGTTATTTACTTTAAAATATTTTTTATTTTCTTAAATTTTACAAAAATTATTTATTTTTATTTTCAGTTAATATTTAATTTAAATTTAGTTGAGAATTTTTTTTTATTTTTCACTTATTTATTTGGTAATAACTAAAATAAACTAGGTATTTTTAATTTCGATATTTTTCTAGTCTTTTATTCTCTCCACCCCCCCCCCCCTAAAATTTATTTAATTTTTAAATTTAATTTTCTTATTCAGTACTTCAAAAACAATGTCTTCTCCAATCGTGATCATCGTTCCCAGTTGATTGAAGGTCTTGAATCATTTTTGGACGGCGCTGTGGTTATATTACCTGGAGAGGTATTTTTTGTTTTCATAAAATTAATTTTTAAATATTTTTTGAGTTTAAATATTTTAAGTATGTAGAGTTATTAATGGGGTAGTAGTTTGTTTATTTATTTAAAAATTTTAAAAAATTCCCAGCCTGCTGAATCTATAGTTTTTTAACCTTTTGTTTTTGGGTCTTAATTTAAATTTTGAATTTATTTTTTAATTGTTTTGGCAATTAAAAATATTCTTTTTTTTCATCTTGTTCTTTCGAATGTTTGGAACGTCATATTTCGTCATTTTTTCACAAAAGACCAATTATATATATTTTTTCCCCAAAATCCAATCATTTATCTGTCCAACTATTTTTATCTAAATCCATAATAATATGCGCAATTTAGTGAAAAAAGAACATTCACAAAAATATTTTTTTTATTTTTTAGCGGATTAAATAAATGGAGAGGAGTAAAACTATTAAAATTTTTTGTTAAAATATTTACTCATTTACACTTTAAAATTAAAAAAAAAATTTTAGGTTGATTCAAGGCGTTTAATTTCTGGCGATGAATTCAAGAAAGCTTTAAGAAAACGTGAAAAGGAAATGAAATCTGTTCAACAAAAAGGTGAAAACAGAAATAATTAAGATAAAGGTTTTGTATGGTGTAAGGGGGATTTAAGATATACTAGAAGGGGGAGACTAGACCCAATAGCATAGCTAATTTATGTTTCATTAACTATTTATTTGGAAATCATATTCAATTAACTCTTTTTGAGTTAGTAAGCTCAAACTTATTTAACTCTTTTTATGCTTTACCTCAAGAGAATGAAAAAAAATTTTGTCACTTATTCTTTGATGTTCAAGGGTTGTTTTAAGTTAGACTGTCTCATAAATATTTTTATAACTGGAGCAATGTAATAGAATCAAAAGTTTTAACCCAATCTTTAAACAATTTTTGTCCTTTATTTCCTTGTTTAATCCTCTATATATATTTTAAATAACCTTCAAAATAATTTTTTAGCTTCCGTTGTTGATCGTGTCATAACGGTACCAGATCGGTTAACAAATATCCCTTCTCGACAACAATTAAAGAAGCTTTCAACACCAAAAATAGAAGTTGCTGCATTAACACCTTTTGCCCCTTCCCAAAATACTCAAGACAGATTATACAGAAAAGATTCGAAATTTTCTTCTTCTCCTCCAAATGGACATTCAAAAACAACAGAAAATAATAAACAAATATCAACATCCCCCTCATCCTCCTCTTCTTTATCTTCAACAGAAAAAAAGAATAATTTATTTCCAATTTATTGTCTTCTCTTTAGGGGAGTACGTAATGACATTGCTAGACGATTACCGCTTTATTGGTAAAATTAAAAAAATTTTTAATAAAAAAAGGGGGAGGAAATACATTACATGGATATGATATTGAAGCAAGAGTTTTGACTGGAGAGACTTGATGATCGAAATTTCGTCTTGATCAAATTTCTGTCTCAACCTTTCTTTAATCTTTTTTAGAATTAACAACTTTCAAGTTGTAATTTTTCAACAATTATATTAAATTTGAAGATCAAGTTTTGGGAACTTTAAAGCAAAATATAACTCAAAAACTTTAGATAAAAAACTTAATTTAATTTTAACTTCCCTTTTTATGTTTTTAGGACAGACATTCGGGATGCTGCTAATTTTCAGTGTTTAACTAGGTCCTTTTCTCTTAATTTTTATTTTACTAATTTATTCCTTCTAGTGTTGTATTTATGTTTTTTGCTAGTTTTGTTCCAGCAATATCATTTGGCGGTTTAATGGGGACTTACACTGTAAAAATATAATTTTTTATTAAAAGAATTGTTTAAAAATTAAGGATGAAACAATGGGAACAATCGAAACGTCTGTTTCCTTTTTTAAAAATTTAAAAATAAAATTTCATTTTTAAAGTTTATTTGCCCAATGCATTTGTGGAGTTATTTGGGGGTTATTCTCTGCACAACCTCTTCTCATTAGTTAATTTATTTGTCAATAAAAATTATTTTAAAATTTAAGTGAGTGCTACAGGCCCTGTACTTATTTTTGAAGCTAGTCTTTACAATGTAAAATTCTTTAAAAATATTTCTTAAAATATTTCCTAAAATTTTTTCCTCAGTTTTGTGCAGCATTACATTTGGACTTTTTGAGTGTTAGATTTTATGCTGGCCTTTTTATTTTTCTTATAGCAACTTGCATTTCGGCATTAGACGGTGCTCGTCTTTTAGTTTACGTTACTCGATTTACTGAAGGTAAATGGAAGGGAAAAAATTTAAAAATTAATTTTTAAAATTTTTCTTTTAGACATTTTCGCCACTTTAATTTCTGCTATTTTTATTGCTGAAAGTTTGCATTTTGTTTGGCATGTCTGTTAACTTTTATTTTAAAAATTAAATTAAAATTTTTAAAGACATTTAAAGAGAATCCAGTTGAAGACTATTTCTTTTATGAGCGTGTCCATTCTGACTGTAATAATAAAATTAAAAATATTAACAATGATATTTTTGTAAACACAACAACATTAGCTACACCTGCTTTATTAAGGTATAGAGAAGAGAATGTTTTTATAAGAATGTTTTTATTTTATAGTAATTTAACTAACAATCTAAACAATCCAAACATATCATTTATTTCCTCAATTCCAACAAACATAACAACAAAAACATTCAACAAAACATTCACTAACAACATTTTGTTTACTTCAACATTTCTTCCCCCAACACAACATTTCTTAACTAACCAAACATTCGAAAACTTTAATTTAAACAATGTTTCTGAACAAATCCAAAGAATTACCAACATTTCTTTACTTCAAAATCAGAATTTAAACTCAACATTTTTACATCTTAAACATCAAAGCAATTTACATTATAAGGAAATTGAATGTTTTGAAGCCGAACCAAACACTGCTTTACTTACAGCGATTGTTGTTTTCTCAACTTTTATTTTAGCTTTTATGTTGAAAAAGTTGAGAGAAAGTTTTTATTTAGGAAAACATGTAAATTTAATTTGTTTGTTGGAAAATTATTTTTTATTTTTTTAGTTAAGGAAAATAATTGGTGACTTTGGTGTTTTAATTTCAATTACATTAATTGCTTTGATGGGTAATGCTAATTAATTTTTGAAAATATACGTTAAAGATAGAACTGGACCTGGACCTGGGATTTTCTTGCACCCAGAGCCCAGGCATTTTTTGACCTTCCTGGGTTTTTTCTGGACTACAGACCCAGGATCAGGCCCAGGTCAATAAATCAAACTCCAGAGTCCAGGAACAGGTCCAGGCTTTTTTAAAATCTCGATCTCTAATATATGTACATAACTCCTCCCTTCCCTCAACCTCTTCCATTATTTTCAGTTCATCTTTTCCTTCCTGACCCTTATTTGCAACGTTTGGACATGCCAGATCATATAAATTTTACAAACCTTGAAAGTAAGGATTTTAGAAAAACCTTATGAGAATTTTTTATTTAAGAACGCGGTCATGGTTTAATAATAAAACCAAAAATAAGTGCCTCTGATTGGTATGCAATTTTAACTGCATTTATTGCTGCTTTGCTAGTTTTTATTTTGTTGTTTGTCGAGACTGAAATAACTGAGTAATTAACTGATAAATTTAATTTAAATAAATAATTTATTTCCAAAGATTATTACTTTGTCGAAAAGAGAGGGGTTGCAAAAAAGGAAGTGGAATGCATTGGGATTTGGTTTTGATGGGAATTTGTGCTTTTCTTTGTTCGGTAAAATGGAATTTATTTTTATTTTAAATTTTTAAAAAGCTTTTTGGATTGCCTTGGATGTGTGCAGCTGCTGTTCAATCTTTGGCACATTGTTCGTCATTGTCTGTTATGAAGAAAACTGCACCTGGGGCAAGACCGGAAGTTGATTATGTGGTGAGTTTTTGCTTTGTTTTTGCGGGGGAATTTTGTGTTTATTTATATGTTATTTGGATGACTTAGTGATGACTTTTTTTGTTTTTGATGCTTTAATGTTGTTCGCTTCAAAAATATTCTTAGCGTTTTTTTAGTTAGAACAACGTGTAACAACAATCGGCGTTTCTCTTCTTATTGGGCTAATCGCATTTGGAGGAAATTATTTAAGATTGCCCTTAGCTTCTCTTTTTGGTGTTTTTCTATATTTGGGTGTTATGAATTTGAGAGGGGTTCAATTAATTCATCGAATTGTTCTTTTCTTTATACCCAAAAAATATTTGCCTGATACAAGATATGCACAAGAGGTTGAAGAAAAAATTTTTAGAAAATTTTAAAAATAAAATTATTTTTTAAAGATGAGCATTTGGCGAATGCATTTATATACTTGGTAATTAATTTATTTAAATTTAAAAAATATTTAAATTTTTTTCAGGATCCAATTAATTTGTCTTTTTGTTGTTTATACAGTTAAATATTTTAAAAAGACTGCTTTGGCTTTTCCTTTGTTATTAAAATATTTTTTTTAATTTTTTAAATTTATTTTTCAGTGTTTTAATGTTATTCATCTTCTTAAGGCAAATTGTATTACCACATATTTTTACTCAACCAGAACTAAAAGCGGTAAAATATATTAAAGGAAAAATAGGGAAATATTAAGAAATTGTTTTTATTGTGTTTCAGAATTGTCTGTTCTCTTAACAGAAAATCTGCTGATTAAAGAAAAATATTTTTTAGAACTTCACTCAAAAACTTAATTTTTGATTAAAATTAATTTCCAAAAATTCAAAAAATATTTAAGAAATTTTAGATTGATGGCGATGAGAGTGAGGATGAAGATGACTATTACGATCCAACATTACCAGTCTAAATAAAAATTACAAAAAAATATTTAGGAGGCATATTATACATAACTATTTAAATTAGCATTTTATTTTGACTTTTTTCTTTGTTTTCTTTGTTAGACTTCCCAAAAAAACTTCGAAATCTCCATTCAACATATAATTAAGTGCTTTATTATTATTTTATATTTATGTTTATGTATGTTTGTATATGTATTTACAATTGATATTTTGAAAATAAAAACAAAGAATTGTAAATATTAAAGCTAAGTTTAATATTTTAATTTAATAAGTTTAATTTAAAAGTTTAATTTTTTTAAATTCTTTTTCTCACAGCAGTTTCACCGAAATATTTTACGGTGTTTTTTCGAAGCATAAAAGTTTTAGCTACATAAGTAAAAAGTGGCAGAAATATTTTGACCTCAAAGAGACCAAGCTTTTTTCCAATTTTTCGAAATCTCTTTATACCCTCGTGATTGTTCCAAATGTAGTGGTGATACGAGGCATCAATCTTGCGAGATTAATGGTCGAATAATTTTAAATTTATTTTTCTTCGAAAAAAAGAAAAAATAAAATTCAAAAAAATTATTTTTGTTTAGTGTCCTTTCATTAAAGAATTTCCAAGTTTCCTATAAACTGATAAGGTAATAATTCTGCATGAAATTCTAAAATATTTAAAATACCTAATAAATAAAGCAAACAAATAACAATCTTTGAACTTTGTTAAGAATTTTATTTCAAATTCCCTCATCAGATAACAATGAGCATATAAATTCTTAAATCTTAATTTAGAGAAAACTAAAATTAATTCTCTCAATAGTATTTTAATTTTAAATATTTTATTATTGAAATAAATATAAAAAATAAAAGCAAGCTATCTCCCTAAATATTTTTTTAAACTTTTTCATATCTCATTTCATATTCACATTCTGTACAGCATTTCCAATAATCTTTTCTCCTCTCATCATAATTTTCAGCACCAAATTTATGTTCATGCGTTGAAGCTGCTGCCTTTGCAGCTTTTAAACATTCACCGCGCATCTAAAAATAGGGAAAAGGATTAAATGGAAAAATTAAAAAAATTTTTTTATTATTTTTTGACCAAAAGAGAATAAATGATTCATCAATTGTTAGATATCTCGATATAAAAATTAAATAAAAAATACAAATAACTATGCAAATACTTTTTTCTATTTTTATTTTAACGAGGGGAAAGGAATGTTCATTCTTTTTTTTTGAATTTTAAAAATCGAAACAAAAATCGATCAAAACTATTCATTGTACTTAAATTTTAAACTTAAAATCCTTGAAACATTTAAAATTGCCTCTTGAGAATTGAAAAAAAGATTTTGGGCAAAGATCCTTTCTCAAAAAATAAATGAAAATAATTCTTTTAAATTGTCGGGCATAGTTATAACCCAATCACAATTTTTTAAAGACCCAGGATTTAAAAATATTTTAATTTTGTCATAAAAAACAAAAATACGCATCATACTTTTTTATGAAGGAGCTCCTTTTTATTTCAAAAAATCTTTTTTAAACACTTTTAGTTTTCAAAAAGTTTTAAATAAACTAAAAAGGATTTTTGTTATTTTTAAATTATAATTCTTTACTAATTTTCTAACTCAAGTTTTCTTAATATTATTTACTTGTAGTAAATAAAAATTAAAGAACCAAATAAAAAATTTTTTCGAACACGCCGAAATTAATTAATCATTTTTAATTAACGACTTTGTTATTTTAAATCATTTTTATGTTTGTACTTAAAAACTTGAAGTAAACAGATAATAGACAAAAAATAATAAAAAAAAAAAGATGATTTTTTTATCAACTTTTATTTCTTAAACAATAAATTCTTTTAATTAATTAAACCTAAAAATAATTATTTCATTTAAATTTTAGAAATTTATTTAAATGCTTTTAAAAATAATTAGAGAACAATTTCGACTAAATAACAGGCTATATCGCTGCCTTCTTTGTGAATTTGTGGCAACTACTTTTCTTATTGTAAATATTTTTAAAATACATATTATTTTAAATCAGGATAATAATTTTTTAGAGAAAAAAGTAATTAAAAAAAGGGAAAATGAAGGATAGATAAGGTAGGTGAAAGATAAAGTAGGTGGGTAAGTAGAATCCTTTATAATACGGCCAAACAATTAAGCCATAGATGAAGCTAAGATTTTTTCCCAGATTTAATAATTCAGTTATAACTTCAACTAATTAAAAAATAATTTAAAAGTATGTCGGCCTATGTATTAATGCACAAATGTTTTTATCTAATGGAGAAAAGTTATCAGTTGTGGGTAATTGTATTGGTTGGGGATTAACGTTAACTTTGGCAGTACAATGTGCCTATCGTTGTAGTGGTGCTCATTTAAACCCAGCAGTTTCCTTATTTTCTTGGTCTTTTGGCACATTGAATTCTTTTAAACATTTTTGGTTTTATACAATTGTACAAGTGGCTGGGGCTTTTGTTGGGGCCGCTCTTTGTTTTGTTTTATATTATGGTAAGATTTTAAGAGAAAAAAAATATTTTTTAATATTTTAAAGATAAAATTGAAGAGTTTGATGGAGGAATTAGAACAGTTAGTGGACCAAATGCCACAGCTGCTATTTTTGCTACTTATCCAGGCAGCCATTTAAGTACTATTGGGGCAGTAATTGATCAGGTAAATTTTTAATATATGGATTTAAAAAATACAAAAGAAACTCTAAAAAATTCACAAAAAATCCATTCCAGATTTTCTCAACAGCAATGCTGTGTTTTAGTTTGGGAATTATTACAGACGAGAGAAATGAAATCCCAATAGCAGCACAACCTCCATTAATGGGTGTAATGCTTGCTATGCTTTGTATGGGGTTTGGCTTAAATTCAGGCAATGCAATGAATCCAGCTAGAGATCTTGGACCCAGACTTTTTACTTTAATTGCTGGTTATGGTTGGGAAGTTTTTAGGTAAGTTTAGAGAATAAAATTATATATTTAAGTTAGTTAGATATATGTATTTAGGAGTTAGTCTAAAGTCATACTCGCAAAATCCTTTTTAAGGATTAATAAAACGAACAGAAGTCCTGATGATTTCTGGATTATAAAATAGAATCGAAAAAAATGAAATTTTTTATTGGGGGCGTAAGTTCCAAAACGGGTCAGAAATTCAAATTTCAAACGCTTTCGGTGCAAAATTTTGTCATACGGGCAAAATTTTCCCCGCCGAAAATGTGAAAAAAATTCCGGACGATTTCTGGATTGGGAATTCCCTATTTCCGAAAATCTGGAATATCAACCAAAAAAAAGTTTCTAAAATTTTGTTTAATTTATATTTAGTTATAACAACTATAAATGGTTCTGGATACCCATATTTTGTCCATTTGGTGGTGCTCTTTTAGGTTCCTGGTTATATCAAATACTTATTGGGGCACAACTGGATATTTCATTAAAGGTTTGAATTTTTATAAAAATTTCTTTAAAAATTTTTAGAAAGAAAATCTCGAGCCATTACACAAATCAGAAGAGAAAATATCAAAATCTTCACTTTTTACTTTAGATACTCATAAAAAAAATTCTAAAGAGAGGCTAGCGAAAATATCAGTAATTAATAATTTATCTAAACCAGCTACTGTATTTAGTTGAAATAAAATTGTTTTTTTTTCTTAAATTTTTTAACGAAAGAGAATAGTTTGCATTTTAGGGATTAATAAAATGAACAGAATTTTTCTGATTTTAATTTTTTTTCAAAAAATTATTTTCCCCCACCTCTTTGCGCATTGAATGAATTTTCTTTTCAAATCGCCGTTCATTTGCTTTTTCTCTGTTGAGTTCTCGTTTTTGTTTTGCTTGTTCTAAAGAAGTAAAAGAACCATAAACTTCAAGTGCTCTTGCTTCTAGCTAAATTTTTAGAAAAATAATCAAATAATTTTGAAAAAAGAAACTCTGTTGGGGGGGGGGGTTATTAAATTAATCGAGGATTTTAAAAAATTATTCAAAATAAAATTACTTGTGAACGTAAATATAATTTCATATCTCCATAGCGTGGATTGTGTGGATTTTTTCGAGAAATATAACGAAGTGGCGGTTTCCGACAGTCCAAATCGGCATCTGTCAACAAAAATTTAGTCTTTGCTTCTGTTCTAGTAATTAATTTGTGTTTCTCCAATTCTCTTAAAAAATAAAAATTAGGTAATTTAAAAATAAACAAAATAAAAAACCTGCATTTATTACAAATTGGTTGACTAAAATATTTCCAAAGATAGGCATCGGAAAACAAAGGGCCCTCACAATCTAAGCAAAGCTCAGGTGGACTCAAATGTTCGTAAAGTTTATTTTGATCTGAAAAAAGAATTTTTGATTTAAAAAATTTAATTATTCACACTTTTTTGTAATGCTTCAGAAATTTGTTCTCTCCTTTCTTCTAATTCGTCATCATCGCTATTAAAACCGCCAGCTGATGCATAAGATTGTTTGTGGTGTTGTCTAAATTTGGGAAATAATTTTTAAAAATAATTCCTTTAAACTTTTTCCGTACTTGTAAAGTTTCTCAACAATTGAAATTTGTTTCTTCTCAAAATGTCTCTTCATTTTAGAATAAAAAAAGCTCCAAATAAACAACAAATAAAATTTTGGCTCCGGTACAAAATATGGAATCGTTAAAATATGGAATGGTTAAAATCGCGAATAGGCTAAAAAGGGGTTAAAATACCGAATCGTTAAAATATGGAATCGTTAAAATATCGAATCGGGTAAAAAAGGGTTAAAATATGGAATCGTAAAAATATGGAATGGTAAAAATGTCGACACGGCCAAAATGGGTCAAAATGTCGAATTCTTTTAAAAAGGGTCAGATTTGTGCCATACGTTGATTGTTGATAATTTTATCAACATAAGTTTATTGATGATAAGTTGATTGATAAGTTTGGTAAGTCGTAGTCCGTCGTAATCTTTTCTGTCTGAGTTCACTGTATTTTACCGAGTAAAACCGGACCGGATAAATCAAGCATAATCGACCGGATCCGGTCCGGCATGATCGTACGGATCCGGAAAACATAACGCGATCCTGATATGGAAAAATTAGAGTGGTATGCATTAGTTTTTAGTTAAGACCTAAAGTTTGACCTTACCGTATACGGTATGGAATACCGAAAAATAACGATCAGCTTTTAAATTTTATCGGTCGGCATTCCGTACCGGACAACCGACACGGAATACCAAAAAATACCGTCGGTATTATAACGCCCGGATTCAAGGTTTTGGCGGCGCATCTTTAAAAAATTCGACATTTTGACCTATTTTGGCCGTGTCGACATTTTATCAATTCGATATTTTAACGATTCCATATTTTAACCCTTTTTTAGCCGATTCGATATTTTTACCATTCCATATTTTAACGATTCCACATTTTAACCCCTTTTTAGCCTATTCGCGATTTTAACCCATTTTTACCCGATTCGAGATTTTAACCCTTTTTTAGCCTATTCCATATTTTAACGATTCGATATTTTGTCCGGACACGAAAATTTTATTAAAAATAAAGAAAAGATCATGTGAAATGGAGAGAGTGGCGAGAGAAAAAGAGTAAAAATGACATTTGATCCCAAAACGTCAGCCGGCTGGAAATTTTTTTGATTGTTCAGGTTTTAAAGTTTATTAATAAATTTGGTAATCTTCTGAAATTGTATTTTGTAAATTTTATGAGATTACTTTTGTGTTATGTTAGATTGGAGAGTTACTCGAAGCGTGAAGCTAATTAAAATAATATTTTATATATACATTTCTTTTAATTTTTTTAGAATTTTTAGAGCGCAATTGCAATTTTCTTTTATTTGCCTAGTTATATTTGGTTGATTTATTGAATTATTATTTTAAAAGAATTTATTTTGTTTTTAACTTGTCAGCTGTTAAAACAAATCAAATGGCTCAGGTTTTTATTAATTTTTGATGTAATTTAATTAAAATTAATTTTTTACAAAATTTTTGGAGGACATTAATTTTTTTAAATAAAAACAGTTCAATTAATTATCTTTTAGAGCCTTTCTCAACGTTGCAGAAAAATGTTACCTTCATTTTTCAAAGGATATATTTGTCTTCTTTCCTTACTTTTTCTTGCTTTGGTTATTTACTACTTTCGAGTGCCATTGCGAGCTTATGAAAAGTTTGAGTCAATTGTCTCTGTTGGCGTTTATTTTAACAATCTGACGCCAAAATTTTATGTTGCATTAACGGGAACTTCAAGTCTAGTATCCGGCATTATTTTGATTTTTGAATGGTGGTACTTTAAAAAGTTTGTTTTTTGCTTATTTTAGATAAATTTAAACATTTACCCCGAAAATGGAAAAACTCGTGGAAATCCACAAAAACGATAATCCTGTATTTTCTGCTCATTAATTTTCCCAGGCTTTGTTTGCATTTAGCTCTAATTTGTTTCTATTTTTAATTTATCGAAGTTTATCTATCAATAAGCTTTTGAAACCTCATCTTTTTAGAAAATATATTTAAATTTTTTTCGTTCGATATCGACATATAGGGTTGGGGATTTCGAGTCGAGCCGACGTTCGGTCATCTTTTTCGGGCCTCATTTTTATCGGGCCGGCCCGACCGAGTCTTTTTCGGGCCAAAATTCAATGCCCGACTCGATCTTTCGGACCGGGCCGGATCGGGCTCCCGACCCTATCGACATATATGATCTTTCCTTTAAAATCAAATAAAATACCGAGATTTCTGTTAATTTAAGGAAAATTTTTTTAAATAAAATAAACCAAAAAGCAAATAAATAAAAGTGAACGGCGACTGAATTCTTTATTCTTTTCACGCCTTTCTCTTTTAAATTTCCAATTAACTTATATTAATTATATACACGCTTAAACTTTTTTCTTGTTGCCGAGGGCAACAAATGGGTGGGTAAAAGTTAAATAAAAGGCCAAATTATATTTTTATTTTAACGAAAGTGAGAGGCAGACTTTGTTTTTTTCAAAAATAAAAATAATTTTTAATATTTAATTATGTTAACTGAAAGAAAAAGTGGTTCTAAAAATAAGACGTTCCTCTCAAATTTATTGTTTGTATTTTTTTAAATAAAATTTATTTTTTGAATTAATTCTGAAATTTTAGTAATGCTATTGATAACGCTTTGGATGGTAGTGATGATGGAAGCGATTCAGAAAGAGAAAGCATTGATGGAAAACAGCATGGTTTTAATTATATTTCTTAATGGGAAAATGAAAATTTAAAATTTTTGGAATTTATAGGCCATTATAAAGAAAATTAGAAAGTCGTCTTTTTTATTTAAATTATTTTCGATTATTCTTAGAGTCCATAATTTATCAAAAAAAAATTCTTTTAAATTTTTATTTTTTTAAACACATATTTTTTAGATTTTTATTATTTTTTGAAAAATTTTGAAAAATTTTAAGAACTTGAAGAATATGAACGTGAAAATGAATGTAAAGTTTGGCGAAATCCCATGGCTCTCTTTCGAGGTGCAGAGTATGGGCGTTTTCACAGAGAAACAGGCCAAGAGCCTCTAACTTATTATGATTTGAATTTATCAGCACAGGATCACCAAACATATTTTTGCTGTGAAGCAGATGCTGGGAAGGAAGATTTGGAAAGTTGTTAAATTTATTAAATTATATAATTAAATTTTTAATAATTAAAGTAATGTCGTTAGCTTGGAGAGAACGTGACAGTCAAGTACGTATATCTGAAGCAAAGAGAGCACTTAAATGCAATCCTGAATGTGCTCCTGCATTAATTTTGTATTTATTTGAATTAAAATATTTTTATTTAAAAATTTTATTTTTGTAGATTAGCAGAAGAATTTTGTCAAACAATATCTGAAGTAGAAGAATATTTAAGAAAAGCACTTCGAATTGTTGAAGGAATGTATAGACGTAGTCAAGCAGCTGTTTATCCTGATATAGAATCTCAACAAAAAAGTCGAGATATTAATATGCTGGTTAGTTTTGATTTTGATTATTGGTAGTTGGGAATGTGTTGTCTTTGATTTTTTTGTCTGGCGGGAATTCCAAAATAGGAAAAACTGGCATTTTTTTATGAAAACGGTTAGAATTGAAGCTTCATTTACTTTCATTGCTAGTGTTTCAGTTTTAATTAGTTTTGACTTTTCTCTGTTGAATAATATGAAATTTTTAATAATAAACTCTAAAAATTATTGTCAATTTTAATTTCGAGAATATTCTTTAATTTAAAGGTTTTTATCCGTCGTCGACTAGCTATGTGCTCGAGAAGAGAAGGACGTGTTCGCGAGGCAATTAAAATAATGCGCGATGTTTGTCTTTAATTTTTTCTTTTTTAAATATTTTCTTTTTAGTTGATCAAAGAATTTCCAACACTGGTTTTACTTTTTAAGTTGATATTTTTAAAAATTATTTTTTAGAATGTTATGAATATCCACGAAAATTTAATTGAAGCATTATTGGAGGTTTTTTTAAAATTAATCTTGTGATTATTTTTATTTTTTGAAGCAACGTGCCTATGCAGATGCTATGGCTGTATTAGCCAAATATGACTCTTATGATGGTTATTCCTTACTATTTTTAACACTATTTTTCCTGTTTAAAATTATAGATTGTGTAATGCCAAAATCAGCAACTGTTTGCTTTACCTCAGCTTTACTCAAAGCTCGTGGTGTAGCAGACAAATTTGAACCTGAAACAATGCGAAAACGAGGATTTTCTTCGGCAGAGCTAGCTGCTGTTGAAGCTATCCACAGAGCGGTGGAATTTGTGAGTTTTTTTAATTCGATGGGTATTTTTATAAGAATGGTAAACATGATTCTTTATTCAACGGCTGTTTCCGGATATAAGTTTCCGGATAAAAAATCAGCGTCGTGATATTAATATTTCTCTGTTTCTAGTATTTTCCTACGATTTATTTTTTTCCTCTTTAAATTTTTTAAAAAATATTTCTTATTTGAACAGAATCCTCATGTACCTCTTTATCTTTTGGAACGAAAGCCTGTAACAATGCCACCCGAACATATTCTAAAACGCGGTGATTCCGAAGCTGTAGCTTATGCATTTTGGCATTTACAGCATTGGAAACGAGTAGAAGGAGCTCTTCAATTACTACAATATACGTGGGAAGGAAGTTTGTGAATTCTAAAATTTTATTAATGTATTATTTTTATTAGCCTTTCGAATGCTTCCAAATCCCACCGAGAAAGGTCATCTTTTCTTTCCTTATCCAACATGTACAGAACAAGCCGACAAAGAATTATTTCCTCGTTTGTATTTTAATAATTTTTAAAATTATTTTTCTTTCTAAGCTTATCACGAAGTATCAGTTTATCCTAAAAAGGAATCTCCACTTTGGACATTATTTGCATCTTTGCTTTCTTGTTGGTTTGTTTTAAAATTTTTTGTTTTACTGTTGATATGATGAGGGTCTTTTTGCCTATTCTGTCTAGTAATCAAGTTAATTTTATTAGATAGAGTTTGTAATTGTTTCCCATTTTAACATTTTGTTTAGTCAGGACATGGTAACATTAATATAACTATAGGATTTTAAAAATTAAAGGATTAAATTTATTTCCTAATCATTTTAGTGTAGCAATTTTCGCTATTCTTTTCCATCAATATCCAGATGAAACACTCCATTTTATGCATTTGGTAAATAAAAATAAATTTATAAATTTTAAATATTTTTTTAGGCAATTAGTGGAGCTTGGTCATCTGTTTTTACAGTTTGGGATTATTTATGCTCGCTCGTTCCAGAAAATTTTATGGGCTTAATTGCTTCAAAACCAACAACAACTCCAACAACGGCAACTGCTGGTGTAGCAGCACCAATGCCTGCCGCTGGAGCAGAAGCAGCTTCTGGCAGTCTTTAACAGTTAAAATATTTTTTTGTTTTTTTTTCTTTTAACTTGCCTGCCATCTTTTTGCAATTTTCTTCAAATTTGAGAATTTTAGTTGAATAACAACGTTAACAACTCACCATTTAAAGAATAGGGGATTTCAACTAAAAATACCTAAAGCTGTTGTTGTGGATCTCGCGGCTTTCTCTCTTGTCCCTCATTCTTTGATTTATTTTAGTTGTTATCTAAAAACTTTCGATTCGTGGCAATCTTTTGCTTCATAAATACTCATGGTCCTCCACTATTTCAAAAAATATTAAACTTTTAAAATTCTCTTTGTTCATTTTTTTTGTTAGAAATGAGTCTTTATTTAATTTTTCTGCCCGCCATCTTTAAAAATCCCAAAAAATATACATTTTTAATTTTGCACTTTTATTTTTGAATGTGTTTAATTCGTATTTTATAGTTTTATTTTTTGCTGTTATAGGAAGGATAAACACATTATATTTGATAAAAAAAAAGTTGTTTTCACTCATGTGCTTTGACATAATACAATTATCGAAAATTTAAATTTGTCGGTTTCTATTTTCTTAGCTTCTCGGTATTTTCCCAGAAATTTAAAAACTGAACGGTCTTTAAAATAGATATCCGACTTTAAGTATTTATATTTTTGTTTATTTAATTAAAATTTAATAAAAGCATGACAACAATCACAACTTCAACTTCATCACAATTACAACAACAACCAACAATGGGAATACAACCAAATGATCCTAAAAAACTTGTTGATTATTTAATGAGTGATTTTCGTTCACTATCTATGGATGCAAAAAAGAAACATAATCATGTAAAAGAGGTACGAGAATTTTTATTTTTTAATGAAAATTGTTTTTAAGGCGGCAGAGTCTGGTTTAGTTAAAATCCGTAATATTAGCGCTGCATGTGAATCGCAACAGGACTCTGATTTAATACAAGCATTGCGAATTTCCTGTACAGAATTATTGCATCCATTTCTTTTGGGGTGTTCAAGTAAAAATCCACGGCTTGTTCAAATTTCGCTACAAGCTATTCAAAGGTTAATTCATAACAGAGTTATTGAGGCAAATGTAGTGCCGGCTATTGTTAATGAACTTTGGATTTTAACTGAGGCTGAATGCGAAGAATTGAAAGGTAATATTTAAAATTATTATACAATTGATTATATGACTCCGGGATATTTTCGTGTTGGCATATCCCTGATATTACTCTTAACTTGGGTCTTAACTTGGCCAGAAAAGAGTCTCCTTGACAATTTTTTGATATTAACTTTAACAGGGAAAAGAAAGCATCCCTAATTTGTTATAATATTTTATTAATTTTTTTAAGTTATCCAAACAATAACTCCATTTGTTGGCACAGAACTGTTTGTCAACAATTGGGCATTGGCCAAAGTATGATTTACATGTTTATTTTCCTATTATTTTTTTCAATTTGAGTGCATTGTGCTTACCTTCCGACTAAATGCTTCAAAAGATTCATTAGTCATTAATGCTGCCTCGGCAGCCGTTCGCCAACTTTTCAGTTGTGTTTTTGAAAGAGTTATTAAAGAGGATGAAACTCCTGAAATTCAGCAGCAACAACAAACACCTCCTAATCAACAACAACAAACACTAGCACCCCCATCTCTTAGGCCAGCTGCAGCAGATGCTTTTCTTTTATTGAGAGATTTGTGTGCTTTAATAAGACGAGAACAACCCAGTTGGCTTATTGGATTGCAAAGAATTGCGCCTATATTAGGCTTGGAGCTGTTAGAATCTGTGATAAAGAATTATCCAAGCATCTTTTTAAAAGTTTTTTTAATTTTAAAATTTTATAAAGATTGTACTTAATAGCACCAAGAATTTGCTGAATTACTCAAAACACAAATAAGTGCACAAATAGCTGCGAAAATGTTACACGTAGGAGAGAGAGAATTTGCAATGTTGGCTGTTGCGGCAGCAAATGCGACACAAGCTAATAGTGGGGATAATCAAGTAAATTAATTTTAATATTTATGACTTTGTTGTGGATTGTTTTATTAGGGAGTTGGTGTCTAAAATAATTAGAATGCAGAGTATGATTGACTATCTTAAGAGGCCATTAACTTGACAATTTATTAGTTCTAAAATTTGCTATTTTTTTCAATTACTAAATAATGAAATTTATTAAATTAATTAAAATAAAAAATATTAATTTATAGAACAAACCTTTGCCTGTCTCTGCAGCATTATTGAATCAACAATTACAACAACAATCTTCACATTTAACTTCACAAATGGCTAAATCTGCAGCTTCTTCCACTTCTACGGGTCGAGATTTTCCAATTGTTATTAGATCTTTACGTATTTCCCTGGCATTGGTTACAAATTATCATTCTTTATTGGGTGCTCAATCTGAAGCAATTATTCACTTTCTAATAGAGCTTCTAGCACAACATCCAAGTACTTCATGGGAGGCAGCTGTAGCAATTGAAGTTTTACATAAAATGTTGTCACAACCAAAATTGCTTAGGTATAAATAAATTAAAAATATCAAATTTCTATGAAAATTTAAAAAATATTTTGGCAGAAATTGTTAATTTTTATGAAATTGTGTGATTCCACAAAAATATTCTGAAAATTACTCACCTATACTATTTTACTTTTATTATTTTTAGTTGGTTATGTACTAGACCAGATGGATCCAAATTTTTGGAAGCAATTGTATTTTCTCGTTTGTTCGCTTTTATCAAAAAATGTTTAGATGAAGCTGCAATTGATGGTTCTACAATGAGAGATGGAGAAAATAATGCCCAACCTGGTTTTGTCTATAAAGGTAAAAATAAATTGTTTTTTCCAAATTTAATGAAATCTTTCATATATTATAATTTTCTAGGTGTATTTCTTCCACTCGGTGATAGTCATCCTTCGTCAAAACGATTAATACTTCTAGATTGGTTAGATAAACACAATGCCGAGAAAATTCCAGAAGCTTATTGCCTTTCATTAACCTATGCAACCTTTTGCGTTGCTTCACGTTCTTTACATTCAGCAATTGAAGAAGACTTTCAAAATCATCAAAAAGATTCTTTTGAATATTCTGGTAAATAGATAATTTAATTAAGTTTCAACTCCTTTCAATTAACTATTCTTTTAGAATTCGCAAAAGAATTGTATAATTCTTCATATCATTTCTTGGTTGCTGGATTATCTACCTTACTTGACTGCAGGTGATCTTTTTTGAAATTAAAAAATTTAATTATGAATTTAGTGTTGATGATTCACTTAATGAACAACTTCTTAATTGTATTTGCTCGTTGGCTATATTAGCATTACGGCTACAACTTCCTAAACCTAGACGTGAAGTATTGAAAGCTATTTGCCGAGCGGTTAGTCTTAAAATCTATCTTGTATAATTTTTTTGTTTTTCCAGACTCTTCCCTTTCAATATTACAATAAATTTATTGACTCTATTAAAGCTTCTACTACTGCAAATGGGACATTAGTTGGAGATAATATTTCTTCATCTACTTCAACTGATGATTCTACAATTTTTGATCCTCAAAAAGGTATTTATAGTCGGTTACCGATGGATGTAAATATTGGGTCATGTTTTGGGTCGCATAAAGGTAAGGTCTGATTTAGGATCGGTTAATGAGTTAATTTTCTCCGATTTCGATTAATACTTGCAGACTTCCCTTGGGCGAAATTTGGAAAATTATGGCATTAAAAATTAGATTTTTAACGTCGCAGACAAAAATTATTTTAAAGGAATAGAGCATAATATTGTGGCGATGGGAACTGTTTGTCCAAGTCCTTATTTGCCTCCACAGCTTTTCAACACTTCAGTAATGGTAATTATTTTTTGAAGTACTATTCTATTATAAACTTTTTCTACATTTTAGTTAACTTCCAAGAATTTGCAAGTGCTTAGGATACTTGTCAATTTAACCATTAATAATGGTTCACAATTATCTGATTGTTGGGAGATGGTTTTGACTACTTTACAGGTTTTTATGTTTATTTTATTATTTTAAATTTTTTAAAAAATTTTTTCATATTACAAACAATTTCTAATTTTAATTAAAAACCATTTAAGCATTTTGTTTGGATAATTGGTCTTCGACCTTCTCCAACTGGCAGTTTTCGAACTGGAATGAATGAATTATCTAATGTTGCACCAGTTGCAGACGCAAACTCTAATACTCTGTCAAGTACAACAACTACAAATGCTAGTGCTGTCTCAGGCGTTTTGTGTTCTAACACAGTAATTCTGACAAATATGGCTAGCAGTGAATTACCTGATATTGTTTGTTGTTTATCATTTGATATTGGTCTTACACTAGTTTTCGATCACTCATTTTCGGGTTTTTGAAGTTGATCTAAAATTTTTATTTATCAAAGGATTTTTCGGACAATATTTTTACAGTTTTTTGTTTGTCTTTCCAACAATTCCAATATACTTCAAATTAATTTAGAATCAACAACTTGGATCGCTCTTTGAATCAACCAGTAAATTGGATGAAGTTTCTCTTCATCATGTAATTGCTGCGCTTTGCAAACTTTCAAATGAAACTATGACTGTAGCTCAACACAGTTTGAGGGAGACTTCTTTTTTCTCTTTTGCTAAATTACAGCAAGCAGCTTTAGTTAATCTTCCACGTTTACATGTGTTTTGGCGTCCCGTGACTGCTCATCTTTTGGAGGTGAATTTTTATTTGTAGATTTTTTGATTTTTTAAATTTTTTAAGTTATGTTCTCATTCAAATAATAATATACGTGAATGGGGATCTATATCTTTAACAAAACTTGTTGAAGAAGGAATGAAACAAGTTGTTGGTGGAGTAAATTCTGGGGGAGATGAGGAGATTACAGTTAAAAATTGAATTGAATTTTAAAATTATTATTTTTAATTTAGAAGAAAGAGCAATTGATTCTTAGCCCTTTATGTTCAATGAATGAGATTAGCTTTTCTGATGTAAGAGCTAAACAGTTAGGTGAGTCTTTGCGGTTTAGATTATATTTTTGGAGAATCAACGGCATTATTAAAGACTTTATATTTTCTTTTTAACCTAATTTATAAATAAATTAAACCAATTTTAGGGTTTTAACAATTCCGATTTAACTTATAATTTTTAAATAAAAATTCCATTTTCAGATTGTCTTATGAAAATCCTGCAGGCAGACAACCGAACATTAGAAACACCTCTTTGGCCTTTTATTGTACAAATTGTTCGTTCTATAGTTGCAACCGACACACAAATGTTAGATTTATAGGAATTTTAGCTATACTTTCCTTTTTAGTAAAGTTGATCCTCAATTAATCGATCAAGGCTTTCGTGCTCTTTCACTTATGGTCAAAGAATTTCTATCTGTTTTACCTTTTGAATGTGTGGAAATGCTTGTTGAGACAAATGCACTCTATGGGCAACAACAATTACATTTGAATGTTTCTCTAGCCTCTATTGGACAACTGGTGCGATTTCTAAAAATTTTTTTGAGTTAAATTTTTTCAGTGGGACATTTCTGATTTTGTCCGTCGCGAGACAAATCATGGAAAGATTGCGGCAGAAGTGGATCAACAACAAATATGGCTTTTAATCTACCAAGCTTTGGGTAATTTGTGTTCTGATCCTCGGCCACCAGTACGTAAAAGTGCCTGTGATACATTATTGCAAACAGTTGCTGCCCACGGACAAGCACTGAATATTAAATGTTGGGAACAAATGTTGACTGAAGTTAGTTGAGGGAAAATGAGGGATTTAACTTTTTAATTAACTCAAGAATATCTTTAAATTTAGATTCTTTTCCCAATGCTTTGTCGTGTCCACCAATGTGCACAGACAGCATCTACACAACGCTCTAACACAACTAATAGTCTTGGTGCCCCAAATTTGATGATACATCATTCACGCGATACGTAAATTATTTTTATAGTTAATTTGAAGTTACCTTATTCTAAAGTGAGTCCAAGCAATGGGCAGAAACAAGTGTTAAAACACTTGGTGGTGTTGTAAAGATTTTCAATGCACATCGCCCTTCACTGCTTCAATTAGGTTTATTTTTATATATTATTTTTATTTTGTCTTTTATTTTCAGAAAATTTCTCTGATTGTTGGAGCCAATTATTAAGGCATATTGTTTTATCAGCACGTACAGATAGTGCAGAAATAAGTCTTTCAGCTGTGAAGAATTTTCAGGAGCTTCTTTTTGGAAGGCAACAACAAACAAATTCTGAAAGTTCTTCATTACTCCAAAGTGGAAATAAGTCACCCTCAACTCCAGGAGGTGGAAGTATAAAATCTAAACTACAACAACACTCATTGTTAGTTATTCTACGAATTTTTAGGGCTTCAAGACACTATTTTTCCCTTTTAGAATTGATTTGCTTGATCATTCATTGTCCCCTTCCCTGCCCGAACCTCTTTGGATGAGTGCTTGGAGTAATTGGCTTCAAATTGCGAGATCAATTTTAGCGCCTGATTTTTGTGAAACAACTGATGATGCTTTCCTTTCTTCTACTTGTGATGTTGATAGTGGCTATTCAAAATCTGTTGTTTTGCCAACAACGAGGTAAAATCTGGCGAATTTTTAATCTATTAATTTTCTTCATCAATAGAAAGTCTTATGTGTCCAGTCTTTATCATTTGAGTACTTTACTCGAAACATTCATCTGGCTTTTTCACCGTGTTCGACAACAAGTCCCTGTTGATGATATTCGCCTCCAATGTCTTGGACAAATTTTTATTGTAAAAATTCTTTTTTTATTTTTAATTTTTTTTATTTTTGTAGGATTTAGCATCAGTGCCTATATCTGCTGATCAGATTCCAATTTCTACATTATTTGCTAATACAAAAAATGGTTCAGAACAACAATTACCTTTAAATATGGCACAAGAATATCTTTTCAGTTGTACTCGTGCTATACTTCAAGTTGTTTATTTTAGTAATACAAAAAATTTTTTATTTTTATTAGGAACAAATAGATACAAAAAATGGGCTCCGTGCTGCTTTGCCTGATATGCTGAGATTGTAAGAAAATTATATTTCTTTAAATTAATTCGTTTTGAAATAACTAAACGTTTATATGGTTGAAAATATTTATTAAGATTTATTTAGACTATTTATTTTTCGATTAATTACAAAAGAATCGAATTTTGATCAGAATAAATTTAACAAATCTAATAATTCCAAATTTTTGTCAATTTTTCTGATTTTATGCAAATTTCTATTTTATTCTAAAAAATTTTTTCAAAATAATTTTAGATTAATTTTATGGATGCAATTTTCTTGGAAAAAGCCGCAAAATAAATTTATTTCTGATAAATCTTCAAATTCATCAGAAATTGGAGATATTAAAAATAATTCTAATTTAATTACTTTTGGAGAAACTAGTATGAAAATGCTTTTAGAATTTTATTCAAAAACTGCAGCTTATGAAGAAGTTATTCAACATACAATTTTGGTTGATATTGTTAAAGTAATAAATAAAGAAAAAAATATTTCAGAAATAAATTTTTAATTTTTAGGCATTGGGTGAACCATTAGCTTTAAAATATTCTTGTCCTTCCCAAACTACTTGGCAATTAGCGGCAGCTACATTAAATAAAGTTTTTTTAGGATTTTCTTTTTTTTAAATTTTATTTTTTAGGTTTGCCAAGTTGGTATTCCAATTGCCAGGGAAAATGGTAAAAGAAAGTTTTTGATTGGTTTTTTAAATTCTAAATTTTAGTAAATTTATTTAAACAATTGTGGCCGTGTTTGGCAAATGTTGTTGAGAATTTTCTTTTCTCTACCTCGTTAGTTTTTATAAAAATATATCTTTAGATTCAAAAATAAAAGTGGAATTGTCACTTCTTTTAAATTATCAATCAAATTCAATTTTGATTTTCTTTTAAATTTCTAGAAAATCTTCAAAACTTCTCAATGCTGATGAACGTAAGAGGCATGAATTTGTTGACTGCCTTTTAGTTGAACTTTTGCGTGCTGAATTATTACCTTTTGCAAATAAATTACCTAGAGATTTTATGATTTCAATTATTGATATTCTTAATCGTGGATCTATAAATACAATTGATGCTAATGATGTTTTAGGTATGTTTATTTTATTATTATTCTCCCATTTTGCTTGATCTTTTCTTTCATTTCTTTTCATTAAATTTTCATTTCAATATATGCTATCATGGTACTTGTGAGTTATCTCATACCAGTTCTTGCGGACTCGTTCGTATGTAAAGAATTTTCACTCATTTTTTGAGACAATGAAGAAAGGATTTTTTGCAAGGAAAAGAAAGTCCGAATATTCTGTACATATGAATGAGTTTGAATAAATATATCCGCAAGAGCTTGTATAAGATAAAACACAAGTACTACTAACATTTTGATAATTCTTTCAAAATCTCTTCACATCTTTTAATCTTCTTTTGCTTTATAACCTTTTTATCTATGCGCTAAATAATCAAAGCCCAATCTCGCTACGTCTCACAGCTTCAGACCTACATGAACAGCGAACTGATCTTAGCCGTGTTTGTTTTGATGCTTTACTTTCTCTTAGCCAAATGGAGGAAGAAACTAATAGACCAATTTCTTCATCATTCTTTACTTCTTCTCCTGTACATCAACGTACTGATGGAGGTTTTTTACGAAACACAACTAGTCAATCACATAGACAAGCAGTTGCAAGTACAAAAAATTCTTCATCTTTGGGGGCTACAGCAATTTCTTCGTTGTTGAATCGCTGCAAACAAGTTAGAATTTTCCTTAATTATAGTTGCCATACAAAGGGTGAATACTAGAGAGCGAGCTGGATATGGATCCAGACCTTGATTTGGATCCAGAATTCAGTTCAAGGCATTTTCCAGAATCCATATCAAGGCAGGTTTTTTGAAAATCTCGCTCTCTAGTGAATATCTGTCCATTTAGGGTATACTTACTATTAGTCACTCAGGCTTTCCTCCTCTCCTCCGAACTTAACTTTAAATTTAACAAATCAACCTTCTTCTCAGGTTTTAAATTGCTTCGCACGTGATGAACAACGTTGTGGTGGCCATTTTCCACCTTTACCACAGGAACGTGTTTTTGAAGCAATTTCAGGTTAATTAGTTTTACAAATTTAAAGAATAATTGAATTTAGCATTGAGAGCAGTTAGTGCACTTATTGATGGATTCTCAAGAAATCCAACAAGTGTATTATATTCACATTTGGTTACATTACACCCAAATTTGGTAATTGCATTTTATTTTAATTTTCATTAAAAAATTTTTAGGTTCAACTAATTCCAAGTTCAAGATGTGACCAACAATTAGAGTTAGCATTAATGACATGCCTCAACTCGTATCAGACATTACTTCTTTTAAATTTACACATAAATGAGAATAAATAAAAGATTAGAATTTTTGTTTTTTCAACATTCCAGAAATTCTTTTTGGTGTTTAATAATTATTTAGAGTACACTTCCTAAAATTATAGCGCTTCCCCGCATGGAATTAATATACATAGTATTTTTCAGCTCCGCTACGGCACATTAAATTAAAGCTCCAAATTGTTTTAACTTTCTGACGATCATTTAAAAATATTAGAATTTCTGATTTTTAATTGTATGTAAATTTTTTCTACTGCTTTTTCTGTGATTTATTTTGTTTAGCTGACCCGACTAATTATGCAAATACTATTGTTAAATATAATTTCACTTAAAATTATATTTTGTTAAATAAAAATTTTTAGTTTTCTTAATTTTATTGAAGAAATTAGCTTTTCACGAACTGGCGGGTACCAGACGGAACTGTGATACCACCATTTATGGTGATGTGCCTAGAAAGGACACACACAGGGTATCGCAAAGTTCGATCGGGTAGACGCCAAATTCGAAGCATTTGTGAAGTAATTGAATATAATTAATGTTGAAAATCTTGACCATCTTCCGATGGGCCTAAACATGTGCAACGATGATGTCAAAAAGTACACCAAAAATATTAACGCTGCACAATGTAAAGTCCCCGCGGAATAAGGCGAAGAAAATTAAAATAAAAAATGTTGGAATAACTGAAAGAATTTAAAAAAAACTTTCTAGAACGCAACTCACTAGTTGTTTGTCTAGTCACCAACAAAGTGAAATTGCATTTAAAGGTGGACTGGACTAAACACCCAGTGAGCAGCAGAACAGAAACAAAAAATTATTGAAGACAGGTTTAAAAATAAATGGAGAAAGAGCCTCTTTAATAAAATTCCTTTTATATTATTTTAAAAAAGGAAGGCGGAGTGTATTTTTTTCTCTTTCCGTTGTGATGGACATGCTTTGGGCAAAACGCCAAATAAATTATTAAATGTGGAAATTTGAACGTTTCTCTAGTACTTTTCTTTATTTGAGAGTTTTTTTGTTTTTAAGCTTTTAACTTTGAGAACAAAAACGATAGGAAGTGATTAAATAAAGAGGAGTTTTTAATAAATTCAAAAAAGAGAAGGAAGACCTTTGTTAAATGAGCATTTTTCCCACTCTTTTTCTTCAATATTTTTAGCCTTTTCTAAGTTGCCTGAATTTCCTCTCTATTTGCATTTATTTAGAAGCAACAGATGGTTATGCAAACTTAGAAAAGAAAATAAAAAGGGTTGTCACTGCGCTATATAGTTGCGCATTTAAATATTTATTTTGGCGCTTTTTTTGCTTGGAGCAAAAAGAGGAGAGAATATTTTAGCATTTAAAAATTATTTCCCATTCTTTGTCTACTTTTAATACGAATGACCGTTAAAAATTTTTTTTGCTCTAGGAAAAACTTTAAAGACGAATCTAAAACTTTAAAAAAAGAACGCTGCATTATTTTTGAAACTAAAAGTATTAAAGGGAGAAAAGAAGGAAAATTAAAAAAAAAAGCGGTAAAGAAGGGAAGATTATTTTGTGAGATTAGTTTTAATAAATTTGAATCTCATAATTATTTTTAAGTAACACTTAATTAAAAAATTTGAAAAAACCAACAAACGGGTGAAAATTAAATTAAGATCATTGAGTTCAAAAACTCGACAATAATCACTCGAATTTAGCGCCTCGAAAGATTTAGGGATATGTATGTGCAACCTGTAAAGATTTTAAAAAAACAAAGAAAAAACAGAACGAACTGAGATTTTAAGAAAAATTTAGGTTTTCGAGAATCAATATTTTTCGAAACGTAGATCTTGTACGACCCTCCGAGTTTGGTTTCTAATACTAGATTTAGTGTATTAGTCTCTAATACCACGTTAGGTTCTCTTCCCCATTTCAGAATACCTGGATATTTTTAAGATTAATATACTACATCTGTACCTTCTGAACCTATGATAAGGATTACATATAAAAATTTTTTAAATTAAAAAAAACATGTAAAACAGCGCCAAATCAATAAAATATAAAAAACGGAGAAGAACGAGAAAAAATTTTAAAAACAAAAATTTGATATGAGTTAATTAGTAATTGATAATTTAATAAAAAAAACAAGAAGATAAGCAGTTATTGTTGATATACATAGTTGTTTGTAGGTAATATTTTTATACCTACATATTTATTTTTGTTTTAAAAATAAAGTATTCTCTAAAATTCACAATATATTTTTATTTACTCGAAAATATCTCGAGATTAAGTTCAAAAAATAATTTCGGAATTAGTTTTCCTTGAAGAAAAATTAAAATACAACTTTATATTTTTATTTTATCCAATTATACATTTTAAAATTTAAATAAAATCAAATAAAGAATATTTATATTTATAGTGTATTTAAGTGTATAGCTCTAGGAATGACATTTTCTATGTTTATATGTAGAAATTTTCTTATTTAAAAAAAATCGGACCCCTTTTTCACATTTTACTCGAAAGTCATTAGTACGGCTGTGATTTATAGGCAAATGCCTTTTTTTTCTGCGAGCTTGGCATGATGTAATACGTTCAAAAAACGTGTTTTTAGCTTGGTCCGAAGAGTTTAGCATGACTTTTATTTTGCCTATTTTTGCCTATTTCGGAATTTTTGAGCCTTTTTGCCTATTTTGGAATTTTCGGTACTATTTTTGCCTTTTTTAGCGATTTTTCCTAAATTTTGCCTAAAAATCAGTGAAAAATCTAAAAAAGTCATTAGGTATTTCGGCGAACCGACAGTATTTGACACAAATACAACCCTGAGATAAACGGTTTTTTAAATTCAGTTGAATATTAAATGATAATAACTATAGGCCGGATTTTTAGGTTATAATTTATTTTTTACTGAGATAAAAAAGAGGTCCGACGAAATATAAAATTTTGTCAAATAAAATTAAAAAATAAAAGACGATGGAGTTGATGGCTTTCTTTGTTGAATAACTTCATTTTGTGTAGCATTATCATCATTATTTTGTGTTATATTTGTTGGAAAATTTCCGGAACTTGTTTGAATATTTGCTGTATTTCCCCCAAACATATGCCTTTCTAACTCTCTAACAATCCCCAAAAATTGTTGAAATTGTGGGTCATATAAACGATGACGAGAATCTGATGCTAAACATAAAGTTTCTGTTATACGTTCAGGTGGAGTAGAAGAAGAGGAAGAAGAATTATTTGGTAAACAAGTAACACTTGGTGTTGGTAATGGAGGTTGTCTTTGGTGTTGTTGGGGATTATTTAATGGATCTAATCCCAAACGAAGACCTTAAATTTCAAATAAAATTTTAGAAATTTTAATTTAATTATTAATAAAAGAATTTTTTGGATGGAAAAGTTTCAGGAATTTAAATTTTTATGGTGCCGGAAATAAGAGATATAGCTAAGTAAGCGCACAAATTTTCCTTTTCTCAAATTATCTTTCGAATTTTAAAATTTAAAAGAAAAATATTAAAAGAGGATTATTAATTTATCCTCTAACAGATGAGTCTCTTTTTCAACAATTCATATAATAATTGGCTTTATCTTTTTTCTGGTGCTATATTAGTTCAACTACAAAGACTATTTATGTACTTACATGTGGAGGGGGATTATTAAGGATTTTATCTACTTGCTAGTATGTAAGTCAAAATAAAAAGATGGTTTCCCAAAATGTAAAATTTTTTAAAAATAATTTCTAAAAAATTACTACCTTCACTAAAAGTATCAGAAAAACTAAATTTATTATTTAATCCAAAATTTTCTCCACTCCCCGTTGTTGAAGGAATTGTTGTTTGTTGTCCAAAAATAGGTATTTGTTGTTGTAATGAAGGCAATTGAATATTATTATTATTAGATGTTTGTTGTTGTTGTTGTTGTTGGGATTGAGCAATTAATTCGAGTAAAGGAATTAATAAATTAGATGAAGAAAATGAAGGGGAATTAGTGGAAGATTGTTGTTGTTGTTGAATTAATGAAATTAATTGATTTAATTGTCCTCCAGAAGTTGTTGATGTTGATGTTAATTGTCCAAGTAAAAGGTTGAGAGAAGGGTCAAGTTGTGGAGGTAGAGGAGTCTTTAAAATTAAAAAAATATTTGAAATAAACATTTATAAAAACATCTCAAAAACATCTAAACTATTTATTACCTGCATTTGTTGTTGAGAACCAATTATTTGATTTAACAACAAAGTCAGAAGGAGGTTTTGTTGTTGTTGTTGAATGTTTGTATTGTCTGGAGTGTTTGTTTGTTGTTGTCCAAACATTCCAAATTGTTGTTGGTCAAAACGAGGTTGGACAAATTGTTGTGTATGTTGTTGTTGAAAGCTATAGTTGTTATTATTGTTAGTATTATTGTTGTTGTTTGTAGTCATTCCAGTACCAAGGAAACCCAAATTGAGAGCATTTAGTGACATCTTTTGATAAATAGGTAAATTATAAATTTGGAGCCCCCCAGAATCCCGACAAAATTTGTGTCCCTAACCCCAATCCTCGATAGCCTATCCCTGTCATCCCCTTTCCCAGTAAGAGTTCTCTCCGACAGGCCGGAGACAACACTCCATATTATGAAAACATACAGAAGATCCATAATAAGTATTGGCCGAAGTTGTAGTATTTTCATTGTTGTTATTATTAATTATTCCCCCCTCAATTCCCCCTCCTTTAGAATAATCTTCTCCAGAACCAATAGAAGATGGAAATAATGTAGCTAATGATTGTGTAGATAAATTCATTTGTCCCGAACGATTTGAAGAACATAAAGGTCTGAAAGGGGAATCTGATGTTGTTATTTGTTGTTGTTGTTGAATTGGGGGTGTTTGGTCAGCTATTATTATATCTTCCATTGGGGTATTTGGAGCTGTTGTGTTTGTTAAATTTCCTTCGAGAGAATGGGCACGTTTTGGTGAATTTATATCCATATTCTATAAATTTTAAAGAAAAGTTAAAATTGTTTAAAGGAAATTTCGTGGAAAATAATAAAAAAGGACCCACAAAAGGACTCAAAAAAGGCCCAAATCTTTAATTCCCCTCAAAATTTTAAATATAATTACTTCATTAGAATCACTATTAGCGATTCTTTTATCACAAGATAAATTAGAAATATTTATTGGAGTAATTATCCCTTCAGTTCCATAATTAGTTGTTGATAAATTTCTTAAACTCAGAGCTTTTGAAATTAAAGAAACTCCAGTTGCTGATGAAGAAGAGCCAAAAGAAAATGAAGAGGAAGGAGGTAATGAATTATTTTGTTGACAAATATTTTGTTCAGAATTTCCACTAGTAATTAATTGTTCTTCCGAAATGTTTCCTATTAATTGTTGTTCAACAGTTCGAGGTGTTCCTGGGGGTATTGGGAGGCATTCTTCTTCTTAAAATTAAATTCAGAATTAATTCTTTGATAGAAATTGACTTTTTTGAGGGAAGGTGTTCGTTATGGATGGTTCCTAAAACCGAAAACCAAGAAAATACTCTAGAGCAGGGACAGGAAAGATGTTAAAAAAGGTTACATTTAGTCCAAAAATAGGGAGTTAATTCAAATTAGGGATTAAGAGAAGGAGGATTAAAGGTGAAAGAAGAGATAATTATACGAGGTTTGAAATTTGAACGTTTTTTAGGCATTTGATGGGGGTAATTATTGTTTCAATCTATCGCTGGATGGGAGTGGGGATGGACGAGGGGAAGTGGGGCAAATGGAAGTGGGGTAATTATTTGAGGGAGGGCAATTAATACAGGTTATACTGTAATGTGGACACCCCTTTCTCCGAATTAAAATCGCCTCATTTAAAAACTCACCACTAATAAACTTCGGAAAGACCCTTAATCGAGTGTTGCCATTCTTGAAATGTACCGGTTTCAGTACCAACCCGCATTCAGAAGTACGTGTTCGATATCTCCTAATTATGGCATTAGCTCTAAGGCTCATAACATTTTGACACTTTAAAAAGGGAAAGTTGTTTGTAAATAATTAACATTAAATACCGTTTTGCAAGTACAACTATTATAAGGGCAAGAACTTGCATGGCCTTTAAGTGCTATTTGAAGACCGTGACCTTCACATTTTCGACAAAACCTGTTTATAGAAAATATTTTTAGATTAATAAAAAGAAAAAATATTTTTAAAGAAATTTTTCTTGTTAATTTATTTAGGTAGGAAAGGAAGATCCTCAATGAATAAAGATAAAAATTAGCAAGATTTGTGTATGTGTTAAAAATAACAAAATATTTATCAGACAAGAATAAACATACAAAGTCCTCATAGAATTTGGATGTTGTTGTTGTTGACTATTATTACTAACAACTCCTCTAGCTCCAAAATTAATAGAGGAACCGGAAATGTTTCCTCCAGAATTATTTTGTAAAGATCCAGAAAGTGTAGGGACGGCCATTTGAGTTAAATTAATTGAAGAAGAAATTAAAGATTGTCCAATATCTGTTTGTTGTTGTAAATTCTGTTTTTGTTGTGAATTAACCAAAAGATTAATTGAAGAATCATTTTGTTGTTGTTGTTGTTGATGAATAGCTGCTTGTCTTTCTTGCTAAAATAATTTTTTAGAAATTAATAAAAAACACAATTTAAAGGACTTTAATGAATATTGGAATAACATTAGTTTGAGATTTTCATGCAATATTTCGATCCAATATTTAAAAAATAAAAAAAACAAAATCTTAAATGCCTGAATAAATAATCCAAAAACCATCAGAAATTTTTAAAAGTATAACTTGAAAAATTAGAAAAACATTTTCCGACACAATAATTCGAATTTCGGGGCTTTATTAGAGGAAGGCTATCGATAGCTCTTAATTAAATCGCTGGAGGTTTCTATCCTTATTAAAACAAAAAATTTATTAAACTCTTTCCAGCTTTTCCACCTCAGCAATAGTCCGATCAACGTCTGAAGTCAAAACCTAAATAATTTAATATTTATATTTTAATTGCTTACTAATTATTTTTAAAAATTATTTTCTGTTAAAAAATATTTTCTATTAATTTACTAAATAATTTGTTATCAACCTTGAAAAGTATTTAATTTTTATTAATTATTTTAAATTATTTAATATGTTGCCTTGTGACTAAAAGTAAAAACTTTTTTTTTGTAAATTTTTGTGATAAACAAAAAGCCCCCTAAAATAGTTAACTGTTATTTTTATAATTAATTAACATTCTTTATTTTAAAAATAGAATGAAAAGGGAAAGTAGGGAGATAAAAATAGAATTTGATTGAATTAATAAAGGGAATTGAAAATACTGATAATATTGATGAAAATTATTTAATAATTTACTCCTAAAATATTTCAAGCTCTTAAAGTTTTTTTAAATAAAAAAAGTTTTTTTCCTCACAAAATTATTTTAATTTATCAAAAAATGATCTGAAAATTATTTTAAAATTCCCCTACTTGTGCTTCAACAACAATTTGTGTCCCAGCAGGTAAATCAACAGGAACAACGACAGGCGCTACTACTGGAACTTCAACAACAGGAACTGCAAGTTTATTTAAATTTGTTGTTTGTTGTTGTAATGTTGTTGGTGTAGCTCCAGGGCTGCTACTGGTGCTGTTACTAAAAAAGAAAAAAATGAAAAAAATAAACTAAAAGGATGATAAGAATTTCCCTAAACCCTTCAACAAAATCTTCTTCGAATTATTTTTACAGATCTTGCCTTCTTAAAATCTCAAGATTTTTAAAAAAGGTGAATTGGCTCAATTCAACAGAATTTTCAAAGTTCTGTTCATTTGGCAAAAGGAAAGTTTAACAAAAATGCCGGAAGCTTAAACTTTTTTCTAATTAATATTTATAGTAACATATTTTGTATTTTAACATTAAATATATTACCCAAAATATATTTAAATTAAAAATATTTTACTATTTTTAAATAAACAATTTTATTTATTTATTTAAAATTAGAACTGCTAATTATTAGAAATATTATTTTTAATATTCCTGTGCCAAAGAAAAAGAAAAGATGGCAAAAAACTAAAGTATAGTACACTTTAAGGCACGCAAAAAGTACATGTATAAACAAAATTACTATGGCATTTAAAAATTATTTGAAAGTACTCCGAAAATGGAAAAGAAATTTAGAAGGAAGTAGTGACTAAGGGGGAAGAGAAATTACAGTAAATTCTTTAATTGAGGTATTTAATATCTAATAATTATCTTTAATAGATTAAGTTAATTAATTGAGGGAGATAGGTAAAGTGCTTAAAAGTTTATTTAATTGTTAAAATAGAATTGTAAAATAATATTGAGTTCTTTGCAGTCGGAGCTACAAAAATATACTAAACTATATATAATTATTTAAATAAATATATAATTATTTTAGGTATATTAATGCCAAACTATAAAATAAATAAACTTTTGATTCTAAAGAAAAGAACAAATTCAAAAAAAATATTTGTACTATATTGCTAAATAATTAATAATATTTTTATTATTTTGTGCCGTTAACTAAAAAATAAAAAGAAATAGTTTAAAAAAGGTTTTTAAAAATTAATTAAAATTTTTCCAAATTAAAAATATTTTGTTGGGATATTTAATAAAATAAAAAAATTAAAGGGCATTGCGGCACAGACCCTCGCGGGAAGTCAACGGTCGCTGGGTTCTGTGCTCGTAACTTAATTCTATTCCTATTATCAATGAGGTTCTCAAAGTTCTGATCCTATTTAATGCGGGCACCCTATTCTTTACAAGTGCCGGATACTTAAATTAGAAATTCAACTTTTTAGAAAAAAATTAAATAAAATATCTAAAATTATAATTACCATTGCTGCATCTTCATTGACATTTTTTTGCAAAAAAGATTATTAAATTAGTAAATATATTTCAAAATTAAATATACACTATTTTGTATTGTTGTTTTAATTATTTATTTAGTTGTTAATAAATAAATGAATCTTATTTATTTTTTATCTAAAATTTAGTAAAAAATAATATTTTTAATAAAATGTAAAATCTTTAAATAGATAAAAATATGTTTTTAATTTATTTCCGTTTGATCGCTTAAATTTTTTAATCAACAAAATATATTTATTTTAATTATCTGAAGGAATTATTAAAGATTAAAAAATAAATATTTTAAATTTTTAATAAAATTAGTAATTATTTTTTTGGAAGAAAATAACAAAAAAAGTTCTTGAATAGAAAAAAAGAAATTTAATTTTAACTTAAAAAAAGATTAAAGACAATCAAAAACACTAAAAAAGAATTTACAAAAATAAAAATATGTTTACAAAAATATATCAAAACAGGAAATATTTTTTAAGTTTATTTTGATAAAATTTTTATTTTTCATTTAGGCGAACACAAAGTTACAAATTACTAAGTTAATTGAGGAAATTGTTCTGTAAATTTTAAGGAAAAAATGTTTTCTAAATTAAAAATACTAAAATCTTAAAAAATACAAATATAATGTTAAGAAAGTGCAGATTGTTAATGTCAGAAATTTACATGCAAAATTGTTGAAAGCAAGAAAACTAAAATTTAGAAAATAAATAAATGTTGTTTTATAACTTTCAAAAAATTCAGAATTTTCATTAAAAATTTTTATTTAAAATTAAAAATTTAAAATATTAAAAGAAGTTAATTATTTAAAAACAATTTTTACATCTCCCTCCCTAATTATTAATTTTTAACATTAAAAATAATTATTTTATTTTAATTAAAACTTTTAAATTAAAAAGAAAATCATCCAAATTATTATTATTGACAATTAATTAATTAAAAATTCCTTTATACTCCAAGGACAGTTGTGCGCGTATATTAAAAGTAATGTGATATTTAGGTAACTAGTAAAAGTGTAATAAAGGGTAATAAATAAATAAATATATTTTTGAAGAAAAAGTTTTTATTATAAAAAGTTTTTTTGGGGGGCGCGTAAACGAAGAGAATGAGAGAAGAAATAAAGGTCCCCTTTTCCTAAATATTTATCGGTTCGATTGCACTCACTTTTTGAGAGAAAAATGTGATAAAGAAGAAAAAAAGAAAATAGTTTTGTGATTATTATTTTTATTTTTTGATTGATAGAAAAAGAAAATTTAAAAAAAAATTAATTAAAGGAAGGAAGCAAAAATTAAAAAGAAAAAATTATTTTAAAAAATAAATTAAATTTTGTTACGTCACAATAAAATAGATTTAAAAAAAAGTCTGCGTGGTAAAGGAAAATTAAAAAATGGGGAAATGTTATGAACACTTGAACTTTGGATATAATTAACCTTGACAAAACAAACCTCTTCATTGGCCAATTTCTCCTTAAAATGACTCTCGATCTAAAGAAATTTTATTCGATCCCTTCGAGGTCATAATCAGAGGTGGGTCGGAACAGTCAAAAATGTCGGAAATCGGAAGAGCCGGAAATCGGAAATAAATTTTTTTTCGGAAATCGGAATTCCGACCCGCCTCTGGTCATAATATCGAGAATTAAAAAAAGATTCAATGCTAACAAGGCTATAATGTGAGATTCCAGTTGGTAAAAATATTTAAAAATAATTATTTGTAAATCAGAAAATAAAATTTAGAAAAAAATAAGCGAAATTTCCAGAAAAATTTTTATTGCAAAAAATTAATCCGATTTACATATTATTTTGTTAAATAAAAGTATATATTATATTTTTTATTTAAAATAAAAAAAAAATTGACAAAAATATTGATAGAAAATAATAAAAATAAATTTTTAAATAAATTTTCTCTTAAATATTTTATATCAGTACTTTATATTTACTGATAATTCGTGTAAAGGTTAAAAATAATAAAAAAAATAAAGAAAGTAATAATTTATTTAATAAAAAATAATTCTTTAATCTGAAAAAGTACAAAATAAATTATATTTATTTATTTATTTAGATATTTTAAAAATTCAGAAAAATTAAAAAAATGTGATAAATTAATGGAATTTAAAATTTATTATATAAAAAATTTTTATAATTAAGTTAAACCAAAAAAAACAGAAAAATATTAAATATTTTTAAAAATTCTATTCTAATCAGATTTAAAAAACGAAATATTATCAAGGGACCTTCTCTCACAAATCAGCTCCGATTTACCCCTCTCGTTTAGTCTCCATTTTTGAAGTTATTGCTTAATTCCTTCAATTTCTCTAGGAAAACATAATTACAAATTAAGGTTGGCGGTTCCTGGGAAATCTCCGTGTAGTCGGAATCAGAACCGATAATTGAACCAAGAATTTCAGAATATCTGGATTTATTAAGTTACGGAAACCTGGAACATCTAGCCTTACTACAAATATCTAAATATCATTTTAGATTTTAAAAATTTATTTATTTAAATTGTTTAAATTAAAGAAAAATAAAAAGAAATAAAAATTAATTTTAAAAAACATAAAGAAAATTAAAATTTATTTATTTTATTTTATTGTTCACCATTTATATACTAAAGAATATTTCTATTTTTTAAAAATTTCCCCCAAACACTATTTAATTTCCTTTATTCATTTTTAATAGCTTTCTTTCCTCTTTTTTATTTAATTTACTAAATAAGTAATCAAATGCTTTTTAATAATAGAGATAGCGGAGGGGAGTGATCACGCAATAAATATTTTTAAATGATTGATATTTTTATGAAATAAAAATTAAAAAGTAATCAAAATTTTGAAGGGAGAGAGAAAGTGATGACTAAAATTAAGAAAAATAGAGGAAACAATTAATTGACAATTAACAAATAAAATTAAATGATATCAACAATTCTTTAAATAAATTTAAATGGTAAAAAAAATAATTTTTAAATGTGATAGCGAGAACAGAGCTGGGCACAATTACGGATTACGTGAAATTGTGTGTTTTTTGACTTGCGGATTGCGTTTGCAGAATTTTTTTTTTTCAATTACGCCGAGCCCTGAGGCGAATCAAAATTAAGGAGACAATCGACAAACGATAGATATATTTTTCACGTTTATCGTTCGAATAAGTCGTTTGTCTCCCTAATTTTGATTGGCCCCTGATCGAGAATCTTTTTCTTTAAAAATATTCTTGCACGAGTTTAAAAGATAAATAAATATACATAATATAAGCTTTTTAATGATAAAATAAAGAGAAAAATAATATTTTTAACTGGTCGCGGTTTGCGTTAAACAACAAACATGCCTTTGAAGAATGATCGAAAAGAGAGAAGAAAAAAGTATATATTTATTAGAAGTGAGCAAGCACTGCAATGGAGCAAAGTCCAGTATGGCGATAAAACGTAAAGTGATTTGTGATATATTAATAAATAAAAAATATTTTCTTTTTGGTTATGGCGTGGGAAGAGAAGAATTAAAAAAAATGATTTTGTCAATAATGGAGAGAAAAAAAGAGAGAAACACGAGTGAAGAAAGGAAAGATTTTGCCAAAAATTAATTAAAAATTTTTAATGTTAATTTTTTTTTGAAATTCATTCGTCGAATGTTTATCACTTAATTATAAAAAAAATTAAAGTCTTGAATTAAACTTTAATTAAACAAATATATTCTTTCTAATCATCATTAACAAAAAATCTTCTAAAAATTTTTAATCTTTAAAATATTCTATAAAATAACCTTTAGTTTCTTTTTAAATATTTTTATTTCCTTGTTGATATATAATTTTAAAAAATATATTTATATAAATGTTAGGATAAAAGTTTTAAGATTAACATTTAAAAAAAGCTTTTAAAGTATTTATAAAAAATTAATGAAAAGAAAAACATTTTTTGAAGGAACTTAATAAAAAATATATATTTATTTTTAATCTTCTTAAATTTATATATATTTCCCTAAAAAGTACAAATAACAAAATAATCCACAGAACAAAACAACTTTTAAAAATAAACTAAAATGCTTTTAGTAGAAAATTGCAACCGTGGATATACTCAAAATATTAGTGAATCAAATTTCTAGTTATCTTTATTGTTTATCCAGTTCCAAATCTAACTCTTTAGTAGAGCTGGGGACTAGATCAGAACCAGGGATAATACAATGCATTTTGTGTTAATTTGTGGCCTTAATTGCTTTTTAAAATTTTTTAAATAGTTTTTTGCGTTCACCCTTCTGATTCGGGTCTGGACTTGTCTTTTTAGATTTCTCTCTCGGGGTTTCCTGTAGTGTATTTTTTTCAAAATTCTTAGTTGTTGTACTTATTATAATTATTTTTAACAAAAAAGTAAAATTAAATATTTAATTTTTAGAGAGAAGAAATGACCATTTTATCGATAATATTTTTGTTAACGGGAAAATATTTAATATTAAAAATTAAATTATGTATATCAGGTCTAGTGCGAATGTACCCAATACACACACACCAATAAATATACAATTTATTAAACTAAAAATTCTCTAAAATGTGTTGAGGAAGGGAGTTTTTATCTTAATTTTTTTTCTTCTGTTTATCATTCATTGGTGTTTTATTAATAATTTTTATTATTAATTATCTACCTTAAATATATACATATTTATTGGTGTATTTAAATAATAATTTTCTTATCAATTAATTAGTAAAATAAATAATAATAAAACTTTAGTTATAAAATAGAGAAGTGATTTAAGTACAATTAATGCCCAATTTGAAGTTTTTTTCAAAAAAATATTAGTGGGTAGGATATGGTTTAAGATTAACATTCTTGCACAAAAAAATACATGAAGAAAGGACGTGTTGAGAAAGAGAAAAAAAGTATATTCATAATTTGGATGTTTTCATTTGTTAAAATTGTTATCAAGAGTGAAAGCCAAAATTCAAACCAAACTCCCAAAAACTAATTCGTTAATCGTATTATGCACAAAAAATGTTTATGAAAACATGTATATGTATAAGGTCTTTATAGGGGTTGACCTCGATTATATAAAAAAATTTTAATCTCAATCCCAAGTATTTTCGAAGAATGTAAATCAACAAAGTGAAAAAGATGGGGGGCGATATATTTGGGATAGATAATCTGGTATTGATAAATAAAAATTTTATTGTGTAATTTATATTTACTTTCCACCAAAATAAATCCTGGGTTAATTATGAACGAAGGCTATTTTGCTTAAAGAAATTTTTTTGTAAAAGTAATTTCAAACAGTATAGTGATATTTTTGCCGCGCCACAACATTACCGCAAAAATATTTAAATTTTTGTTTGTGAAATCATATTAAAAATAATATGTATCATTGGGAAATGCCTTTTTTAATGGATAAACAAAAAATAAAAAAAATTGGGCGTTTCAAAAATATTTGGTATTGCCATAAGGGAAATGAATTTGTATATATAAATAAATGATTTAATGTATTAAATTTATTAGATTAACTTTTTTCATAATTAATTTCGATCACTATTAGTTTTTCATTTAAAAATTAAATTAAAGAAATATACTACATAGCTTTAATCATTTTTAAAAAATCGCTGGCCCTATATAAAATATAAGAAATTCTAAGAATAAAGTAGATCTGTATTGTTAAGTTTGTAGGAAATGGAAAAAATAAAGAATATCTAGGTCTAGAAAATCAAAAAATAATCGTTTAATTTATATCATTTTTTAAAATTTCCCCTTTATACACATAGATGTATTCTTTACCTAAAACAGAGCAAATAAAACAACGCAAAGTAATTCCAATTGAATTACTGGTCGAAATATTTAAAACAATAAATACATATCCTGCTGAAGACCTACTTTATAGAATTGCAATTCAAAAAATAAATTGTATTTTTAAGAACATGTTAACCTCATCCAGAATTTTTTACACTTTTTCTGGAAAAAAGTTGAAAGACAAAATGGTGGTAAGAAAAACTTTTAATATTTTTTTGGAAAAATTTTATGGGTTCATCTTATAGTAATTCTAAATGTTAAATTAATTGATTAATAGGAATAAAATCCTCCCATTCAGAGCTTTCGATAAATAGCTTTCGATCAATTTAACCCAGCAAAGAATTGAAAAGTTGTGGTCAAAAATAGGTCTGCGAGGGAAACGGCGGCATTTAACCGTCCTTGTCCGAAATATTCAAAAATTAATTTTATGTACAATTTTTGGCAAAATGATTTTTTATTTTTTATGCTATGCGATTGTTTATTATAAAAACCTATTTATTCTTCCTATTATTTATTATTTTTGGGTTTACTTTAATTTAAAGTTTTTCAGATTCTAACATTAAATTTAAGAAAATAAACATGACAAATAAAGAAATTTTGGATGCTTTTAATGAATTGAAAGAAGAATTTACAACAAGATTCTCAAATATAGAGGGAAGACTCTCGGATATAGAAGGAAGACTTTCTGTTGTTGAGGCACAAAATGCAGCAATTCTGGAAGAAATTGGGAAAAAGAAGGAAAATCAAAAAGAATTGGTGGTTACAGAAGGAAGTGTTGCTATTGCAAAACAGCAAGGAGTAAAGCGTCTTTTGAATTCTGATCAAGTAAAAAATTTGTGTTGTTAATTCCAATTTTTCAAATTGCAGAGAAGCTTAACTTCTCTTGATGCTTCACAAATTGGGCAGGAGGAAAATCACAAGAAGGAAGTGGTTACCGAAGGAAACGTTACTTTCGTAAAGCAAGGTGTGAAGCGTCGTCTTTTGACTCCTCAGCAGGTAAAAAATTTATGATTTTAATTCTCAGTTTTTATATTTTCAGACAAGTTCTCTCTTAGCTGCTTTTGACGCTTCAAAGTATGTGGATAAGGAAAGGCTTCAAAAACTTTCGTTGGAGAATGATCTTGGAGAAGATCAAATAAAGGTTAGTTAAATGTGTTTTAAAAATGAGTATGACCAGTTTGCTAAATCTTCCTTTGGATTACCTAATATGGACGGTATTCTAATTTTTTGGATACACAAAGTAGGGGTTCATTCATAGAATTTATGGACTATAGAGTTTTTGTCATTTAGTGCTCAAACTCAATCTTGGTACATATTAAACGTTTGTTGCTTTTGTCATGTTAAATCGATTATATCTAAATTAAACCTGACGATAATCATGTGATCGCTTGAATGTTTTTCCCTTCCATTTTTTCTTGCAAAAGTATAGTTGTTGCTGAGCACTCGGACTAGAAATTTTCCAGTTTTTCCTTTTTTCAAATTTTAAGCCTCCCTATTAATATAAACCATTTTTTTCATATTCTACTTTTAAAAGTTTCAAATTTTTAGAAGTGGTTTGACAACAAAAGATACAGGACAAACCGTCAATCAAAGAATTTTTGTGACGACGATGCTGCTGCTGTTGCTTCAACTTCTGGAATAAAACCAATTACTGTAAAAAAAGAAGTGTTTTCCGGCATTAATGTTACCAATGGAGAACAATCGGAAGATAAAGAGAATAATGGAGGAGGAGGGCTTGTTTAAAATTCTTTGGATGGCTATATAAAAAGAAGGAAGTTGTCAAGTTTATTTTTTTTTAATTTTTTAACAAAATAATTTATTTATTTTTTTTATTCCTTTATCCACAATTTAATTTTTAAATTAATTCAACACGTTTTAACTGAATAAAAGGATTTAATCTATTTTTATTAGTTTATTGAAAATAATTTCTAATGAAATTTAATTATTTTTCTAATTATGCATATTTCAATTTTTTTTGTAAGCTCACTAAGAAAATTCATTTCAATGAAAAAAACTCTTGTATGTCTTTTGAATATTTTCCCAAAAGTCTCCATAAAAATGTATTTATTTTCAACGTTTTGTTCCTATGTTAGAATTCTCAAAAAAAATTAATTTACGTTTAGATTTATAAGTTACTTAAATGTTTAAGCAAATCTCAAAAGGTTTTTTAGCTTTCAAGCGGTTACTTACATTCTTAACAAAATGTATTATCACAAAAATTGCTAAAAATGATCTTTAAATTTATAATACATTTATAATTTTAGGTGTTTTTTTTTTTGATAAATTTATTCATTTCCCCAAAATTTAAAAATTAATAAAAATTAATTTTTCTTTCTTATTTTAATTTCATTACAAAAAACAAAAAATAAATCCGATTTTTATGTAATGTCATTCTTCCTTCTGAAATTATTTAGAATTTCTGCATTGAGACAAATTTTGAAATGTAGCAATGCAAAGCCTTTAATTAAAAATTGAAATGGAAAAATAAAAAGAAAGAAATTGAGAAATTTTTAACAATTTTTGAGAATTTTGTGATTTAATAAAATATTTTGACAGAAAAATTTAAAAAGGTGAGTGAACAAACATTTTGCTCTGATTAAACAATAATAAGGATTTTGAGAATGCTTCGAGTTCCTTTAAGCTTAATTAAAGGGAAAGTTGAAAGGTTAATTGAAAACAAATGAAATCTCTCCCTGATACAAAATAATTAAATAATTTTAAACGGAGTAATTTCTAAAAATATTTCACGTTAATTCTCCCAAAAATTTTATTTCAAAGTCAAAAAAGACTTACAATCTGTCATAAATTTTTTGACGTCTCTGCAAATTTATATATTTTCGTGGCTGTCTTTGTGACAAATTTTGGTTTTGTAATTGCTCTAATAATTGTAATTCCTCTTCTCCTTGCTTTACTTCCAATTCTCTCGTTTTTCTTAATTCTCGACGTTGTTCTGAATGTTCGGCCAAACTCTCCCTTAATTGCCGAAAACCAAAAACTGCTTTGGATGGACGTAACTTAAAAATTAAAAAAAAAGTCTTTAAATGTTGTAAATATTTGGATTTTGAAGGAATCCTCAGACAAAAAAACCCTCAACCCTCATTTTAAATAATATTTTGACAATTTGTTAAATGTTTAACAAAAAATTTTGAAATTTTTGGAAAGTTTAGTTGAGGTTTAGGATATAAAAATACAAAATTTAAAAATAAAAAAATTTTTAATCAAAAAAATAAACATTTAAAAAATATTAATTAATTAATTAATTAAATAATTAAAAATTCTCTCTAACCGTTCGAATTCCAACAAAAGAACGACTATTAGTCGGAAGAAATACTGAAAATGCTGGTTCAGAAAATGAATTTAAAGAGCCGCCATAAAATGCAGAATGTGGAGCCCCTGTCGAACAGGTTACCAAAAAAGAAAATAAAAAAGAAAACATTAAAATTAACGAAAATGGATGTTGTTTTTGTTGGTGATATTTAATTAATTTTTTTCTTAAATTTTCTTTAATTAAATCCTTGTTTATATTAATTTTGGAAGAAGAAAATGTTGATGTAGATGGATTAAATAAAATTGTGGGAGGAGGAGTTTGGAATGATGTCATTTTAATATTTAAATAAAATATTTAAAAGATTTTGTTGCAAATTAAGGAAAGATTTTTTAAAAATAATTTTTACCTAAAAATAAATAAATCGTTTAATTTTCTCAAAAATTCTTTAAAAATATATTTAGAAACAATAATACATATTTTTACTCTCAATTTAGAAATAAATAATCGGAAACTTTAAATTTATACATCAGGGCCCGTATCATAAGAACGTGGTTCGTGGTTATTTAATCTATACCGAGCGGTAGGATTGGTATCAAAAGGAAAACCTGGGGTTCATGTTGGTTCACAGATCCGTATAATACGGGCCCAGGGGTCGCCTTACGCTTTTTACAATTTATATAGGCACATCTCCATTTGCAACCACTTTTAAGATTCTAAATAATATTTAATTCAAACAAATATTCTAAGATTATTTCTGATTTTTTAGACAAGGAAATAAATACATTTATATGCAAATGTATGTATATCCAAATATATATGTTAAAAAGCATTTAATTTTAAATAAATATATAATTAATAAATGGGTGGAGTATAACTTTGAATAAGAAATCAGAATAATAAATTAGAATAAAAAAATATAGAAAGTCAAAATAAAATAAAATTAGAGAAAATATTAGAAAGATTAAATAAATTCTGATGGCATTTAAAGAACAGCTGAATTAAAAAGGAAAAAAATCTTTCGGAAATAAGTAAAAATTGTGTGCATTTTATAGAATTTTTAATTTTAAAAATAAATAAATAATTAATATATATTTTAAAGGAAATTTTAAGAATTTATTTTTGTAAATTTTTACGTAAAATATTTTTTAAATTTAGATTATATATAAATACATCTGTCTGGAGATTTTGAAAATTTACAGATGTCTAGCCTTTTTTGGAATCAAAAATGTTTGGAAGATTATTTAAAAAAGCTTAGAAATTGATAAAATATAAACTAAAATAATTTTGCAGTTTTTAAAATATAGTTGGAGATCCTTAGGGGGGTAAAAATTAAAAAGAATTAATTATAAGAGAGTAAATAAATACAATAATAAAAAATATAATAATACAAGATCTCCTATGCCTAACACCCTCAAACTTTGTCATATCATGAATTATTGGAGCAGTAATGGGTAATTTTGGATAAATTGAATAAAAAAGAAAAACATTTGTAGAATATATACATATAAGTATGTAGTTCTGAGAATTTCCAGTCCAAAAATGATATTCAATATAATGTTAGAAATTTAAAAAATTTCACAATGTACTTTCAAAGTTGTATCGTTCCTAACAGCTAATAAATAGATCCCACCTATTAAATCCTTTTTTATTTAACTTTATTCGAGCTCTCTAGACTAAAATAATTATTTTAAAGGAAACATTTTTATATTTTAAATAAAAATGTCTATAAAAATATTCTTATTTATTTATAAGCTGATTAAAGTATTCGCAAACAAACAACTAAAAAAGAGATTAAAGTAAAAATGAATCCTTAAAAATATTAATTTACATGTTTTTAGGGGTTAAGGAAATGAAGTAAATATATTAATAAAATAACTAACTAAATTTATTTGAAAAATATTAATAATATGGTTGGCGGTTATTGAAAAATATTCGGATATCCGCGAAAAATCCTCGATTGCGGACCGTCACCCTTAACTAATAAAAATCTTTAAAATTAAATAAACACATTTAAAAAATGGTAGCTATTAGTGTTGTCAGTTCGGAAAGATAAAATTGAATTTAAATAAATAATCTAAGCTACTAAGGTTCTAAAAATAATTCAGACAATAGTAATTTAATCAAGAAGGTAAAATATTTTAAAGATAATTTCGACTCATTTAGAGGGGAAACGGGGGTACAAACTTCATAAAATATTTAAACCCCCTTAGAGAATTTATAAGAATTTTCTTCTAAGCTTGCCAAAAAATCAGCGGGGATAAGAGAAATTTTTTATAAAAGCATTAAGGTAGTTTAAATATTTTTTAAGTACTTGACATCCATTTCCCGTTGATTTAGGAGTATTAAGATGCCGATTAAAAAGCATTTACAGACTTGGTTCATTTTGATCTTCTACTCGATATCGATGGAAATATTCACAGAGATTTTTCAGAATTTATGTTTAGAAAAAAACGAACTAAAATTTTGGTTTTATAATTAATTACCACTCCATTTTTGAAAGAAATATAAGAAAATTTTTAAGTTTATTTTATATTTTGAAACTTTCATTATCTGACAAAAATTTCAGGTCATTTAGTCAGTTAAAACTTTGAGTAACTACAAAAAAAATTCATGGCCTTATAATCTCTTAATAGACTTTAATTAGATTTTTCTTTTTATTTATTTACAAATTTTTTAATATTTGGATATAAAAAATGTAGGAAAATATTTATTGCAAAATTATTATTTTTTATAATATTTTAATTAAAAATATTAAAATTAATAAAAATGTAAATTTACAAAAAAAGCCGGAATAACTAAACAAAAAACAGAAAAGCGTGGGTGACTGTGTTGGTGGACAGATGTCATTACCGGAAGTGAAAAACGTCGGCTATATGTTAACACCCTCAAACAATTCAAAAAAATAAAACAAAAATTTATTCCCTTTTTTTGTCTCCATATAAAGTTAAAAGGACATCCGAATAAAATTTTAGATTTACAAACAAAAATGGTAGAAAAAGGAAAAAATTGAAAAGAATAAACGGAAACAAAAAAAGTGGCGTGGATATATTTTTGTTTTGGGTATTTTTCTGTTGTTTTTTGTATTTGTTGATTTTAGAAAATATAAAAATAATGTTTGGAGATTTGAAGACTCAAAACTAGAGCCTGGAGGTACTAATGAAATATTTTTTGGTATTTATCGATATTCCAATCGGTCTACTCAAAAGCAATTGAAGAAGATAAATTTTTAATTGTATATTTCCTTAGGAAAAAATAATTTAAAAATATATAAGTGTTTAGAATTTAATTTAAATAAAAATTTCAAAATAACAAAAAAATATGTCTGAATCCTTTCAATAATTTATAGTTTAATTAAAAACCTTTTTTGGTATTTCTTTTTAAATCCTTTGCTTTCCGGCAATTAATTTAAAAAAAGAGCGTAGAATTTTGCACTAAAATATAAAAAAAGGAAATATTGAAGAAAAAATAAAAATAAAGGGTAAATAAAAATTAAAAAAAGAAATATATTTATTTTTCAAAAAAAATATTTTTTAAGAATTTTATTTAAAATACCTAATACAAAAAGGGGTTTCTTTTTTAAAAATTATATAGTAGTTATTTCAGCACTCTGAGAAAAATAAAAACAATTAAATTAGTTAAATATATGTAAGCAATTTAAATACTAAAAAAGAATAAATGACAAAAATGTAAGAAGTGACCAATTTTGGAATTTGTAGTTTAAAATGTGGAAAAATGTTTTTTTTCAGAAAAATGTGTGAAAATGAAAACACACAAAAATATTTAAAAATAATAAAGAAATTAATAAACTTTAAAATAAATAAATATAATAATGCGTTAAAAACTTTAATTATATTTTTCTTATTAAAAATCTTATAGTTAAAAATTTTCTCAACAAACATTACATAACTTTTCATTTCTGTATAGCTGTCGTTACTAATGAAGGGTGGCTGTATATAAATAATAATAACCTCAATAAATACTCTAATGTAAGGCCGCCTTTGATATAAGCCCAGAAAAGTGGCCTATTGAAGAATATAAACCCAGGACGTATACTCTAATGAGTATTTACGGTACTTTGAATTATGATAAAAAATAACCTTACTTTATAATCAGAGCTTTACGAAACAAAACCAACTTTGAAAATTGGAAATCGGAATTTCGAAACAGTTTTGTTTATAATGTAAATTGCTGTCCAAACTCTTGGTCGTGAGTCTTAATTCAAAATTTTCTTGGGTGGAAGGTGGGTGGGGGTTTCGGTCTTCGCTTTAGTCTTTCAAAAATATTTTCAATTTTGATAGTTAAATAAATATCCAGAATTTAATTGAAATATAAATTAAAAAGTTTATTAAATAATTTCAAAAATGACGTTGAAAAATTATTTTATTTAATAAATAAATTTTCAAAATAATTTTATCAAAGAAAATAAAATAATAAAATAAGGATTCTCTGAAAATATTTCATTTATTTTCAATTAAAATAAATATTGAAGAGGTCATTTTAAGACTTCATAAAACGTAAAAATATTTTAATAAATACATAATATTATAATTAAAATAATATTTTAATCTTAATAAACTTTTTGCTTTTACAAAAATTATTTTAATATTTATTAACTTTAAAAAGTGTTTGCTGACATTTTAATAAAATAAAAAGTTTATTTAAAAAATAACTTTCACATTTGAAAAGAAATTTTATTTATTTGTAATAAACAAATAAATGTTAATTAATTTAAATATTATTATTATTTAAAAGTAAAATATAATTAAATATTTACACAAATACACACACATCTGTCCTTTTTTAAAAACTAAAAGAATTTGTTGTTATTAAATATCAAATTAAAAAAATAAATAAAATTTTGTTTGTTTAATTTAGGAAAGAAATTTGGAATTTATTTAAATTAAATAATTGAAAATTCAAATAATACTCTTTTAAGTTTTGATTTTTTTAAAATTATAAATCTTATTTAGAGAAATAAAATATCAGGGGATTATTCGAAATTTCGAGCAATTTCCTTTCCTTATTCGAAATTTCGAGCCTTCTCTTGATTATGTGGTTGGCCCTCCCTCTTATTGTTAGCTATCCTTCTTAGCTATCCCTTTAAGCTATCCCACTTACAATTAAAGAGAATTTTTTATTACTTTAATTTTTCTATTTTAAAAATTTCGATAATATTTAATAGATTACCGTATTTCCTGTAATATATATTAATTACTCCCCACTGAATTAGAACTCCCCTCTTTAATAATACTCCCCTTTGGAGGAGGATTGAAAAATAGTACTAACTGGAGTAGTATTAAAGGAGGCGATATGTATAATATACCTATATCTAAAGTTAAATTTTAGCGCAATTAAATTTAAATTTTATTAATTTCTAAATTTATTAAAATTTAGAAAATAAATTATAAATATAAAATAAAATGGTGTTTTTATTTCAAAGTAAACCAAAAAAAAATTTAAAATAAAATTACCTCTATATAAATTTCCAAAATAAAATGTTTTTTTTATTTAATTAAATTAAATTTATAATAAAAATATTTTTTAATAGAAAACAAACAAAATCTGGTTTTTTGAATTTTTTAAGTTCATTAAACAAATCTCGTCCTACAAAATTCAACAAATGAAATTATTTTTATTAATTTCACCGTTTATTTTGGGATTGTTATTTTCTCCAGGCAAATGCTTAAATTAATTTTCTTTTGAATTTTTCTAAAAATTTTTCCTAGCTATCTTTAAATAATATTTTAAGAATTAACTGACAAAACTTTAAAAGACAAGGTGGAAATATTTGTAATATATTTTTAAATTTAAGGAATATTCGCTGGTTGTTCTCACAGCGAATTAAGTGAAGATGATCAGGAAGAATATGACACGGAATTAGGTTTCTAAATTTAAGTTTAGAAATTCTGAATTAAAATTCAGAATTTTTATTCCTAAGTAATTTTAAATTTGTAGCAACATTTCAATGGTAATTCCGTTATAATATTCAAATTACAGAGATATACAATAATACAATAGTCCACCCCTGAAGATCTACACCTCATAGATCTACGAGTCCCAGAAATTGGACTCTGAAAAACCGGGCTCCAAGATTTTTCGAAGAAATGGGCTTCAGCGAAATTTTAGGCTCTAAGTGATAAAAATGGAAAATTGGTTCTAAACTTCTAAACACGGAATATTGTGGGCGTCGGAGTAATTCTTGGATTTATCGAGGAGTGATTGACGCCTCCTTTCCAAACTACTTTGCTCAAATAAAAATATTTAAATATTAAACTTTAAAATAATCAGCAACAACATCTCATGGTGGTAATGACCGATGCAATTGCGGTCTATATGGGCTTGAGCAGTTAAACCAATACATAGAGATTGGATCAATTGGTTTGCATTTTAATATGGATGAAACAATTGGAGCTGGAACATTTGGAAATGTAAAAGAATTTAATTTAATTGAAATATATGTACATATTTAAAATTTACATTAATTAGTTTCCCCTGAGGAATGAATTCTTTTTGTAATGTTTAAGTTATTCTGTTAATTTCTCTCAGTTATTATCAGGAAGATTTTAAGAAATATAATTTGAGATAATTGAAGCTCTAGGCTTATTTGCTCCGCAAGATTAACCCTTCCCTATTACCATCTACATTTCTCTCCCTCCAGTTAATTACCCCTCGTTATTTCAAGGTTCATCATGCTTATTGGCAATCAACTGGTATATGTGTTGCTTTGAAGATTTCCGATCAAGACAAGCTGGTGAAAAACGAAATTGAGATGCTTCAGCATTTTGCTAATCATGGAAATGAATTTGTTGTTAATATGTATGGAAAGTATGTATATTTTTTATTCGTTCAAAATTTTTTACTTAAAGGCATACATAACAATATTTTTTATTATTACAACAGGATAAATTTTAGTTTAAAAAATATCTACCCATTTCACCAAAAATTTCGAATTTATTACATAGTCCAAAGTCTGAGCAGTTAAATGGAGGTAACTGATGTGCCCCCTCCCGACCCTGTAAAAACACCAATAAATATTTGAGATTTTTAAATTTAAGTCAAAAACATCGACGTAAAATGTACGCTGTATTGGAGCTTGGAGGGCCAAATTTGTATGCTTATTATGTTAATCAAGGAATATATGCTAGTGAAAATAAATATGAGATTGTTGAAAATATTGCAAGAGCTGCAGCTAGAGCACTAAATGAATTACATGAAAGTAAAGATATACATATACCTAGTTACCTAGTTATAATATGTTATAATATGAAAGGACTTTAAAATTTAAATAAATATTTTTACAAAAATTTAAGGAGCTGTTATTCATTTGGATATTAAAGCTGAAAATTTTGTCATTGCTCTCCAAGGGGATCAGAGGAATTTAAAAGACGATCCTTTTTCTTTTAAATTAATTGATTTTAATACTTCTGTTCGTGGAACTGATCATGTTAAAGCACATACCGCCTCCATAACAAAAGTTATTAAAGCACCAGAAATTCGAAAAGATAAAAGAAATGTAATTTTTATTTTAAATCTTTTTTGTTGAAAGGAAAAAGTTTTAGGTAAATCAAAAGGTAGATGTTTGGGCATTTGGTATAATGATATATGGACTTCTTTACAACAGATTCGATGATTTTAATGTATTAAATAATGTCAACGCTATAAATGATAAAAATCGTTATAGTCGTTTAGATTCTGAATTAAATTATTACCGTTCAAATGCTACAAACACTCGCTTGGATTTTATCATTAAAGTAAAATATTTAAAATAAAAAAAATTTATTTAAATTATAACGCCGTTCGCCATTAATCGAGCTTCTAAAAATTCATTTTTTTCATCTAAATTACCGAAATTTTCTAAATATACTGAATATGAAATTCTCAATTTATTTTTACATATTTTTTTATACTTATAAAATATTTTCTTTACCAAAAGCTCGTGCAAAAACATTAAACTTACAATTTGAAAAAAATAAAATTTTAATTTTAGTGGTGCATTCAAGAAGATCCAGATGAACGTCCACATATGTCTGATATTCTCTATCATCTTAATTGAGAGGAATGATTTTTGTTTCTGAAAAACGAAAACAAAACGAAAACAAATTTTGCTGTGCAAAATATTTTTTTAAACTTTATTTAATTATTTTATATATTTTTTAAATTTTGTTTTTTGGGAAGTAAAGATTTTTTCGGGTAAATTTTCAAAAATTCCTGTTACAGTCTTTGAATTGAGCTGTACAGGAAAGATAGTTTGTTATGATATAAAGTAATTAGATTATAGAAATTAATTGAGATTTGACTATAATTAACAAGCAAATAAATGCTTGGTATACTCAAAATTTCATTTAAGATTAGTTAAATTATTTGTTTTGATTCAACATCTAATAAATACAATACAAATTCTACCTAATTTTATTCAAATATTTTTTACAACAAATTTAAAAATCCAATTAAACAATTTTTCATTAATAAAATACATTCAACGACCCATAAATAAATAAAAAAAATTTATTTTCATTATTTAAAAAAATTGTTCAGCTACAAGATATTTTTACCAAAAAATATTTTAATCCAAGATAATCCTCTCCCTTCTATTTTTTAATAATTTTTTATTTCCAGCTCTGTCCTTATTTTTTTCAATTTCTATTGTGTATTCCTTTTTTAAACTTGAAATTCACACCGCTAAAGTCAATTTATTTAAACACATAAGCAAATTTTTAAATCTCCGAATGGCACGGTTTTTTGGTCATTTTTTTCTTTTCTTCTCATTCAATCATTTTTCGAATTTAAAATATATTTAATATTTTCAGAAAAAGTTTATGTTTGAACGTAAATAAATTTATTTTTTAATTTAATTAAATAACTAAATGTTATTAAAAAATTTGAGAAAAAAAAATCAGAATTATTTAAAAAATAAAAAATAAAAGATCTCAAATATATTTTTAGTCAAAAATTTTCCTCAAACTTTTCGAAAATTTTTAAAAATCTTTTTATAAAATTAATTATTATTTTTATTTAAAATTATCAGAATACTTTCCTATTTAATTCAAATGTCCAAAATAATTCTTATAAAATTTATTTTTATTTTCATTCTTCTGGTAATATTTAAATTTTTTCAAATAAAATTCTTTAAATAAGAATATTTTTTAAAAGATTTTATTTGCTGATAGTGTTACTTTAGACGAACTTTTACCTAAATTGGGTCCCCAATACGATTATTTTGGAGATGGACAACAACCAATATATCGGCAACAAGCTGGGGTTATTTTTGAAAAATTTTATAAAAATTAAATTGGATGGGAAAAAATAAATATATTTTTTAGAATTTTGGAAATTCTTTTGGAGGAGGAAACAACTTTCTCAATAACGGAGATAATAGTTAATTTATTAAAAAATTTTTAAATAAAATTTTTAAACCTCGTAGCTGTCAATTTCGATTTTTTATGCAAATGCCAAGCTAAATCTTTAAAAACAACTTCTAGTACACCTAGCGGGGATACATCTACACAACAACAAGTTCAACAGGTTAGGGGAAAATTTAAATTAAATTATTATTTTTATGTCTATCAAACTATAATGTAAATGAAGTCTGATATTTATATTTTTATACCTTAATATATACATAAGTTTATTGGTTGAATTTTTCGATAAAAAATCGGAATAAACAATTTCTTATTCTTGTAGAAAATTTAAAATATAAATGTTTTAATAATAATTTTTCTTTTAAGCTTCAAGAACAGGTAAAGAAACTACAAGAGCAAATAAATAAATCCCAACAGGGAAAGTCTTCATTTGAACAATTTGGTAATTTTTTTTGTTAAATTTTATCAAAAATTATTTTTAATGATTCTTTATTTATTTCCATTAATTACCCTTTAGCACAAATGCTTTCTTTAGCCGACGGTTTGGATTGTAATTGTTCAGGTCATTCAACACCTTGGTACTTTAAAGAATTACATTCTACTTAAAAATAATTTTTAGGACAGGATGGCCAAGTAGTTCTTTAATTAATGGAGGAAATAATGTTGAAATGCCTAATATCAATCCCTATAATATTCCTCATCAAATTATTCCTCCAACAAATAATCGAGTGATTAATCCTTTAAGTATTGCGGGGAATGGACAATTTATTCCAATGGGAGGCTTTCGGTAATTTAATTTATAAAAAGAATAATTTAAACTTCGTAGATAAACATAAAAAATAAAAATATTTTTAGAATAATTGGACATTTAAAAGAAAATTTCGGACATTTTTATCTTTGAAATCTCCCAATTGTACATACATATTTAATAATTATGTTTTCCAGGCCTTCAATGGGTGGCTGGAATGGTGGAGTACAACAACCACACCAACAACAATTTATTAGCTCCAATCAACTTTTTCCTTATCCACAAACATTTAATATGCCAGAAACTTTAAAGAAAAGAGCTGTTTAATTTAATTATTTTACTTTGATTTTTTAAATTATATAAAAGTTTCAGCCTATTTCTTATAATTAAAGTCACTGGATTTAAGTAATTAATATTTAAAGATGATTTAAAAAATATTTTTATTTTTTCGTTTAATTTTCAAAGCGAAACAAAATTGCCTTAAGATCAGAAAAAAATAACAGAAAAATCTCGATTTATTCCAAAACCAATTTATTTAAAACAACAAGTTTAAACGACCAAAACAGAAAATCTCAATTTTTGGGTAGGGGACTTCAGTATCGCCGATTCAGTATCGCCAATTCAGTATTGGCCGATTCAGTATTTGGCTTTTTTGGCCATAACTTTTTGCTCGATCAATATTGTGGGAATCATTATATATGATTTGATAGGCCTCGGGGTGCTGCATCTTTTTCATAATTGGACTGACCTAATCTTATCACTCTACAAAAAGTTATCACTGATAAACGACGTCACAGGCATAAAGAATCGGTTTTCACGCTGTAACTTTTTTTGAGATCATCAGATCTGATCGGGCCAATTATTAAAAAGATGTCGAATCTCGAGACCTTTCGAATGATATGAGAATTATTCAAATCGGTCGAATATCAGGAAAGTTATGGCCATATACTGAATCGGCGGATACTGAATCGGCTATACTGAATCGGCGATACTGAATCGTCCTTAGCCGTCAATTTTTATTTTCAATACTCAATTGTCAAAGCTGTCAAAATCAGTCCATTCGTCATATCCAAACATATCATCTCCATGTAAAATGTGATTGTTGGCATTGTAACGAAAATCGTCTTGCCCAAAATTCGTTGTAACCGAACAACGCTCCAATCGTATCATAGGAATCATATTCTTAGTATAATAATCCAAACCGATTGCCTTGCCTAAAAGAAAGATTTTGGATATTACAGCAGTTTTGCGAATTAATTTGAAATTAGTAGAACTAATTAAACTATTAGAATTGAATAGTCGAATTATCAAAAATCGGTAGTCCTTCGGTTTTGTAGAACAAATTTTTGTTCTCATAAATCTACAATTTCAAACTCCGAACTTTGCTTTTTGCAAATTGTTGTAAAAATAACAACTTAAATTTACAGCTTAATGCTATATCAACTTAATCAATTTTTAAAAAAATTATTCACCAATCTTTGAACCATTTATGGTAAAGAAAACATGAGGCACTCCGAGTTTCTTGTATGGTGGAGGATAAACAATTCCGCACCCGATCACGTCACCGATACTCCAATTTTGCTCAAATGGGATACGCCCAACATTTTTACGCGTAAAACTGTTTTCATTACTCATAAGATAAACATCCAAATTATCTTCTCCTAAACCAATCAAGAAAGAATCTCTAAATATTCAATAATTAGACTTTTTTTTAAAAAAATTTCCAACTCTTCCAAATTATCCATTTCCGTCAACGTCACTTCATAATAAAAAAGTGAATAACCAACACTCAAAGCAGCTTCTCTACTAAATCCAGTTTCGGCATAAACAATAATAGCAGCATCACGCGCTTAATTTTAATTTTCTATATTTTTATTTAAATGTCAGACATACAATGATCCCCTGTAGAAAAATACCTAACAGAAAAATCATTCTCCACTCTAACAAAACCATTTGTTAAACATATACCATTAACTATATTTGAGTTAATGCATTTGAGATTACAGCAGGTATAAGCCTCGTCGATTTGAATCCATCTATTCGAAAGATGAATTAAATGCTAAAAAATAATATTTTTTAAATTGGATTTTTAAAAGAAATTTTATATTTAAAAAATTTTGTTGTTTATATCCTTAAATTTTCTGAATAAAAAATCTCCAAGCAATACTTAACGATCGTTTAAATTTTTTAGTTTTAGCCCGTCCATAAAATTTTGGAAAATTAAATTCAGAGAATTAAAAAATAAACGCACATTCCCATTAATTAGCTCGTTCTCTTCTGCACTCATTATTTTCTTTTTAAATAGGGCCTTAATAAGATTTACTATAAAAATTAATTTAAAAAATAATTAACAAAATATTTTATGGAATTTTATTTCTAATTTATTCTTATAAAAGAATAAAAAAATATTTTTAAATTAATAAAAAATATGTAAATAAATAAAAATAAAAAAGGAAAATGTTAAAGAAAAAATCTGTGGCACTAGTTAACCTTTGTGAGGTTAACAAATTAACTTTTCTTTGCAAAATTATTTTATTCAAATAAATATTATTGTACTATGTACTTCATAAAAGGAAAAAAGTGAGGTTATAGGTAAAGAAGTACTTATATAAATTCAATTTTGTTTAAAATTTGAAAATTAATTTAAAAATTTTTTTAATTTAAAAATTATAAAAAAATTTTAACTGTTAATGGGTTATTTTACAAATTTTGGGTTATCAAATCACGGAACGGCCAAAAATTAAATGAATTTTTGAGCTTTTTGATTGAAACTAAATTAAATTTAAAAAAATTAAATTAAAATATTTAAATAAATTAAATATTAATTTAAATTAATTAATTTTATAATTAATTCATAAATTATTTAATTAAAAATTGATTTAATTAATTTAAATAAATTGATCTAAATTAAACAAAACTCAATTAACTCAAACTCAAAAATCAAAATCCAAAGAAAAATTTAATTCTGATTCTAAAATTTTTGATTTTTTGAAATCAGAATTTTTTAAAAATCAAATCGTTCCGTGTTTTGGTATTAATAATTTAATTACTTGCCTTTATTTCCTTCAAGTTTTGGAAATAAATATAAGCAATACTTGAAGACTTGAGACAATTTATAGCGTACGCACACCAAGTTTCATATATTTGTTTTGTTGTTTTGGTGATACCTTTTATTTCGTTCATAGCTGTTTGACTTAAAATAATTAGCCATAAAATTATTAAATACTCTTGCTTGAGTACTTGTCTTAACTCTTAATCGAAATATCAAAAACATTATACTTATAAATTTTATTGGAAGGGATATATCTAGCCTCATAAAAATCAGAAACTTCCTAGGCTAAATTATAACAATTTAAAAAAATTCGGGAAAACGAATTTATATTTCAATGATTCTTGTTAATTATTACATTAAAAATAAATTTACGTATAATCCCATTTCCGATTTAGATAATATATGTACATTTATCAGCGAGAATCTATGGGTAACTAGACTGACATAAGTAAAATTTTTGTCATTAGACATTTAATAACAATATAGGTAGATCGAAAAAGGGTGCATTATGTAATCTTATGTAATCTATAATTTTTAAAATTTATAAAAAAATTTTGAAATTACTCAAAATTAAATAATTTAATAAGTTTTAAAAATACAGTCATAGACAAAAATATACGGATAAAATATGTAAATGAAATGAAAATTACCTTGCTTCTCAGCTAAAAACTTTTTCTAGGAAAACTTTTTGTTTAATTAAATACTCCTTTTAATTTTCTATTTAACGAGTATAAATTCCTAAATTTATAAATTTTTAGGCAGAATTTTACTTTTCAATTTTGTCTTCCAGTCGTTTTATTTTAGTTGTATTAGTGCTATTTGTTGCTTTAAATATATCAACAATTAATTCATTAGGAATATATTTTTTATTTTGATTTATTTGTATCATTAGTTTGAGATTCTCTTAAAATAATTTTAAGTAAGAGAGTCCATACAAGAGTAGGTTATTAAATTAGAGGATTTATGTATGATAGATTGTTAGATTACCCTGCTCCCAAATTAATTAAATTTTTAAATAGAATTTTAATTAAAATTATAAATATTAAAAATTATTATATGTACTTAAGTAAATTATATTTATGACCTTCTCCCACTCTACTAGACAAAATGCATTTTTAAAACTAAATTCCATCAATACTCCTTACATTATTAGAATACCTCCTAGGAGATTGCATCATTTTTTATTAATAATGTTTCTACTCCGTTAATTAAGAAAAAATTGTTACACAATAGATACAGTCATATGTAGATACAGTTCCAAATTTAAAAAATTCTTTTAAAATAAAAAAGAAAATTACTTATTTCTCAGTTGAACTAAATTTTCAACTAAAAATCTCACAAAATTAATTTAGTCATTTTTAAATTTTAATTAATTCAAAAACCACATAAAGTTCATCAGAAATTTCATTAAAATTCCTTAAAAATTAAATGGTTTTAAATTTTATAATTAAAATGTTTGGTCTCAAAATCATTTCCGAATTTTTTTACAAAACATCGTAGTATTTCTACAAGAATTATAATTCTTAAAAATATACCTTTACCTTTAAAATATTTTTGTTAAATATCTACTACATTTTATATAAAAAATTTATTATTTATAATAGTTGAAGGATAAACTGATCAGCCCCCAAAAATATTAATATTTCAAGAACATGTTTAAAGAATGAGTGTTTCATCTTTTGCTTTTAATTTTATTTACTATGAATTAAATTACGTTGGAAGTTTAATCGTCGATATCAAATAATTAATTTAAATAAAAATATTTTCAAAAATGTGTCAGAGAATATCATATTTAGAATTAAGCAAAAAATAAATTTATAAAGCACAATCAGAAAATTAAATTCCCATCATTTTTACTTTTTTATTAGATTTGGTTATAATTTTAGTTGCAAGAGTATTCAGTTGCTTTAATAAAAAATTTTACTGATAAAAAATAACCAAACATTTATTGAATACATAATTATTAAATGATTGAAGACTTTATTTGTTTTAATTATTTTACAAAAATCAATCTACAATTTTTATACAATTATTTATTTAGTTGCTGATTCTTATAAATCCCAAAAATTATTTTAACTTTGTAAATTACGGTTAAAGTGTTGGATATATTTGGTCATTTTTTATAAAATCATTTGATTTGATACATATCACAAAACAAAATTATTTCCGAACTTTATTTTTCGTATTTATTTCTTAAACATAAAGTACTTATAAATAATTTTTTAATTTTTCTTGATCTGGCAATCCTGGTTGTACTACAAAGTACGTTAAATATATAATGGCACATCTGTCATAAAACACTTTCAATAGAACTGTACTTTAACAGTTTTTATTTACTTTTATTTTTAATGTTTTCTTTTTTTATCCAGTAAATTTTATATAAACTTTGAATTCTAATATTTAATCATTTTTTAAATTGTTATTCATTTAATTTTATTTTAAATATTTATAAAATATATACTTTAAATTATTATTTAAAAAATGTCTACATTATCTATTAAAAATTTAAATAATTGTCATAATATTGAAAATAATAAATCCACTAAAATATTACCTTTTAATGACATCATACAACACAAAACATTTAAATCCTCTCCATTCTCTTTTATAAGAAAAAAATGTTTCCGAAAGAAAATTAAGTAATATTAAAATTTTAAAATTTAAAAATCATAATTGTTTTTTTCTAAAAAAAGTCCAAACAATTACAACGACCTCCTTTGGTTAAGTAAACGAATTATTTCAATTGCTGGCATTAAAAATGATTTTCCTCAAATTGGAATTATTTGTGGGTCTGGTTTAAATAATTTGGCTGACAGAATGGAAAAACCAATTATTATACCTTTTGATAAAGTGCCTGGATTTCCTTTACCTAGCGGTTAGAAAAATTTTCAAGAAATTTTTAAAAATATTTTTTAGTTATTGGACATAAAGGAAATGTTATTTTTGGGTGGTTAGGAGGAAAATATTGTATTTGTTTACAGGGAAGATTTCACCCATATGAACATAATATGGATATGGCTTTAGTTTGTTTTTTAAAATTATTGGGGATATGTGGATGTTAAAAATTAAAATCAGAGGTTGAACTGAAACGAGACCTCGTTCAAAAATTTCGATTACCGAGAGTTTTCCTCAAGTCTCTACTGAAGGGGTGATTCTGATTTAATTATAAGTATTTTTAAGTGTACAATGCCTGTTAGATTAATGGCAATGATGGGTGTTAAAACATTAATAGCTTCAAATGCTGCTGGAGGTGTCAATTCAGATTTAAATATTGGGGATTTAATGATACTTAAAGATCATATTTTTATGCCTGGTCTAATTGGGTAATTAAAAAGAAAATATTTATTTTAATATATTTTTTATAGATTTTCTCCTCTTGTTGGGCTTAATGATCCTCGATTTGGCAATCGTTTTGTGTCAATGCAAAATGCTTATGACCAGAAATTGAGGTCTTGGATTAATTTAAAATTCCTTTTCCGCAAGTTTCAAAATATTTAGCTGTAAAAAATCCAGAATTCTTATTCACTATTTATTTAAATTAAATTTTTAAAAATTTCTTTCAGACAAAAAGCTTTCGTGCTAGCTAAAAATTTTGGAATATCCATTAAAGAAGGAGTTTATTTAATGAATGCCGGTCCTCATTATGAAACAACGGCTGAAGTTTCTTTAGCTGCAAAACTCGGTGCAGATGCTGTTGGTATACTTAAATAAATTACAAATAAAATCTCTATTTTTCTTTTCAAAAAAATTTAAAGGAATGTCCACTTGCCACGAAGTAATGGTTGCTAGACAATTGGGATTGCGTTGTTTTGCTTTTTCTTTAATTACAAATTGTAGTAGTTTGGATTTGGATAATCCATTGGATATTAGTCATTCTGATGTTTTAGAAATTGGAAGAAAAATAAGTGAAAAAGCTTCGGAATGGATAGCACAATTAATTGATAATTTGGATAATGATTTATAATAAATTGAAAGAGAGATTAATTTGATTACAAAAAATATATAAATTAAATATTATATATTTTTATTTTTTTTAATTAAAAGTTTAATATATAATATTTTGATATTTTTATAACATAATTTGGATATAAAGTGAGTTAACAATAATGAGTATTCCATAATTGGAATAATTCTGAGGATAAAATTTAAAAAATACTAGAGTAACAGAAAACCGTTAATCCATAAAATAAAACACAAAAAATACTTTTTAAATATATCAAAGCCAAGTGTCGCCCAATTTTTTCTTCTTTTCTTTTAATTCCTCCAAAATCTTGCAATAAATATGTGGCCTAACTATTGAGTTTGTTAGCAGTAGCTGTCTTCTTTTTTTAGTATTTTTCATTTTTTTACACTTTTTCTTTTCGGTGGTCGATTTTAGTTAAAAATATAATTCTTCAAAATTTGTAAATTTAAAAAAATAATTTAATTTAAAATTATTTTTACTCATTACATATCTTTTAAATTAAAACAGAGCTAACTATTATATAAAACTTTAAAATTATCAATATTCTTAACAATCCATGTTTTAAATAAAATTTTATTATCAGCTAAATTAAAAGGGATTTTATATTAAAAATAAAAAAATATTTTCTCCATTTATTTAAAAATTTAAAAAAAAATTTTATTCATAGAAATTTTAGCATATAGTACATATTTAATGTTAATAATATCCAAAACTAGAACCTCTTTATTTTTATTTATTCAAAATAATATATTAATTAATTTATTTAATTTATTTATTTTATTAATATTTATTTGTTATGGAAATACAAATATTCCACAAACTGTTTTGGCTAATGAAAATGCTAAAAGACTTTTTGATGATTTAATGGTATTTTAAAAAAGAAATTTAAATTTAAAATTAAAATTTAAATAGATGTCATATAATAGACATAGAAGGCCAGCAATTTATCCAAATGAAGCAATTAATGTTTATTTAAGGCTTAGACTTTCACAAATTATTGATGTGGTAATTATTTTAAAAAATTATTATTAAGAATTATAATTAAAAAAATATTTTGGCTATAAATATTTAAATGAAAGTTAAAAAAACGAGTTCTTCTGATTTTAAGGAATTGGACAGTTCCTGTTTCTGAGTGATTCCCCAATTCCTCAACTAGTGTTTTCTCTCCTTAAGATTATTTTTCTTATAAACAACCCAAGAATTATTCAAAGGTATTAAAATGATAAATAAAAATTTTCGGTTAATCTCTGCTAGTAATTAAGTTTGGGAATAGTTAGCAGCATTTCTAACAGGAAAATTATTTATACATACACTCTGTTTCAAAATTATAGAGCCACTAATTTTTTTGTAATAACTCGATGAAAATCGATTGAATTTTTTTGAAATTTAGCCATAATGTTTAAATAAACAATAATTATCTATCTGCAAAAAATTAATCAAATCCATCGTCTACAAAAAATTTTATTCCAAAAAATTCAATTTATATGTGTTTCATAATTATAGAGCCACTTTGAAATTTCGAGTTTCTAACATTAGGAAAAATCTATAAAAATTTGAGCTAACATTTTTATCGATTCTTAGAAGAAATAAAAAAGAATTAGACCCATATCTCACTTCAGTGTCGAGATCCAGATACCTCGAAAATCAACGTAAATCGGGGGTAAGGCTATTTAAAAAATATTTTCGACCCCTTATGATTTGTTTCAAATTTTTATTTTGGGCTCATTCGACGATGGATTTGATTTATTTTTTGCAGATCATTATGTATTGCTTAATTAAATATTAAGACAAAATCTCAAAAAAATCCAATCGATTGTCACCGAGTTATTACAAAAAACTTAGTGGCTCTAAAATTTTGAAACAGAGTGTATGTAGTAAATTATTATTTTAATTTTAAAGCATGAACTTGATCAGATTATGACTATTTCTGGTAATATCTAAAAAAATACTAATTATTAAATAAAAATTAAATACAAAGTTTGGCTAAAACAAGAATGGTTTGACCGAAAATTAAGTTGGAAACCGTCTGAATATGGTGGAGTTTCAGTACTTTATGTTCCTTATGAAATGATTTGGGTATTTTTACAAAAAATTTTATAAAAACAAATTTTTAAAATACTTTTAAGGTACCTGATATTGTTCTTATTAATGTAAGTAAATGCCTTTTAGTGTATTTCTTAAAATTAAGCATTTGTTTATTGGGTACAATCTACTAATAAGATAAATCAGGGCTCGGAAGGAAGAAATTAGGCTTAAGGATCTTCCAAAATTCTCAAAATTTTCGCCTTTTTGGTGTTGAAGGCGCCAAAAAAGTTTTTGCGGATTTTTGAGTAAAATTCGGATTTTTTGCTCAAAATTGCGGATTTTTAAAAATTTGAGATCCGAATCCTGAGATAAATAATATTCTAATAAATACATAATACGAAAAAGACTTTAATAAGAATAGAAGGTGAAGTTAGAGAGCACCGATTAAGTTACGTTACTCTCGTCAATACATATGATTTTTAGATATATGTCAGTTAGGTCTATTTGTGTCTTGAAATCTAAATCTAAGGAGGATCTTTGAGAATCATTTCTTTTTTGAGACACCCTATATCTTGCAAAATCCTCATTTTTAGCAAGTTTAAGCTTTATATGAATATTTATACTAGGCTTATCTTTTCTAATTATTTTTAAAAGAATGCAGAAGGTTTCTATAATATCACAATAAATACAAAAGCAACACTTCATTCGGATGGGAGAGTTGTTTGGGAACCTCCAGCTATTTTTAAATCTCTCTGTCAAGTAAATTAAAATAAATGAAAAAATTAAAATTAATAATTTTTTAGATTGATATTCAATGGTTTATTTTATTTAAATTTTTTGTTAGTTTTTTACTTTAAATAAAGGTTTCCATTTGATGAACAAAATTGTCATCTTAAGGTAAAATTTTTTTGAAATCTTACTGCTGTAGTTTCTCATAGAAAGTAGAGGGAAATAAATTCTAATAAAGGTACCAAATGTCCCTTCTATGAGAGTAACTACGGTAGTCTTGAAATTAAATCTCTTTTAATTTCAAAGTTTGCCTCGTGGTCTTTCCCAACAAATCTTTTACATTTAACTTTGGTAAACGAAAGCAGCACAGATGTTAAAGTTATTGGTAATTATGGACAGGAGGAAGTTGAAACGATTGTGGAGGATGGAATAGATCTTAGTGATTATTATCCTTCTGTGGAATGGGATATTATGGGAACTCAAGTTATTAAAATCTTTAAAAATATTAATGGACATTAAAAAATAAAGTCTGTCAAAAAGGGAATACGGAGAAAAATTAATGACTAGAAAATCTAAAATTTAAAGAATCTCGGCGCCTATGAATATGGACTTTATTGATATTTAAATTTTAAATCCAAAAAATTTTTTTGGGTGGACCCAGAAGAAAAAATAAAAGAAAAATAAGTCATTAATTAGGTTATTTCCTCCTTTTCAGGCAAAAAGACGCCTTAAACGATTTATGGGTTCCAAAAATGGTGATTATGAAGAAATTGATGTAAAATTTTGAATTTTAATATAAAAAAATTATATATTTAGTTTAATCTTGCATTACGTCGAAAACCTCTTTTTTACACTGTTAACTTAGTCTTCCCTTGTGTAGGCATTTCTTTTCTCACAGCACTTGTTTTTTACCTTCCATCAGAATCTGGCGAAAAAATTTCTCTTTCAATTAATATACTTGTTGCTTTAACTATGTTCTTCCTTTTACTTGTAAATTGAATTTAAAAAATTTCTTTTAATTATTTAATTTTATATTGAAATAATCCCTGCAAACAGCACTACTTTACCCTTTGTTGGAAAATATTTATTATTTACAATGATATTAGTTACACTTTCTGTTTTGATTACTGTTGTTTGTGAGTTTTTAAAGAATTAAAAATATTTTTAAAAAATTAGGACTAATAAGAATAATTTAATGGAAAGAAGGGAGAGGGGATAGGAGAGGAGGACCTTATCAAAAATTAAGAATAATTCCAACAAATCAAATCCCCTTAAAAAAGCTAAAGTAAAGCAGCTGGGCTATAGCTATTTCACTCCTTTAGCTAGTGCAAAGGTTATTCGGCGGCTGGGAGCCAGCATCTTCAGTAGACCGGACTGATGTGTTGTCGACCACGCCGCATACTGCATAGCCTTAGGAATTAACTAGCTACCACTAATAAATTACAAATTCTTTAAAGCCCTACAATTTCATTTTCGCAAACCAACAACTCACCAAATGAGCAGCACTGTCCGAAGTGTTTTTCTTAATTTACTTCCACGCCTTTTAATGATGAGACGGCCAGTGTTTATGAGACGATTTCCACAAGGAAATCGTAAAAAATTTTTCTCAAATAAATTATAATTACTTCATTTAGGTTATAGTTCCGCCTCTTCTTCCCAGTTATTTGCAAATTTTGAACGTGATTTCCCCCAAATCGGTCAACGTGGTATTCCCCTTTTAAGAAGTACTGGACAGTTAGGAAATACAAATAAATCGCCTTTAGCGACCAAATTAGCAAAAATTTATAATTCACCAAAAGCTTTACAATCTTTTGAGAATTTGTGTTTTATAGCTGAATTATTGAAGAAAAAAGATCGAGATACAAAAGTAAATTTTGAATAAAAATTACTGATATTTTTTGCTATTTTTTATAATACAGGCCGATATGGAATGGAAATTTGTCGCTATGGTAATTTTAAAAAATTGACAAATTTTTTGGGTCCAAACAAAATATGTTTAAAAATTTTCCCTAAATAGGTTTTTGACCGCCTATTTCTTATCATTTTTTCAATTGCTTGTGTATTTGGCACTTGTTGGATTTTACTTCAAGCACCAACATTTTATGATAAAAGACAACCTAAACAACCAATGATGAGTTTATAAATAAATCAAAAATGTTTTTGTATATATTTGAGTATTTTTAAGGTTTTAAAACAATAAAAAGCTAGAGCAATAAAACAAATAAAAATAAATATTTAAAAGTAATCCCTTTATATAGTAGGGTAATATCAAATTTCGTTCAAAATAGAGGTCGATCGGAATTCCTATTTCCGACGTTTTTTCCTTCCGACTTCCGAAAAAGGCTGATTTCCGATTTCCGGCACTTTCGTCATTTCCGATCGACCTTTGGTTCAAAAAACGTTTTAAATAATCCAAAAAGAGGTCGAAAATATCCATTATTTTTTTATTGTGTACATCCAAAAAACAATTTCACAACCCGATTATTTATAAATTAATCTGTATTAGTAGAAGCACTATTATCACCTCCACTGCTGAATATACTGTTCCAAAGCTTTCCAATAAATGAGTCTTCCTTTCCCTTCACAAGGCTTGAATCAGCCTGAAATTTAAAAAAAATAAATATACGAAAACAATAGCAATAAGAAATGACTTTTAGACTATACACAAAAATTGGGTGTGCGGACATATCGGGACAGACAGGCATATCTGGATTTGTGTGCAAAAACTATTTTTTCAATAGGAAAATATAGTTACCAAGACCCATCGGATACTGAAATATTCCGAAACGTCGGCTTGCCCAAAAAGATTGGAGTCTTATATTAAAATTAGAAAAACTAACACTGCCATTCATAGAAACAAGACTTGAGTTAAGTGGACGCATTCCAGATCGTGTTGAGAAGGAAAGACGTGCACGACTAAAGAAATAAAATAAATATATGTATAATGATCCACAAAACAAAACCTTGGAACTGAGATGTCTTCTTTGCAGAAAGAAGTAGACGGAACAAGTCTTGTCGGAGTATCACCACCATTAAAGTGAAGTAACGAAGACATATCATTTTCCAAAAATGAGCAGGAACCGTTAGAACTGTTTCGAGATTTTGGTGGAACTGTTGTTTCTTGAACAGTCAAAGCATCACGCTCCCTACACGGCACAACACCTATCATTTGTCCATGAAAAAGTGTCGCATTTTTGGCGAGAGCCTGTCGAGCATGAACAGGTGACGAATAACGAATATGTACCCAATTTCCATCCTTCGTTGCCTTACAACACAAAAAATAAATTTAAAAGTAAAATTTAAAAAAAATACCCGTTGTGCCATGATATCCCCATGTCGAGAAAATAATTCCAAAACGACGTCCCGATAATCAGGTGAAAAGCCAAAGACAGTGACCCAATGAAATTCTCCATCGCTGCCATTGCAAGTCTCCTCGGAATCGATTTCACACATTTCTTCAACTTGTTCACCACCATTGCTTTGAAAGCTAAATTGCTCTGAATGCGACGGCTCCATTCTCGAAAGTTTTGAAGGTGGTCCAACAATTTCCTCGTTTAATGAGCGAAGAGGAGGTCCTTTAACATAAAAAATAATCTTAGGACGCTTAAACAGATCAATAAACAAGTGCAAAAATATTTCCTAGCGAAACAAAAGTATTCGTAAATATTAATAACTGAGTCGACTCAAATTTACAATAATTCACTAGCTCAGATTAATACCTTTAAATTATCTAATATAAAAGAAACCATTCCAAAGAGAAGTAGAAGCCGATTTTCCGCTGCTTAAACGTTGCAACTTCCTAGCGTCAGGTGATTTTGAACGTGAACGCACAAGAACGGGAGACCAATGAACATTCTTGCCCGTACCACTTGAAAGTTCCCGTTTTCTTAATATTCCTGGCGAACCATATTCTAAAATAACCGAGCATTGTCAGTCTGTTAAACAAAATTAAACCTCCGTTTTTAGCTGTAAAACTGCGCCTAACAGGCTGTTGACCGCCAAACAAAAAACTTGGAGCAAATTGTTGAGCATCATTTGAAGAGTTGATATTCGTTTTTTCTGTCATTTTGAGGTCCGAAAAATCGCGAAATTGATTCATAATTAAGATCTAGAATGTCAAGAAAACTATAAAAGTATATGAAATGCAAAATTTGATTAGTGATATGAAATAGAAAAACAAGTCAAAATACCAAATGCTTCAATAAAAACATTAAATCACAAAAAATATTTTTCAAATATTTATATCTCTCAATACAAAACAAAATACAAAATCGAATTTAAGGTTTCACTATTGCCCCTCTCCCAATCATTTCCGGAATTTCAACAGCCATCCAAGGTCCCAATCCAAGTGAAAGAGCATGTGCTATTCCAAATTTTGGAGCATTTCTAAACTATATTTTTACAAAAATAATAATTTAAAAATTAACCTAGACCAGAGTGGTTTAAAATGATCGCCTAAAATATAAATTATTGAAATTTTTCAAGTAATACGACTCACTCAAACAAATCTTTCCACCTCTGTACATTTTTGCAGTTTTTCCATCCAATTCGGGTAATGCTATAAAAATATTAAAATAACTTGTTAAAACATGTGAACCGATTTCTGGTGCAGTTTTTGGGTATGTGACAGGAAGGTCAAATTCAATATCGAATTCATATTTAATTTTATCATGATATGTCCAACATTTGCCAAACCTGAATATTTTAAGATATTTATTTAAAAAAATATTAACTAACCATCTTGTCCCATCTGAATTAGATTCTAATCTAAACCAATCTGAATCATTTGCTTTGTTATTGTTTATAAAAGTAATTAGACAATTGTATTCCTCTTTTAAACGCTCAAGCCATAAAGGTCCATCCCTAGTTAAAAATTATTAAAAATCCAAATTTATAACAACCTTGGACCCGCATTTGTTTTCAGCAAGGGAATCTGTTTCAAACTCTTTTTTGTTGACTCGTCAAGTGCCATTTGCAAAATTACTGAAGTAAGGCAAGGAAATGGGGGAAAAAGACTCTAGAAAGAAAGACTCTAAAAAAGACTCAGACCTCTAGACTCAAATGAAATCTCGAGAAGCGGACGTTTCAGAATAAACGATTATCGCTGTTTCAAAATTGGCTGTTTGTCTATGGCCATGGTGGCACGCACAGGAAAAAGGTGATACCGGAAGAGCCGAAGTTTTCTTCGCCCCATGTCAGAATATTTGTGTCATAATTAAGGAGCCAGATTTCTTCCTTTTCATGCGCCGTAGGCTTAAATTTTGAAAGGTCAAGGAGATAGATTTCTTCAATTTTTTTGCTCAGATTAGTTGTATTTTTGCGTTAATTTCGCAAAAAATAACGCAATATGCAACCAAAATTTAACGCAATGCGCTCACCCCTGATCAGTTCTGTTATAAAGTATACAATGCTTTTTTATATACCTATGTGCATTTCAAAATTAATTTAGAAATATTTTTAAGTTCAATATAAACAAAAAAATGCCAAAAAATTTTGTTCAAAATTTGGTTCAATATTTCAAAGAGGTCAAAAAATCTATTAATTTGTTTATTGTGTACATCCCAAAAACAAATTCTCAACCCGATTGATAGATTAATCTGTATTAGTAGAAGCACTATTTTCACCTCCATTGCTGAATATACTATTGCAAAGCTTTCCAATAAATGAGTCTTCCTTTCCCTTCACAAGGCTTGAATCAGCCTGAAGTTATTAAAAATATATTGAAAGATAAGTATGAGTTCTCCCCATTAATATATTTAAATAAAAATAACTAACACTGCCATTCATGGAAACAGGACATGAATTGAGTGGACGTATTCCAGCCCGTGTTGAGAAGGAAATTCGTGCACGACTAAAGAAATTAACTACGTTATAATGCTCGGAAAAAATAAAACTTGGAAACTGAGGCGTCTTCTTTGTAGAAAGAAGTAGACGGCACAAGTCTTGTCAGTGGTTCAACGCCAGACATATCATTTTCCAAAAATGAGGAGGAACCATTGGAACTATTTCCAGAAGTTTTTGGTGGAACTGTTGTTTTTTCCCTACACGGCACAACACCAATCATTTGTCCACGGAAATGTATTACATTTTTGGAGAGAGCCTGACGAGCATGAATAGGTGACGAATAGCGAATATGTATCCAATTTCCATCCTTTGTTGCCTTACACCACAAAAAAATAAATTTAATGATATATTAAAAAGTACCCGATGCGCCATGATATCCCCATGTCTAGAAAATAATTCCAAAACGCCGTCACGATAATCAGGCGTAAAGCCAAAGACAGTGACCCAATGAAATTCTCCATCGCTGCCATTGCAAGTTTCTTCTGAATCGATTTCACACATTTCTTCAACTTGTTCTTGCTCTGAATGCGATGGTTCCATTCTAGAAAGTTTTGAAGGTGGTTCAACAATTTCCTCGTTTAATGAGCGAATCGGTGGTCCTTTAACATAAAAATTATAAAATAATGTTATGTATGACGCTTAAATCGTAAATGACCAAGGTGAAAAAATATTTCCTAATTAAACGGAAAGGTATTCATAATTAGTAGTACCGGTCATCGGTTATCTCCCCGCATTTCTATAAAGCCCTGTTTTAGAACTGGTACCTCTATTTTCAATAAGTTATTGTTTTCCTATAAAATTTTTACAGGAATTTTACACCCACAATTAGGGTGCACAAAAACTATACTGGACCATTGGTTCGAAAAAGCCGAGTTTGGTACCTATCAGTGTAGCTGGCAAAATGACAGCCTCTTGGAAATTTTGTAACATTTAGAAAAAGATGAAATGACTAGACTAGAGAAATACATGAAAATAGAGGTACCGGTTATAAACATAGAACTGTGTACTTATCGGTATAATTATCTAATATAAAAGAAACCATTGCAAAGAGAAGTGGAAGCAGATTTGCCGCTGCCTAAACGTTGCAACTTTCTAGTGTCGGGTGATTTTGAACGTGAACGAACAAGAACAGGTGACCAATGAACACTTTTGCTAGTACCGCTTGAAAGTTCTCTTTTTCTTAATATTCCTGGTGAACCAAATCCTAGAATGATAGAGTATTGTCAATCTTCAAATAAAATTAAACCTGCGTTTTTAGATGTAAAACTGCGCCTAGCCGGAGTTTTATTTATTGCCTTTAAATTTTTGTGTATTGCCTCACCGCATTCCTAAGATACATTATTTAAAACAATATCAAAAGCATAATAACCACAACAGTTGAAGGAGTATTCAATAAAGTTTGTTCTTGTAAATTAGTTGATTCATCATTTATTAAATTATTCGCCTTTTCTGAACTATCTATTAATCCTTCAATAATTTCAGCGACAATTTTATTTACATCTTCAATTGATTCTTCTTCAATATTTTCTTCTTCTATTTCATTAGGCCTATCTTCTACGGATTCATCAACCACAACAGAGGTATTCGTTTCCGCTATTTCGAGCCCTTCCCTTAGTTGTTCAATGTAAGATGTGTGTGCAGGCTCAATTTGTGAAAATGGGTTGCGATTTTTGATTTGAGAAATGCAATTCTACAAAATTAAATAAAAAAATTAATTGCTAAAAATGTTTTAAAGTTTCATTTTAGTGGTATTTGAAAAATTTTGTATTTTCTCTAGACCTTTCTGGCACCAAACACGTAGCCATGAAGAGGAATTTCCTCTCGCCATAATATTAGGAGAATATCAAAAAATGAATTAATCTCCAATATAAAGTGCAATTTAGTCAAGAAATGAGGGGAGACAATTCGTTAGTAATTTTATCATTTATCTCCGTAATCAATTAGAAGACCAAAATGTAAAAAAAGAAAAAAATAGTATATACTTTTAGTGATTCAGATTGCATGGTTGTTTCCTTCGTCCAAGCTATAAATTGTGCAAGAAACAAAACTAATTGGCCTGAGCGATCTATATCAGTAGAAGGTGAAAGATTGTAAATATTGTTAAATAGAGTGACAAATAAATTCGTAATTCTTTCCTCAAATTTAACTAAAGAAGAATGTTTAAAAAATTAAACAAAATTGAAGAAAACCTATTTTATTTCTATCGCATTTAACGTCGCAAAACCGAATACATTGCATTGCGTAAACACTATGATCAACAAGAACAATTGGATTATCAAAAACGCACGGTTTTGCATTATCTAAAAAATTAAATCAAATCGATTAAGTCTAAAAATAGAATAATCAAACAGAACTCTAATAAAAAAATCTACAAGAGTAAACCCCTGGCTACGGCCTGATTATGTATAATAACTACGTTCCTAACGCCTATAAGCCCAGAAAATAAAACTAACGTAATTTCGGCGACACAATTATAAGAGATTCTAAAACATCCAAAAGACGAGGCCACAATTCAGGTATTTCCTTTAAAGTAATATGCGAATAAGCTTTTCTTTCCAATTTTGAATTAAGTAAAGAAACAAGATTTGTGCCTAAAGGGCCACTAACACTTTGATAAATAATTGAAAATTCCTCGTTAGTTGATTTATAATCGGTTGTTCCCCCAACACAATAACGAAGAAGACCGTGTGCAACCTAAAAAATATAAATTTATTTTTAATTATTTTTAGAAATATATATACATCTTCAAAATGGATAGAAAGACGAGATTCGAGAGAAATACAACAAAACCACCAACAATCAAAAATTTCTCTAGCCATTTCTGGGACTTGTTTGTATTTTAAAGCTTTAAGAATAAGTTCAAGCCGACTGGCAATTTTTGCACCTTACAAGAATTAAAAGGTTAATAAAAAAAAGACAAAAAATCCCAACTTTTTTCAGAAGATAGAACAAGCATACTCCACCTTGGATCACTAGCAAATACTGTCGCAAGAATTTTCCAGGATCGAAAAGCCTCTTTCGCAACACTCAAATGCACTGAACGAATTGCCAAAGGAAAAACAGAGACACACGAATTTGTCTTTCCACTTGGTTGAATCTCTGACTAAAATTAATTTAATTTAAAATTAAAATAATTTAAAAAAAACATACAAATCCAAACATTCTTATAGCAATTCCCCAAGCCCTTATAGCTCTAATACACGAAAATTCAATTTGTTTTTCCAAGCAGTTTTTCACGAGTAATAATCCTTCTTTTTGTAGCCATTGCACTAATTTTTCATGAATGGAGAGACCAGATTTTGTACCAGATTTTGAAGTGAGATCAATCCCAATACCAAATTCATCAAATATAAGTGTAAATTTTTCAAAAATCCATCCACCATCCTCTTCATTTTCGAAACTTTCAAAAACATCTTTAACGAATCGGATAGTCCAACTACCATTTATTGCCTTTGAGATCAATTCAAGAATATTTCCATCATTACTAAAAATTAAAAGAAATATTAAATTAAAAGATAAATCTTAAACAGATTTCTCACTTCCCCTGGATTTTACTCAATATTAATTATTTAAACCCCGTATTAGGATTTTTAAACTAGCAGAACCTGAATGCTTGTTTATAACAATTAATTCTATCAATAAAACTATGTAAATTATTCAATTTTGATAAAACCATAATCATTTCTAGCGCCGCTGACATTGTTAATCTAAAAAATATTTGAAAGTGAGAAGTCCAGAAATTTAGAAAAAATGTTTTGTTTAGTCAATTGAAAACAGTCTTGTAAAGAGAGTGCTGTATTAGGTAGTGTGGCGGAAGGTGACTAGATTCAAACGGGATTTTGTGGGATCCCTTCTAGAAAATCCCAGGTTTATAGCGACAAACGGATTTCCGAATTTCCATGAATTCTGTTCTGTTTAAAGTTAAAGGGGAGAAAAATGGGCAGAAAAAGGGAAAAATGTAAAAGGATCAAAAAGTTTAAAAAATTCTAAACTTAAGCCAACAACAAAAGCGTATCCGGACAATGCGTCAGTGGACTATCGGTCAGTGGCAGGATAAAACGTCAGTAGACCAAACGGTGGCTTTATTTGTGTTAAATTCTGGCCTTCCATGTGTTTTGTTATTTTTGAGGAAATTAACGCAAATCTTGCAAAAAAGTGAAAATTTCAGATTTCGACGCATCACTGCCATGGTGAGTGGTTAACACACCCGACTTGCACTTAACATGAGACTCAGGTTCGATGCCTGGCGCTAGTTGGTGGCTGCTTTAGTGTAGTCCCTCTATAGCCGTTAGCAGGAACTGGAAGAACAGAATCAGAGAACCTGGAACCGGAATTTAAAAAACCTTAAGTTCCGGTCATCTTGAACCGGAAATGCCAATACAAATTAATAGACTTGATAGGTTCTATGTTTTTTGCGTTCTTATGTGCGATGTTTTCTGAACATGCTTTGATTCTTACAATTAGCTCTAGCTCTCGTTCTTATTATAATTTTTGTGTTGCTTTAAAAGATCAAGCGGGATACTAAAATGGAAAATTCTTGCTCTTAGAAAATCTGAAAATCCCAAAATTTATTACATGCAGCCTAAGAAATACGCAATTTAGCAGTTACTATATACCAAAACAATAAAGAAATGCATGAAATTATAATTTTTATCGAGTATAACAATAGTTTCTTTTCTTCAATTATTCAACCGCAAAGATTATTAGATTTTCCTTGTCGAATTTTATTTATTTATCCAACAAATTTAAATCTTTCTCTTTTATGTTATCTAAATTTCATTTGTATCTTCTTTGAAGGGAAACAGCGACAAATAAATCAACTATTTTGGATAAAGTCCATTTAAAATTCCAATTACTATAATCGTATTTTTTAATTAAAAATCTAATTTCTAAAGCATTTTGCTTGATTAAAACAAAAGTGGTTGAGGTTGAAGGCTTCTCTTTATTATTTTAGTTATTGGTTATTCCTTCGACGTTGGAAGAGTAATGCTAGCTAGATATCTTTAATAGATCCCTTAGAGTCATAGTGGATAATAATAATCATACCCTTAATCATATACTACATAATTTTAATTTAAGAAGTTCATTTTATCTAAATTTAATTGAAAATATATCTGGATTTTTATTACTTTATTTAAACCAATCCCTACAATTAACACAAACAGATTCTTCCACTTCCTTATTTACTTTTTTATATTTTTTTCTTTCAATAATTCTTTGATCGAAGTTAACAAACACATTGTTAGAATTATTTATTAAAAAATTATGGATGAGTAAAATGAAAATAATAACAATGGCACAGCAGGAAATTTTTATTGGAACGAGAATTACGAGAATTATAAAATAATTTTGTGAAGAAGACAATTTGTGTACATCTAACTATTGTTTGGAAAAGGTGTTAAAGATGGGGGAAATACTTGAATTAACAAGAAAAAGGAGAGGAGAGGGAGGGAGTGATTTTTGTTAGTTTTTTTACTAATCCACTTGTATTTATGTGTTATTCTTCTACTATATTTTTGTTAAAGCTTGTGTCCTAATCCTTGACTTTACTTTCTTCTTTTATACAAACAACTCATTAAATCGTCAATTATTTAATAAGAAATTTATGTATTATGTAGAATATAATAATTTTTTTAAACAAAAATATTTTACAGTAGAAAACAATGCATACTAACAATGTAGTTTTTAAATAATTATTTGTAATACATATAAGCAATCTCCTTTTTTAATAATTTTTTTGTTTTGTTGTTTTAAATTATCCGATCCGAGAAAGGCAAGGTTTGAATTGATATATTAAGTTATTGATATATACTAGGGTTGTGGTTCCTGGAAATTTTTCGGATATCCGAAACCAGACCGAAGAACCGAACCGAAAAATACTCGGTCGGTTCTTCCAACCCCTAGTCTTTAGACCGTTTCAGAATCCCTAATTATGTAAAATTTCTACTTTTTTATTTCAGAATAATTTCTGAAAAATAATTTTTTTCATTAAATTATTCAAAGTAAATCTCATTATTGTTTACTATTCTTTCCCTTTTTTAATATAAAATACTGTATTTACATCTTGTTTGCGCAAATGGCAATTAACATTTTTCCTCTATCTTTTCTCAACATTAATAATAACATCTTCCCCCCCCCCTCCCCCATTTTTCTTCATTCTCGAAAAACCTTCCTTCCTATTTTTCTTTCAAATAATACTGAACCCGACGGTCAACTAAACACATTATGTAAAATAAATCTTATGATCCTTTTCCATAATAAATCAGTGCGCGCGGATGAAGAGGAAAGGAATAAAAAAGCAAAAAGTTAAGGGGGGAATAAACCTAATGAGCCAGTAAACTCTCACATTTTTATTCTTATATTCTAAAAGAATATTTTTAAAAAATTATGCAAAAATTCTGGACGAGGCTGGAAAGTTGGTAAAAGGTGCTTTTATATGGCAGGAAAGAATAATTAACATATTAAGGTAGGAATTTATGAGAATTATCACCTTTTTCGTAATATTCCTCGTATTATTGGTACCAGATAATATTGTGAAGAAGAAGGAAGATTTAATTGGCTCATTTAAAATGCTTAGACTGGTCTAATTTCTAATAAAGCACAGACTTGGTAGCTTTGTAAAGCATCTTATCGTGCCATCTTCCGGAAGTTCTCAGGATCGTTACCTGCCTGGTTTCTAAACTTCTGCATTTTTCTATTATTTTCATTTAGAAATCTAAACAGTTTTGGACATCTCCTTTTGATTGTTTATTTATTTTTATATTTTTCAATACTTTTCTCACAATAACCAAAACAAAAAGGCTGTCGCCATAAATTCATCAAATCTTCACCATTAAAGATTTACTAAAAGGTGCGAGCGCATTTTCCTTTCAAAAAATTTTCTCTTTTGGGAAATGGTTATTTTCTCTTCAATTTAAAAAAAGAAATTACCGAACAAAGAAATTAAAGAAGAATAATTCGGCTTTTTTTATTTATTTAAAATTCCTATGGGAAAATGTCATCACCACACAAACATTTGTTTTGTTTATTGTTGCTTTGACTTGTATATTGCCCTTTCCCGATTTTAAATGAGGAAGAAAACTGAAAAATAATAAAAATAGATTATTTAAAGATAAATAAATCTTTTAGAATATTTTTATTAAAATTGAGACAGCCGTTCATCTTTCAACTTCCCGCTGCGTTCTTTTAATCAAAATTTAATATTTATTAAAAATTCCTCTCCCTTTCTTTTTCTATTTTCTTAATAATGTTGTTAATTTCTTCAAAATTACATCTTCATCCTCTTAATAATTAAATTTCCAATCTCAATTGCGGGCATAAAATGTTCTCAAAATTGAATATTTAATCATTTCATAATATTTATTTAGACAATAAAATGTCTTCCAATACAAAAAATCAAAAAACAGTTTGGAATCCAGGTTTGGACAATTCAAATAATGAAATAGATAGACAAAAGAATATCTCAAAAGAATATTTAAATTCATTCAAATCACCTTCCTCTTCCAATTTTTCTTCTTCACCCTCATCGTCATCCTCCCTTATAATTTCACCTCAATTTGCTTTTATCGCAGCTACTGAACAATACTTTCGATTACAACAAAATAATCAAATAAATAAAATAAAACAACAACAAACACAAAAACAACAAACATGTTCATTACCTCAATTACCCCCTTGTTTGTTTAATGGTGATGGAAGAATGCTTTTTAGGTCTTTTATTGGAATAAACTTTATAAATTAAAAAATAGGCATTCCATTAAAGTTTTTATAAGGTAGCTCAAATCGATCACTCAATCGTTTCTGGTTTAAGACTGAAATTTAAAATCGGATGATATACATAGAAACTGAACGGTTTTTTCGGCGTTTGAATACAATTTTTACGAAATTTTTTGAATTAGTTCATGATAGGTTTTATAATTAAAAATATTTTTTGAATAACTTTGATCTAATTAATTAATGCCAATTTCCAATATTTCCAAATTAAAAATAATTTTTTTAACTTTTATTAAAATTTTTTAATTTAAAGAAGGCCTCCTCCATTTTTACAATCAACTTCATTACCTTTTCCAATTCCATTTATTCCTCCTCCAAATTCCTTCTCAGAAACAGCTTCTTCAACAACAATTCCTCAACCTTTTATTCGACCACCACCATTTTTTCCTTCTTTCTTTCCATCATTTGGAGGACCTTTAGGGAACTTTGCTAATTTAGCAATGACATTGGCTGCTAAAAAACAAAATGAAAAATCATTTACAATTGTAGAAACATTAAAAGAAGACAAAAATAATAAAGAAAAAATAATTAAAAGAAGAAAATCATTAATTAATTGTAAAACAAGGAAAAGACCTTTTCCTTCAAAATTAAATTTTATAATAAATAATAATGGAAATAATGGTGAAATTACTAAAACAATAAATAATATTGATAGACAAAATGTAAAGATTTTTAAATAATTTTATACTAAATATTTTAGCTGGATAATTTTTAATTGTATTTTCTGTAGGGGTATTTAATTGGGAATCTAATTTTAGTTAAAATATATTCCATCGGGTTTTGAATTAGCTTTTAGATATTTAACAAATAATTAATTTTCGAATATTTTAACAAAAAGAATTTTTAAGTTTGTGTGTTAAAGAAGTATTTTCGCTATAAATATGGAAATAAAATTGAAAGTTGTAAGATCAATTTTTTGTCCGTAAGGACCTTGTAAAAGTTAAAGTAGTTAGCAAAACAAAGTCTTAACGAAGTTGTAGATCTTCAATAAAATTATTTTAAACAAATTTTAGGGTAAATTTATGAGACAAGAGAAGGAAGAAATATTTAATAGAGATAATTCTTTACCATCGACAACAAACCCAATAATTGAATTAATATTAAAAGAAGAAAATAATAAAATCAACAAAATCAGCAATAACAATTATTTAAATATTAATTTTAATACTTGTGGTTAATTTAATTTTTTTATTAAAATTTTTTTAAAATTTTTTTTAAGCAATTTGTGGTGCTTCTTTTCGTTTAACTTCTGAATTAATTCAACATGCTCGTTCCAATCATCGTCAACCTAATCGTTATGATAGACTTGAAGGGCCTTCTATTGAGGAAGCTCAAAAATTTAATAAAGAAAGAATTAATGTAAATAATGAAAGAAGAAAATAATTTTAAAGACAACTCGAAATTAACGAAAAAATAGTCTCGGAAATGTAGTTTTAGTTTTTGAAGTTAATTTATAACTAGTTCGGACCGTACCGTACTACGTCAGTATTTTTCGGTATTCCATATCGGTAATACGGTACGGAAACCTAAAATACGGCAATACGATATCGATGAAAATTTTCAAAGTTCTATCGGTATTTTTCGGTATTACAATCGGTAATACGGGATCATTATGTATAACTACAGGGAGAACTGAGTCTTTTTTGGAAAGTATAAAGATTGTAAGATTATCCTCATCGCAAACATATTTTTTCAAAAATAATTTTATTTTTAAATATATTTTTTAATTTTATAAATAATTTTATTTATTTATCCTTTCCCAATATCACTTCTTTCAATTTCCTTCCCTTCATTTTCTATTTTTTCATAATTATTTTTTGATGGTTGTTTAACAATAATTTCTTTAATATTTTTATTTTCTTCCTCATCAGAATTACTTTCTTCACTTTCATCTGTCCCATCTAAAACAAACTTTTCTGATTGAATAAAATCAGAATTTAAAATTATTTTGTGTTGTTGCTCTTTTGTTAAACTAAAAATTAGAAAGTTTTTAATTGAAAGTTTTTTTTAAACAAACTTGTAAAAATGTTGCTGAATTAATGCAGCAAGCAATAAAAGGAGAAAACAAAACTTAAATAAAATTAACAAATTTGGATTTTTTAATATTCTAAGTAATATTATTTTTAGAGTTCGAACCCGGGCTCGGTAGCACGGAAACCGGGTATTTTGATAAAATCCGGTTTTTCGGAGTTTCCGGTTTTTCGGGGTCCCTTTTAACAAAAATTTTTTGTGAGGAACAGAAAACGGAAATATACAAACCTGCCAAATTTATACCAATAATTATTTATTTAAATAATTATCCCCTACCGTAAAAATTAAATCTAGCGAAATATTTTGCCATAATAAAAATATAACTAATAAATTTAAAGGTATTCTAAAAAGATTCATTGTAGTTGAACGACTCTATTAAAAAAATTTTTTTTAATAAAATTTTTAAATTAAAATCACCTTTTCAGCAATATATTTACTTCTAAGGAAACCTAAAGTTGGCCAAGCAATACCTACACAAAGTTCAAAAAGATTAAAGGAGGCAAATATAGATAAAGGCTGATCAGACACTAAAAATGGTGTAGACAATGATAGTGCAGAAAATAATAATACAAAACTAGAAAAAATAAATTATGTATTTTAAAATTTTGTGAAAAATTTAATTAAAATTTATTTTTTTGCAAAGGAAATCCCTAATTATATAGATTAGGTGTGCTTTGTGAATAACAAAATAAGTAACCAAATAAAAAATATCTCCTAGTACTCTTTATTTACTACTTTCCAATAACATATTATTAATCCTATAACGATATCCAATTTTTAATTTTCTATAAGATGCTAAACTTAAAAAAGAGAAATGACTAAATAAAATTATTTTGAATAAAATAATTAAAAACCGCATAATAGCTTCAGGTTTCCATCTTTGACATAATGGATTAAATAGTGCAGATCCGGCCATAACTGACAACATAAAGGATGCAAAAATATATCCATGGGGAATTGCCTCAGATTCAGCTGCTCTACTCAAAGCCGGGGTCCATTCAAGAACAAAAACATACATACAACTATTTTTTAATTAACTTTTAAAAAACTTGAGGAATTTTTACCCTTCAAAAAGGCTCTGAATTAAACCAAGACAAAGAATTCTACAATCTTTAATTTAAAAAATAAAATTAAAAAATAAATTTAAAGAAAAACCATTTCTAATTGAATTAAAGGCAAATAAAAAATTTTCTCCAATTTTAGCCTGTTCGTCTCCATAATTTTCAGACCAAGTAAAAAGACAGGCAAACCCCATAAAAATTAGAACAATAAAAGAAGCATCGAAAGGGGCACTTTTTAATAAAATAATTTTGAAAATTAAAAAATTTTTTTTAAGAATTTCTAAAAACTTTTTTTTAATTGCTTCAATTAATTTTTTAAAATAAAAACATACACATATCCAAACAAATTAGCTACTTGTTGGGCAAAAATACCAGAAAGTATAGCAATTAACGAGTTTGTCCATGTTTGTTTAGCAAAAACTGATTTAAGTTTGTCTTCATCAAATTGCCTCTAAATTATTTTATTTTGTTCATCAGGGATATACATAAGGGATTAAATATATAAAGGATTATGCCGATATAAAACTCCAATTCCGAATTTGTAGGAATCGAGATTGCGAGATGTTCTCTTATAATTTCGGGGCAAAAAAGGTATAACAGTTTAAAATACTAATTACTTTATTATGTTCACAAATTAGCCAAGATTCAAAAGCGCTAAAAAGAATACTTGTAGCAATACCACCCAATAACCTTCCAATTAACAAAATATTAAAAGATGAAAAATGCTTTGTTAAACATCCAATACTATATAAAAAAGCATAAAGAAGACAATTAGCTTTTCTTCCACTAAAAATATAATTAATTTTAAATTGTTAGAGACAAACAATTTATCAGCAAAAGAGCCAACAAAAGTACCAAAAATAAGACTTGAACCAAATCCAGCAATGAATAGTAATTCTTAAATTTTATACAATTATTCTTTCAAATTTAAATATAAAATTTAAAGAATTAAAGCCTCTCCAAATAAACTTTAATCGTATTTCTGTTTCATCGTTACAGTGGAAGCTTTCGAGATAACGTCATTCTCTCACATATTATATCCCTTGATACGTCAACAAAACTTGGACTAGTGTTAAACTTATACAGAGATTTCACTATAGAACAACATACTAGTAACGTTTACTTTATTCGGGTTTAACCCAGTAGTATGTATATTTATGTAATTATTATTAATGTAAAATTTATTTTTGTTTTCAAAACAAACCAATTTGATGTTTGGTTAAATCATAAGATTGATATAAAGCATAAACATGTGGGCCCTGTAGCCAATCCCCAGCTACAGCCAATCCATACACCAACAAATAGACACGTTGAAAACGTTTAAAAGGTATATTATCTCGATTTAACATTTTTTAATTAAAAAAATAATTAAAAGGTTTTTTTTTAAATGATTTTACATTTCAATTTTTATTAAAGCAAAATAGTAGTAAATAGATCCTTTCTTTAATATACTTAATTTTGAATGAATATAAAGATACCCTAAATAGATATATGTACATATAAATAAAAGAATATTAAAAGATGATATCTACATAATTTCTAAGTAATTGAACTTTTAGTTTTGCACTAATTTAAATAAAAATGAATTTTCGGGATAAGGAAAATAGAATTAAAAGAAAGAGAATTTAAAAGTTTTTTTTTTAAATTTTTTATTAAAATAAAATAGCATAAATGTATTAGTTAATTCATATTTTAATTAATTTTTATTTTCGCTTTTCACAATTATCACAATCTTCTAATCCACTTTAAATAAATTTTTAAAAATTTTTTCAAAAAACTTCTTTTTAAATAAATTACCTAACAATATAACAAACTCCAATTAAAAATTGTGGTTCAAAATTAATATTTAAACGTCCAAAATTAATTAAATATAAATTGCAATTTATCCAAAAATTTCCCCCTTTAATATTTAAAAGACGAAAATATTTACTTTGTGAATGGCCTTGATTTAAAGCTTAGAAATTTTAAATTAAATTTTTTAATTAAAAATACAGTTTTTTACCAATTTGGTGCATTTCTGTTACTTGACTTAAATCGTTTGGAAATACAAATTTATATAAAGTATTATCCAAAAGTTTTTGATGGGAATAACCAGATATTTCCATTAAACTGTAAAAAAGTTAAAAGTTATTTTTTCTTGGAATTTGAAAATAATTTTTAAAAAATTTCCCACCGATTGTCTACAAATAAAAGTTTTAATGAAGGATTTGCTCGAAACATAAACATCGAGGAACTAAAAGAGATTTTTAAATTTAGGTATCTATTTAATTAAAAAACGTTAAAATCAATTCATTTTGTCCATCTTGTAACATTGGCTGACCAAATCCAATAAAACGTCCATCATTATCTGGCCATAAAGTTCCCATAAAATGGATTGTCTTTAATTTTAATTAAAAAATATTTCTTCTTTTTTCCGAAAAAAAAACTTTAATTCCTTGCAATCCTCTCGAAGAATTTGGGAAAGGTCTTCGGCCAGATAAGCAAAGGAAACGAAGTACAAAACTCATGTCTGGATGTGTTATTTGTAATAAATTAGAATCTACAAAAAGTGCCAATTTATCTATTAAAAGCTGGACATCATTTGGGTGAAGAAAATTAATTAAATAGCTTCCAACTAAAGTTGCCTAAAATTCCGAAGAATTTTTAAATATAAATAATTATTTTAATGCCTGAGGAAGGCCTAGATGGATTGCTACAGTTTCACTAACATAAAGAATATTTCCTTTATTATTTATTACAATTATAAATCCATCCATTGCCTTTAAAAGAATAAATAAATTTATTTTTTAATTAAAATACTTGAAATAAATTTAATGCAAATTGGTGTAATAAAGGTTTTTTAATTAAACAATTGGAAGTAGAGGCCGCCCATTGACGTTTAAGTTGGCGATCATCTAAGTATTCTTTTGTTGTTTTTAAAAATATATTATTTTGTTTAAAATTATTTTTAATTAAATTAGAAATTAATTGATTAAGTTGGAGGTAAGAAATAATTATACGAATAATGCCTGCTTTATCTAATTGGTCTATAATTATATAAAATTAATTAAAAATTAATTAAAAATATATGCCTCGAATAGGTGGTGATAAAGGCAATAAATTAGCTAAAATTGAGAAAGCATTTTTTTCCTTAAAAATAATTATCTAATTACAAAAAATATTTATTTATTTTTTACCTTATCTCTTCTATTTTTACCAACAATTTCAGATAAATTATAATTATTAACAATTTGATTATGCTTTTCATTTCTTCTTTTTATTTTGGCATTCATCTTTTATTTAAAAATTAAATTAATTTTTTATTTAATTTTTCATTAATATAACTTTTATAAAAACAAATTTTCAAAAAAAAATATTTAAAATTAAATAAAGTCCATTAAAATTCTTTTTTTTAAATATAAAAATGAATAATTCATTAGAAATTTAAACATATTTATTTTTATAGTTAAAACCCGAAAATAAAAAAAAGAATAAAAATTTTCTTATTTTTCTCTAATATTTTTTATTTTTAATTTAGAATTTCCACGTTTTTAATAAATTTTTTATGGTCAATAATTTTTTTTAAATATTTTTTAAAAATAATTTAAGAAAAAAACAACAACAAATTCATTCTCCAAAAATATTTATCAACAATATTTTAATAAACAAAGCTAAATCTCAATAAAAAAAGACATGTAAAAACTAAAGAAAAAAATTTTCTATATTGAGTTCTAGCCTTAATTACAAATAAAATTCTTTTAAATAGTATATGTGAAGATTTGTACTATTTTTAAGTAATTAATTTAAGATATGTTTAGTTAACGAGTTACTTTTGAAGTAAAAATAAAATAATTTGTGAACATTTAAGTTAATTAAATAGTGATTTTAGATCAGAAAAAGAGAAAAATCACAAAAGTAAACTGGCAATTAGAAAAATAATTTTTTGGGAAATTTTGTGAAAAAGAAGGTTTAAATTAGGAATATTTATTTTCGATTTGAACACTCTATAAAGAATTTACACGAAGATGTTCAAAATAAGAGTTGTTCATATCGAACAAATATTTATTTAAAAAATAAAAATTTTTTTAATTCAAACAACAATAATTTATTGTAGAAATGTTCATTTTTTTATTTTAGAAACAAATAAAATTGGAAAATAAAAGACAAGTCATGGGATTAAATTAAAAAGAAGTTTGTTTAAATAAAAAATATATAAAAAATAATTTTCTTAAATTATAATTTTGTTTTTTTAAATCCTCTACTACTAAAAGAAAGAAATTTCAGCATATTTTTTGGAAAGTTCCATAGTTAATCTAGAAATTAATTAAATAATTAATCATAAGGAAAAAATAGGTTCTTTAAAATTATAACTAAAAATCCTCATTTGTACTATTAAGAAACAAAAAATAATCAAAATAATTTTTTTAACTTACGGATGTGGAGACATTAAATTAAATGTTTCAATTGTACATAAAGTTTCTCGTTTAAATGCAGCAACTTTCTATACAAATTTTAAATTTAAATTTTTAATTAATTAATTTTACATGAACATTCGATATTCTTAAAATAAGTTCAGCCATTCGAATAGAAGCCTCAATTTTATTAGGCATTTGTTCATCCAAATGTTTTTGTAAAGCAGCTAATAATGCTTCTCTTTTTGAATTAACTATTTTTGTTGCATTTTTACTTAGAGTTAAACATTCTTTAAAAATTATATTTTTTTCAAAATTAAATAAAAATTAATTGCCTGGATCAAAAAAAATTATTGCACACAAAAGAACATATTCAATTTCTGTCATTTTCATTCGACGAATGGGAACCTAAAAATTAAACAAAAAATTAAATCACAAAATAATTTATTTAAAAATAATTTGTGTTACAAATAAATTATAAGCCAAAATACGAAAAGAAAAAAGAAAAATATATGGGTGGATTCTATGTAGTGAAAGAGGTTTAGCTTGTAAAGTTAATTTCACAATTAACGTTCCTTACCGACTATCGATAACGAACAATTAGGGGGTTAACGTAGAAACAATTAGGAATCCAATATTTTCACAATACCCTTAAACAGTGCTACACAAAAGTATATAATATTTTTTTAGCAAAATTTTAATATTCGAATAACTCAATCCCGAGTTATACAATTTTTTCAAGTGTGCTTATACTTTTGTGCAGCACTGTATATTTAGTTAGTACCCTTAACAAAAAAATTTTTTTAACAAATCCGATTATTAAAAATTAAAAGGGATCCCCTTAGATCGGAAAAAATAAGCAAATTAAATATAAATATTCAATATAAAATTCACCAAAATTTGATTAATAACAGCAACAACTGTAGGAATTAATCCACTCTTTTCTTTAATAATGTTCGCACTTAAATTCCGGAATCCGGAAAGACCTCCCGGAAAAACAATTCTGTCGGTATAACGTTCAGAAGTATGAAAAGCTTCAGAAAATACGAGAATAGAAAAACAGGAATGAACAATTAATGCTGCTCTGTCTTCATATTTTAATTCGGAAAATTCATCAAAAGATTTTGCCCACTCAATTGTTGTCGAAAGAATTTTGGAACGCCAATAAGAAAAATTCATTTGATCTTCTTTAATTTAAAAAATAAATAAATTTTAATATTTCTACCCTAGTTGAGGGGCGGCCCCCTCTAATATAATCAAAATATTTCGATCTTTTAAATATATCCTCATGGCTAAAAAAGCCGTAGATTGTGGGTATTGTTTAAGCAGTTTTAACCACCCATAGCTAATTCAAACTTTTAAGTAAACATATTTAAAATTGAGTAACTGTTCTCAAAATAAGTTCTTCATCCCTTTATTTTACCTGTCTTCATTTGATTTTGTTTATGAAAATCAAATTGTTGGAAACTGCTGGGCATTTTAAGGGCATCCTCAATAGTTGGATGTATTGGTGTAGTTGTAGATGTTAATAAAGTAGTAAATTGTCTTTCTCTTTTCATTAATTCTTTTATCTTTAAATTTTAAAACAAAATTTAGTTAAAAAATTTATCAAAAAAATTTATTCAGTAAATACAATAATCTTGAACAAACCAGCGGATCGGTGATTTTTTCAACAATAAATTGTGGAGAACTAATTTCTGCAATTTTACGCTTTCTGCGACGTTCAATATTTAGTTCTGGGAATTTTTTTAAAAGTATTCCAATTAAAAAGGGATTATTTGTATTTACCTGCTGAATTCATTCCAACTTTGAGACATTTTTTGAAACGGCAAGAACGGCCTTAATAAATTATTAAAAATATTTTAAATTAATATAGAATTTACATGAACAACGATGATCTTTGTCTATTGGACAGTTTCCACTACGATTGCATGAATAGGTCCGATTCTGGAAAGAATTAAAAGATATTCGTTAATATTTATTTTCACCTCAACAACAACACGACGAAAAAAAGTTTTGCAACCATTACATGTCCAAACCTTTAAAAAATATTTTTTTTTGATTTAAAAATTTTTTCAACTGAAAAATGAATTCCGGAAGCTATATCTCCACAAACTGCACAAGGCTCTGAAATAGATTTTCCTTTAAGAAGTTCTTGTTTTTGTTGTTTTTGTTTGGTTAAAAAAGCATTGGTTACATGATGAACTTGATCCTCATCACTTAAATAAATTTTGGAAATTTTAAAGAAAAATTAAAATGAAAGTAGAATTTCTGGAATATACTCCAATATAGGGTATGTTAACTGCGCACATTTTTCTTGGGTAATTATTTCTCCGACCTCTTGTTGAGGAGGTAATTAATCAAAAGGAGTAAATATTCAAAGGAATAAAGGTAATTCTATTTTAATCAATCTTTCATAGTGTTAAAAGAATAATTAAAAATTCCCTACTTACTCATCATGATTCAACGCTTGAAGCGAATTTTTATCCAATTCATGGCTACATTCAAAAGTTGTCAAAAACCCTCCATCTCCTTTAGTGTTAAATAAAAATCCATCTATTCCCTTTTCATAATTTGTAGGTATAGTTAAAGAAATCATTGCTAATGAAGGTATTGAACTAATTTGGAAGGGAGTTAACGGTTCTAATAAAGGTTTTGGTGGAAGTTGTTTTGTTGCAACATTGAGACATTGCCCAACATTATTATTTTGAATACAACAACCACCACAGTTTGGTGTTGTTGTTGTTCCCTTATTTTCCTCATTTTTAGGAGAGTAAGGCCGTTGCCTTTTAGGGCTTAAACAAATATCTCCTGCGCACATTGTTGGTTTTTAAATTGAAAATCTTGGAGAAAAAATTAAAAAAATATTCTGCAAAAAATAAAAAGAGAATTAAATAATAATTAAAAATAATAATTTATGTTCAAAGATTGCGTCAAGATTTAAACAGTTGGACCTTCCATTTATAAATAACTAATATAATAAATTTCTTTATTAAATACTCTATATCAGGGTTGGGCGAAATCTAAAAATAAAAAGCGAAATGCGAAATTCGCCCAGCCCTGCTCTATATGTTACGAACAATAAATTTACAGGTAAGTTGAATAGAAGAAATCAGAAGTGGCTCTGAAATAGGAGGCCGTTATATGTAGGATTTTAATTAAATAATAGATCTAGTATTTAAAATATGTATTAAATAATATAAAATTTAGAGATGAATAAAAAATGTTTTTTATTAAAGAATTAATATTTAATATACCGTTAATGGACTCAAAAAAATAAATTTCTAACTATAAATTATAGGAATGAAAGCAAAGTCGATGTTTATGAAAGGCATTAGTATTTATGAGCAAACACGCTTTTAACTTAATTTAATGGATGGAATAAAAGTGCGCAAAATATTAATAATTAAATAAAAAGGAATTTGTATTTTAAAATGCGGGGGAGAGATATGATAGAAAAAATTTTTATCTGTTTTTATTTAATAAAGATCACAAAAAAATATTTAACCATCTAATAAACATATACAAAGATCCAAAAAGGATTATTAATGTCTAGAAATTAAAATATCAAAAATCACAAAAAATAATTGAAAGGCTTTAAATTGGAGGTTTTAATTATTGAAGGGATAGAGGTGAGGAGGATATTGCAGTTAGTAGTTATCCAAAGATTATTTTTTTAAATGTTAAAGTATAGCAAAAATCTAAAGAAAAGATGAAGGGTTTCAAGGGATAAATGAGGGAAATGAATATTCATAATTCGGTATTGTGTTGTAGGAACGCGATATTCAAATGCCTCTTGGATAAATACAAGCCTTGGATAGATAAAAAACTTCTGTATATATTTATTTATTTAGAACTTTGCGAATTGGAATTTTGCACAAAATTTAAAATACTATTTATTGCTTCCTCCCATAGATTTCATAATTTTTATGCTGATATTTTAAAATTCGCGCTAGTATATTTTTTGATTTCCTCTAATAGAAGCCTCAAATCAAATACATATTTAAATTATAAAAACATTAATTTATTTTAATTCCTACCTCTTATTCATTAAATAATTTTATATAAAAATTTATTGATAAATAAAATTGAGAACAACTCCAAAAACTAATTTTCATTCTCTCCCTTTATTTATTTAATGTCGATCAATCACTTAAAAAATATTTTTTTCCAATTTCTTGCATTTTACCTTGCAAAGCGTGTAATCGTGGGGAATAAATTTGTAATTCCTAATTTTGCGCTTTTTATTTTTATAAATTACCCAAATAATTGCTTTAAGATTTATTGCATTTGTCCCTTTTCTGTTTAAAAACCAAAAAAAATTTTTTTGTATTTTATTCCCCAACTTTTTTAAATTTCCCATTAAATTCTCGTTTAATAAACACGTCATTATTAAGGTTGGCGGTTCCGGGTATCCGGAACCGAAAAAACCTCGGATATCCGGAAATTTTCGGTTCGGATACCGGTTCCGGATCCGGATATCCGAAATCTTCGGTTCGGATATCGGTTCCGGTTCCGGATATCCGAAAGTTTCGGTTCGGATACCGGTTCCGGTTCCGGATATCCGAAATTTTCGGTTCGGTTCCTAGAATTAGGGAAAAAGGAAGAAATCTTGCCCAATGGACTTTCAAACTTTTCAAAATTTTCGCCTGTGGCGCCGAAGAGGGAAGAATCCTGGCATAGGGATCTTCAAAAATTCTCAAAATTTTCGCCTGCGGCGCAGAAAAAGGAAGAAAACTGGCTTCTGGACCTTCCAAAATTACAAAATTTTCGCCTGCGGCGCTAAAGAATATAAGAAAATTGACTTAAGGACCTCAAAATTCTCAAAATTTGCGCCAGCGGCGTAGAAAGAGGAAGAAATCTGGAGCCTTGGCTCACCATAATTCTCAAAATTTTCGCCTGCGGCTCTAAAAGTGAAAGAGTTTTAAGTACTTGTAAAAACTCACATACGTTGCTTGTTTACAGTTTAAGGGAATGTTGATGTATTTGGATGTCATATAGAGTGGTCAAGGATGAAAGGATTGAGGGGATATATCAATAATAATAATATCAAAGGGGATATATCAATAAATCCTAATATCAATAAACCCCAGAGAGATATAGGTAGATCAATAAATCTCTCTATATCTCTCGTCATTACCAACCTCCGGCTCTTAATCCACCAATATCCCAATGTCTCTATTAATTCCCCAAAATCGCTCATTCCTCACATAAATAACACTGTTAATCGTAAATTCCCTCAATACCTCTGTTAATTCCCCAGATCCATTCATATTGATCTTAATCCCTTTATATCATCCGTTGGGACTCAACTTTACAGCGCCTCAGGCGAAAATTTTGTAAATAAAAATTTCGGTTCCGGTTCCGGATACCCGAAAATTTCGGTTCGGATACCGGTTCCGGTTCCGGATATCCGAAATCTTCGGTTCGGATACCGGTTCCGGTTCCGGATATCCGAAAATTTCGGTTCGGATATCGGTTCCGGTTCCGGATATCCGGAGATTTCCCAGGAACCGCCATCCTTAGTCATTATTAATTTTTATTTTTAATTTCCGGAAGATAAGAATTAATTTATCCAGATACTAAGGGGTGGGCGAAATTAAATTCACTGTCAAAACATCTATCTAAATATCAGGGGTGTGCCGAAACAGATTTTATAGAGCGATATGCGAAACGCGAAAGTCCAAAATCCGCGAAAGGCGAAACTGGCGCACCTCTGCTACATATCCTCTAAATTACAGAACTTAATAATTTAAAAATAATATCTTATTAGCATTTAAATCCACCTCTTCCACAGAAAATAAACCTTCAAAGATTGAGAAAAGTTTTAATGACGATTTCAACACAAAATCGTCACTCAAAATCTTAAAATAATTAAAACATTAAAATATAGATAAATTAAAAACAAATTAATCCCCCCTTCTTTTCCTGTTTACAATATCCATTATATATTTATTTTTGTATTTAATCCTTACAGATTTTGCTTTTAAGTGTGTGTGCTCTAAAATTAATGAAAGAACCACTTAACACAAATCAATTAAAAAAAGGTAGTCAAGACAACCATTTAAATATTAGTTAAATTTTTTTTGAAAGTTTTTGTAATTTGGAAGAAAAAAATAAAGCCAAAAATGTTATTTAGTAAGTGGTAGGTGACTTAAATATTTTTTGTTAGAGAATTTGAGAGAAAGAGAAAATTTTCAGGTTTCTATTAAAGATCTTCCTAAATGGCATTTAATAAATAAATATATTTAAATGTATGTTAGTAGCTAACATGCGCAGGAAAAATAAAAAAAAATTAAATTTTTGCAGAATTTTTTTGCTTAAAAATTTATATAAAAATAAATATATCCATGTGACAGAATTAATTAAAGAATGAAAATTAAAAATACAAAAATACAAAATATTTTCTTTTATTTTTCAAAAATTTAAAAAAGAAAATTAGGAAAAGCTTCTTTTAAAAAGAATTTTTATTTCAAAAATAAATATTGTATTTTAAATAAAAATTTTTGTATTTAAATACAAATATTTTTAAAAGAAAAATTAAAATTTCTAAAAATAAATAGACAAGGAAAATTTTTAAATATAAAATTTTGAAAAAAAAAGTTTAAAAAGAATTTTAGGAAAGAGAAATTAATGAGAAAAATTTTGTATTAAATTAAAAAAAAATTATTAACTTTCAAAGAATTGTCTAAAAAACATAAGGTTTAAATTAGTGACGAATTTAATATTTAATTATTTTTAAGAAATTTAATGAAAAGCTAATTTTGTGTGTAGTGGAAAGTGTGAATTAAATTTTAATATTTAAATGGTTTTTTGGTACACAAAAAAATCAAAAAGCTTTATAATTTTGTTGGAAAAATAAATTTATTTATTTTAATTTAACAAAAATATAATAATTAAAATGGTAGGTGTGTGGAATATCAAAACATTAAAAATAAAAATTGAAGAAAAATCACTGATATTTAGACAAATTAATAAATGTGGAAGAAGTTTTTTTAAAAATATTTTTGTAATAAAATTTATATTTTGAGGAAAATAAACAAAAAATTAAATTTTATTTTGGATTTAAAAAATTATGACAACAAAATGATAAATTTAAATGTTGAACGTTAGTCGTTCTTTAAATTGATCAAAATTAAAAATTGTGTAATTAAATTATTGTGAATTGAAGAGATTTAATAGATTGAAAAAAATATTTAGATTTTAACTTAACCCAAAATTTATATTTAAGGTATGGAAGATTAGAAAGATTTGGGTACACTCCAATGTACCGCCGAGCTATAACTCTGTTCAAAACTGTCGAATCCGTGGCGCCCTGGTATGGTTCGATGCGGCTCGATCAGCTGAATCGAACCATACCATGGCGCCGCGGATTCGATAATTTTAAACAAAGTTATAGCAAGGCGGTACATTGGGCTCAGCAGTACACTGGCCTGCTCCCGGAAGATTTTTTGTCACATAAATTGTTACAAGTACTTTATTAAAATTAAAAATAAAATTATTTAATAAATAATTATTCGTATATAATTAAGAGTGAATTATTAAAGGGGGAGAAATACATTAATAAATAAATATTTTTTGTCTCGCCTTACAATTAAAAAAAGGTTAAATAATTACAAGTAATTAAAATATTGACAGATAATAATTTTAAATAAATAAAAGAAAAATGTTTCAAACACTTTGTTAAGAGAAAAAAAACAATTAGAAATGCCGCTCCCCCAAAAATAATTTTATTATTGTTGAGTAACCAAAGTCCAGTGAATAAAAAGTTAAAAAAATATTTTTATAAATTTTTTGTTTTTGATAAGAATCTCCAAAAATGGTTTTGTAAATAAAATAGAAAAAGTACTTTGATCAGAAAATGATTAAATTATATGCTAACAATTCCCCCAGCACCCCCATGTTTTTGATATTTGTAGATAGGAACAGGAAAAGTCACATTTATAAAGTAAAATAGTATAGTAAAAATAAATAGAGAATTACGAGGGATGTGTCAGACAAAACGTAGAGGAAAGGGAAGAAAATAAATGATGACAATTCACTGAAAGGACAATTTACAGATTTAATAGCTGGCTGAATTATAGGGCCAACCGGGGTCAACTCGAGAAAATTAAAAAATATTTAATAAAAAAATATTGTCATTTAACATAAATTTTTAACGATTTAATGAATTACTCACATAAACTAAAGTTAATAAATTGTCTGTTAAATATCCATTCGGTATTTTGTCCTAACACAAAGAAAGGCAATTGACAGACTGTCAACATTCCTTTTTTTAATGAGCACGCAATTAGATTGATAGTTTTTCTCTTTGTTCTAACAATTTTGTAAAATAAATATATTTAATATGGCTTTCCTTGATGAGCAAAGCAATTAAAAAATTTTCTCATTTATTTATCAGTTAAATATTAATTTTTTTAAATGAAAGGTTTTTAAAGTTAAAAACCTGAAATTTAATGTTCCAGTTAATTTTTGATTTTTTTAAAAAAAAATTATTTAAAAAGATTAATAGCACAAATCAAAATGGCAATATTTACTTTCTTTTAAAATAAATATTTATTTCATAGATCTTTTTCTCGAATAAACAACGTCAAAGAAAAAATAAAAACAATAATATTAGCTATTTATAATTATTTTTTTAAAGAAAAGAAAACAAAAGTTTAACAAGTTTATTTGGCAAATAAATAATAAATTATTTAATTGTTTTTTCCTTTCTTTAAAGTCCCCTTCTCTAAATTAACACAAACTCTATTTTCTATTGTTTATTTATCTAGACTCTGATGTCTAAACTTTAATTGAGGGAAACACCCAACTCGGCGCGCGGCCATAACGGCGCAAATCCATAACTTGCTGAAAAATTTCTGATCCTTAACAATTTTGGTACCAATCTCCTTGGCTCTATTAGAGGACTCGTTTGATATTAAATTTGAAAAGATTCGGAAATCTTAAAGCAAGTTATGGCTTTGCGCCGTTATGGCCTCGCGCCGTTTTGGGCGTGTCCCTGAAACCTGTTTTGTCAAAATTTTATAGTCAATTTTACTTTTTTTAATTCTTTTGTTTTTGATTGTTTAATTTTTAAAATAATTTATTTTTTTCTAGATTTATTCTTTAAAAAAGGATGCAGTCACCAAATAGTTGCGACACAAAAATTCCAATAAATCCAACTTGGAAGCAACAGACTGCATCAAATAACGTTAAAATGTCTTCAGATTTAACTTCAACAGATAATAATTCTGATTCTTGTTCAAGTGATGAAGTTATTGTTGATGGATATATTGAAGGTTGTTTTTGGATAGGGTTGCCAAAATGGCCCGACTCGGACCGAAAGATCGAGTCGGGCCTAAGATATTTGGCCCGAAAAAGACTCGTACAGGCCCAACTCGATAAAACAAGTCCGAAAAAATGCCTCGACCATCGGCCCGACTCGAAAACGGCAACCCTAATTTTGAATAATAAATTAGTTATTCTTTTTTATTTTTTGTTTTTAAAAAATAATCTTTCGTCTTTTATGTAAAAAATTGATTGTTTAGTTAAAAACAGAAGGAATGATTCATTTACTTGTCCCTTTCATTAAATTAAGAACAAAAAAAATTAATTTAACATTTTAATTTAAAAAGATGTTTAAATTTAATTTTTCTTTATTTTCTAAAGAAAGTATTCCAACTTCTAATCGATGCAGAATACGGACAAGAACGATTTCGAACTCGAAAGCTGAAGAAGAGGATGTTTTTATGACTGAGACTGGACGAGTAAATTTTTGATTTTTTAATTTCTAAATTTTTTTTGTAGAAAGTTTATACAAAAGGACGCCCTCCTTGGTATGATAGAGGTTTGAGGTTTTAATTTTTATTCAATCATTAAATAATAAAGCTGGAAAGCGTCTAAAAAAGTCTTATTTAATTGGAATTTGTGGGGGCTCTGCTTCTGGTAAAACAACTGTTGCCCAAAAAATTATTGAGAGATTGGAAATGCCTTGGGTAATTTTTAAATTTAAAAGTCTTTAAAGATTTTTTTTAGGTAACTGTACTTGCTATGGACTCTTTTTATAATGTTTTGAATGAAGAACAGCACCATTTGGCTGATAAACAAGAATATAACTTTGACCATCCAAGTAAGTTGTTTTTACTAAAATTATTTTAATTTTTAGGATTAATTAGGTTGAAATTATTATTACTAGGGCTAGCCAAAATTTGAACGGAAAATCACCAAATATGCGCACTCAAAAAGAATATATGCATTCAAAAAGCCCAAAATATGCACCGATATGCAAATATGCACGAAAGGGTCTAAAGATGCGAAAATATGGCTAATACCGGGTCCTAAAGTGCTCGGACCTATGTAAAAACATTTTTTTGGGCTTCCCACTTCAAGGCAGATCCGCATACAAGACATGCTTTTGCATGTTTTGGCTAACCCTAATTATAACCATTTTTTCCATTTAAAAATTTTTTTTTAATTTTTAAATTAACTTTTTCTAAATAAAAATTAATTTGATATTTTTTCAGATGCTTTTGACTTTGATTTACTTTACGAAACACTTCTACGTTTAAGAGACGGCAAGTCAGGTATTTTCAATTTTTTATTTAACATTTTAATTGCTAAATTTAGTTGAAGTCCCCGTCTACGATTTTACGACACACAAACGGTCAAAAAATCCAAAATTAATGTATGGCGCTGACATTTTAATTTTTGAGGGAATTCTTTCTTTTCACACACCGGAAATTGTTGATTTAATGGATATGAAGGTTTGTTTGAAGAAGAAATATTTTTATAAATCTTTAGGTATTTGTTGACACTGATTCTGATACTAGATTGGCCCGCCGTTTACAAAGAGATATTTCTGAAAGGGTATTTAATTTTTGATAAAAATTTTTTTGTGGTGTTTATCAAGGGCGTATCCAGGGGGGGGCTGGGGGGGGCTAGAGCCCCCCCCCTCGAAATGGGGGAAAGGGGGAAAAAATTAAGAGAAGGATGGTCGAAAAAGTGAAATTTTTTCGCCTACAACCCTCAAATTTTAAAAAATTTTCGCCTGCGGCGCAAAAAATGGAAGAAATCTGGCTTCTTGAGCTCCAAAATCCTCAAAATTTTCGCCTGCGGCGCTAAAAAGTGAACTTTTTTGGCCTACGGCCCTCCAAATTCAAAAAATTTTCGCCTGCGGCGCTGAAAAAGTGAAATTTTTTGGCCTACGGCCCTCTAAAATTCAAAAAATTTTCGCCTGCGGCGCTGAAAAGATGAAAATTTATGTACAAAAAAATTTGCGTTCGGAACGCCAAGGTAAACGCCAAAAATTTTTGCGCCCACCCAGTGTTACCCCCCCCCCGAAACCGACACCCTGGATACGCCCTTGGTGTTTATAGGTTATATTTTCAAAATATATTTTTGGAATATACCCGTATTTCTTCTTATAGTCCGACTCCCTCTATTAGACCGACCCCTTCTAATAAACCGACCCCCTAGAGGAAGGTGAAAAATAAACCGACCGGTCGCATTATTAGAAGAAATACGTTATGTTAGTATTTTTTTCTAAATAATGAGAATTTATATTTATTTAAAGAGTAACTCACGAATAACTATTAATTTTAAGGGAAGGGACGTCGCTGGTGTTTTAGATCAATATATAAAATTTGTGAAACCAGCGTTTGATTCTTTTATTGCTCCATGTATTTTTTCAAATTTTTAATTTAAATTTGGAATTTTCTAGCAATGAAACATTCGGATATAATAGTGCCGAGAGGAGGAGAGAATTTGGTAGCGATTGATTTAATTGTTCGGCATATTAAAAATCAACTTACTGAACGAGGTTATTTAAAAAAAATATTTTTAAATATTTAAAAAGGTTATTATGGCTGTCAACACACTCGAAATGGTTCTTCCCCTTCCCTTCCTGAATCCCCTTCTAGTATTGAACCTCCAGTCAAATTGCCTTCTTCACTTCACATCATAAGAAATTGCTCTAGTGCCAAAAAGTTTCAGGCTTTTCTTCGCTCTTGGAAAGATAATGGAAAAACAAATATAATGGAAGAAGTGATGAAACATGCAGAATTAATTCTTCCTGAATTGGTTATTTTTTTTATTTATTTTAATTAAAAATTTATTTTGTAGATTGAACAGGCATTGAGTTTGTGTGGTAGTCAACATGAAATTGTGCAAATGTAATGAATAAATTAATAATTTTAAATTGATAGAAAAATAGGGGAATATTTTAGATTAAAAATTTAAAAAAAGAATGTAAATTATATTTTACAAACCCTGTTTTGGATTAAAATACCTTGGAAAAATAGGAAAATCAATAAAAATAACCAAGGCATCGTTGGGTTTGATGTTGGCACAGTTTTTTGCTCTTGTCTGTTCTCTTTCCACCACAATATAACCAAAGCCGTTTTGTAACAAAAAAATCTCGTAGGTCAAAGAAAAACCCGACAAAAATTTTTAAATTTATTTTTATAAAAAATTTATTTAAGGCAAAATCCTGACAATGACAACAACGTTAATGGCCAAAAATATAATGGAAAAGTTTGTGGAGTTGCAATTATGGCTACTGGCGATTCATTAGAAAAATCTCTTCGGTCTTTAACTGGAAAATTTGGAACACTTTTAATTCAAACAAATGAGCAAACACAGGATCCAGAACTTTATTATTTACGTTTACCAAAGAAATTGAATCAATACAAAATTATTTTGATTGACACAACTGTTTTGACTGGTAATTTTCTTAAAAATGAAATTTTTTACAAATTCTTTCCTTTCTATGTAGGACTGGACCGGGTTCACCGAATCCCAGCTTTTTTTTGACACGGAACCCGTTCCGAAGAAAATTTTGGACCCGATCCGAAACCCGACCTGACTTTTTTCTCAACCCGGCCCATCTCTACTATCTATCCTATCTCTAAATTTTTTGTTTTAGGTGCTGCCGCAATAATGGCTATTCGAATTCTTTTGGACCACGATGTTCGTGAAGAAGATATTTTGTTTGTTTCTTTGCTTATGACAGAAGCAAGTGTTCACTCATTAGCTTATGCATTCCCTAAAGTCAAACTTCTAACTACAGCAGTCCATCATACATTAAATAAACAATTTAGTGCTAGATGTCGTTCAAATAATTTAGGTGAAAATTGAAAAATAAATTATTTTAAAATTTTATTTTTAGTTGAAATTCCAAATTTTGGTGCTGAGGCAGTTGGTTTAGTTACTACAGATGATGAAGATGAACGGGCAGAAACAGGGGTTAATGTGGCAAGTTAACTGTTAAGGAGATTTTTTATATTTTAAAATTAGGAAATTTAAAGAAGGTATAACATTTGTGGGCGAAACATTCTTTGTCAAAAATAATTTCTCTCGTATGAGCTAGAGTGTCGAATAAATCAAGTTCTTTAATTTCGTGAATATTTTTGATTTTTATGGAGTTTCGCCTACAATTGTTAAATTCGAAACTAAATTAAGAAAAAACTTAATTTAAAATCCAAAACCATTTTTTATACCAAAACTAATTTAGCAATTTCTTTTTAATTTTTAAAGCTTTTTATTTTCTTTCCATTTTTTCTAACCTTTTTATTTAAAAATATCCAAAATTTTCTCTTTTAATTTATATCTTTATAGTATTTATTTAAAATTTATTTATTTTTTATTTTCTCGCCATTTTTCTAACGCCACATTTTTGCTTCAAATTTTTAACCAAATTTGTTTTTCTACCTAAAACTTTCCCTAAATTAATTTTTTAAAAAATTCCTTTTGATTCTTTTCTATTTATTCTCGGTTGTTTTTCTTTTTTTAATTTCGAAATTTATTAAAATTAATTTTGAATTTTTAACCAAAAAAAAATTTCGAAATTTTTATTTTTCCTCATTTTATTTTATTCTGAGCAGCATATTTCTGTTATATTTTTCTATTGCCCATGCCTTTTTTAGTTTTAAGAATTAACGAGTAATTCGTTTTTGATTGTTAATTTTCTTTAACTTTTTAGAGTAGAAATAAATTTTATTAAGAAATTATTTTTTAGTATTTGCATAAACATCAGCAATAATATCACAAAGAAAATTATTAAAAGCTAATCTTAATTCATCCCCTTCTTTATCAATATTTGAGGGAATCATGTTAATACCAGCCATTTCTGTTGGGAGGTGAAATTCTGCAAGTGCACTATCATTAGTTTGTTCACTTGTGTGGTGAAGAAGTATAAATAAATTCCTTAATCGAATTCCATTTTTTAAAGCAAATTCGTTATACCTTGAAATTAAAATTTATTAAAAGGAGTTATCTAAAAACCATGTTAATAAATCCTCTCCTTTATTAATTTCTGGATTACAAACAAAAATAACCCCGTCACAACGGTAACGAATTGCTGGCCAACAACTTTCGAATTTTCTGTCACCAGAACAGTCCCATAACTCAACCTTTTAAGAGAAAAATTAATGTTTTCGTTTAAAAATTAAAATAAGAGAAGATTTTGACTTTCGGATATTTTTTGGCAATTTTTTGTAAAAATTTAGAGTTTAATTTTTCCTACCTCAGCATTAACTCTTTCTCCATCTAATTCAAGTTGATTACTTTCAAATTCCACAATTCTAACACCCTGAGTTGGTCTATAATCCTTTGACACTGCATCTTGTGAGTCAGCCAAATAATTTGAAATTGATGTTTTTCCACTCTTTAAATTTTTTACATTCAAAAATAAAAAATAATTATTTTCTCACTTTTGTAGGCCCCAAAACCAAAATTTTAACACTAATTTGTTGTTCTTGTTGCTCTGTTTCCCCTTCATTTTCTTCTAAATTTTCTTCAGTTTTTTGTTCATTTTCTTCTGAAGTTTTTTCATTTATTAAATTTTCATTTATTTCTTCGTGAAATTGTTCTGTTTCCATTAAATTTATTTTTAATATTAAAATAACTAAAATGAAAATAATTATTTTAAAAATATTTTTTAAATACACGAAAATAATTTTTTAAATTAAATTCTTTCAAAAAAATTTTCTAAATATTTTTATCCTCTTTTGAAGTCATGGAAACCATTAAGTGTAGCCAATAAATAAATAAGTGACCTAAAGTAAAAATAAAGTAGTTTTGGTTGACAGAATATTTTTGTTGAAAAAAAGATGAGGAGAATAATTTAGTAAAAATCTGTTTTGAAAGTTTGGATAATATTTTTAGTGCCATCATACAAATTGTCACTTTTATTTATTAAAAATAAAAAAAAGTATTAATTTCGCAAAAATACGTGAGAATTTAGTAAAAGTGTTTTTGCAAAAATAGCTTTATTTTTTTATTTAAAAATGATTTCTTTGAAGTATCTGGTGATATCTCGCTTTACTGTCTTCTTATATTTTAAAGGCAAACTCAACATGTATATAATCAAGGGCTTCGATATCTGCCGATGGAGGTTGTACTTAATTGAGAGAGGGTAATTATGTACATGAGGTTATTTTAATCTATTGCTGGAGGGGGTAATTAATAGAGGTGGGGGTAATTATTTGAGGGATGGCAATTAATTAATTAATAAAAATAATTATTTGAAAAACTACACCGTTAGAGTTTTAAAAATTATTTCAGATCTTGCATCTAAATTTTAGTTTTTTTCCAAAGTTTAAGGAATTATGGCTCTATTTATCAGTCATTCACTAAATTAATTTTCAAAAGTAAGGAGATAAATTATTTTGAAACTTAATTTCCTGATTGTTTAAAATTAATTTCTTTAAAAAATAAAATTAATTTATTTTTTCAAATCCTTTTACACAAATATACATATATTTTCAATTTATTTTAAGTATTTGACTCTGTCCAGCTCATTTATTCCCCATTACTTAAAGTGTCAAGTAGAAAAGAATGAAAATAGAGCCAAGAAAAGAGTAAATGGTCAAAAAGCATAGCCAATTAAGAAGAAAAAAAAACATTTTACAAAATTATTTATTCTCTTATGGCAGCCGACCCCCAAATAAAGACAAAAGTAAAAGTGTGGGAAATAAAGGAAATTGAGGGAAAAATGAGAAAGAGTGGCAAATATAATGCTACACAAAGGAAGGGATTTTGGGAGGATTTTTTAGAATTTTATTTTGTGGTCATTTACTAAATGAATTTATCTTTTTCTTTAAAAATTAATTGAAAAAGAAAAGATTTTGAATTAAATTGAAATTGAGATCAATTGGATTTTAAATAATTTAATAAATATTCTTCTATATTTATATTTTAAGTATTTTTCTTAAAAGATTCTAGGATTCTGTTTCGACTATCTTCTTATTTTAATAAACGATTTTTTAATAAATTAAACTAATTGTTACGATATTCTTCTATAAATAATCTTGATTCCCAAATTTTTTTTACAAACTAAATTTTTCTGTTATTTATCAGTTTTATTTAATTTATATTTTTCTTACAAATATTCCAAATATTCTTTTAAACAAATAAAAGCAACAACAAAAATTGTTTATTTTATTAAAACCAATTTCACAAACTAGTAGCAGTCTTAATGCTGTTCTATTTCCTTTTATGTTTCAATTTTTCGACAAATTTCTTTTAACTATTTATGTCCTTTTATATACATATTTATTCCGCTTAGAATATATTTTTACTTGTCTATATTTTGTTATTAACTAGTTACAATTTAAAGTTTGTTATCCATTTTAGGAAGTTTAAAAATTTGGAATTTTTGTTTCTATATTTTCATAATATTTTTAAAATCATTTGGATACTTAAGATTTTATTTAATCTTTATATTTAAAAATTAGCAAGCCCCTCTCCAAAAGAACACAAAAAACTAAAATAATTTATTTTACATAAAATCCATAAATTTTAAAAAATTTAATTTTAAAATTCAAATTCTTCCATGCCAATACTTCCATGCCAATACCAATTTTCTTTTTAGCCAAACGTCCATCTAAATATCCCCCCAACATCTATCGGTGTCCATCCTTTTTTAACCGCCGGTGGGCACATCATATAAATTTTTTCTTTCATTTTCTTTCCCCGACTGGCCCATTTCATCCTTTTTTGGCTTTATTAAAATTTTGAAGAAAAAATGAGAGTGAAGGGGGGAAATTACCCAACTCTGAAGGATTAAAGAAAAAAAAAAACGCTAAAAATGTACTATTTTCTAATAAAAAAGGAAAATTAAAGAAAAAACGGCTAAAATATGCATTAAATAAGTAAAAGAAATTTTTTTGGTTATTTAAAGGTTAATTTATTTAAATTAAAGGGTAATTTAAATTTTTTAATTAAAAAAATAGAAAATTAAATTATGGATTATAGGATGGCTTGAAAATTTGTCAAAAATTAATTTCGATCAAATATTTAATTTAAAATAATTTTGTTAATGGATTTTTTTCCAAAACTTTAAAATTCCATCATTTAAAGTTATTTTAAGTCTCCATTCATTCACCTGAAAGAAATTTGACTATTTTAGCTTATTTTTGTTTTCCCTGCATTTTAGATTTTCTAAAAAATAAATGAAGCGTTTTTCAAAATATTTACTTAAAAAATTTTTTTCAAATTTTCTCTTTTATTTGAATTAAAATATTTTTTTAAATTATAACTAGCGAGAACCCTAAATAATAAAGAAATTAATAAAAATTAATTTAATATTAAATGAATATTTCTTTTAATTTTAAATGTTTACCTAGAGGATTACAATAAAAATTTGTATTTATTTATTTGGCCAACATTTTTACTTTCTTTTTATTTCCAATTTTATTCTGTACTTGTTAAGTACCTTTAATATTACTTCTTTGCACTTAACAATACAGTGGGAATTGTTGGCCGAACTTGTTGACCTTTTCTTTAATGTTTTTCTTTTAAATAGAAAATATTCCTTCCGTTTATTGTTTATTTTTAAATTTTTAATTTTCTAAAAATTTTATTAATTTATCTGTAAAAACTATGAAATAAGGTTGTCGGTTCTTGGAAAATCTTCGGATATCCGGAACCGAACCGAAAAATCCTCGGTTCTTCGGTTCGGTTCGGTCGAGAACCGACAACCCTACTGTGGAAACCTTTATTCTTCCTCTAAATAATATTTCTAAAAAATAAAAATACCATCAAACATTACATATATTTTTGTTAAAATAATTGTAAGACAAGTGCAGGTGCAAAAACAAAAAATAATTTTTTTATTAAAAATATTATTTTACAAACAACAAATTAGTAATACTTAAATAAATAATTTCGCTGTTTTATGTTTATTAACAAATAATTTTATTATAAAATAAAAATTGTACAATATTTTAGTTATTTTAGTTATTTTTTGCTTGTTGATATGTAAAAAATACTTATTTTACCTATCTATATATTTTTGGTATAGGTAAAGAATCTGGCTTTTTTAAAAAAGTTTTTATTTTATTTCACATATCTCAACAAAGCAATATTCATTCCCTTTAATTAAAATTTTATTTTTTAACAAATTCCTTATTTATTTCATAATAGAAATAAGTTTCAAATAGAATAGTATCCATTAATCAAAACGCGGATAAAAGTTATGGCAAAAATAGGCGGCGTCAATTTGTCGGCGCCGAAATGTTCAAATAAAGCCTAAACCTTTGAAAGCCTAAACCTTTTGGATAATGAAGACAATTTGGCGCCTACAACAACTTGGCGCCAAGTTATTTCTCCCCTTATAACTTTTAAAGTTGACAAAATTTATTAATAAATCTTATATAATTCGAAAGCTAACGATAGTATAGGAATTATTTCTTGAATTATTTTTTAGAATGTATAAACTTTACTAAAAATTTTTGTAACGAAAATATTGGCGCCAAATAATCGACGCCGAATTGTCTTCGACCGCTCCCCTTATAAAACCTAAACCTTTTGACTTCAAATTTTAGCTGAAAACTTGAATCCAAAAGGTTTAGGTTTTATGGGGAGAACTGAAATGGACAATCCGGCGCGGATAAATTTGGCGTCAAGACAAAACTCGAATTTTTTTGTGTTTTTGTTACCTATTATTTGGTTGCGTAACCAACTCAAAAATAGAAACAAGAACAAACGATTAAGAAAAGCCTTATAAAAATTTTGATTTGCTTAAAACTTTCTGATTATTTTATCAAAACAATTAAATTTATTAAATAAATTTTAAAATTATACATAAATTATATTTTCTCATTTTTATTGTTCCACAATAATAACCTCAATTTAATGTCTCCATACTTTTATTCCAATTCCCGCGTCAAGTACCCGCTCCTTTTATTTTTGTATTTTCCCGCCTCTTTATCTTCCGTTATTTTTTCTTTTTAATGTCCAATTCATTGCGACACCGTTTATGGCCCTTTAAATAATGTTAATGGAAGAAAAGTGGAAGATTAGCCAAATTTTTAGAAAAATAAGGCCAACAAACTGTCCACACACTTTTCCCCATTTGTCTTTAAATTCTTCCGACAAAAATATACATAGAACCTCTTGACTTTCCCCCCATCTGGGCCCGTACTATAAGAACGTGGTAGGTTGGTCATTTAACCTACCTACGCCAAATTTCCCCCCATAAATCACAAAGAAGGGAGAAATGCTTGCGCCGAAAAAATAAGGAAGAGAAGAAAGAGGAAAAAGGGTACGGTAGGGTTGCTGGTTAAACCTTTTACCCTGCTATAGAGCAGGGTAAGCAATTTTTTAAAAAATCATGAAAAATTTAAAATTAGAGTAAAAATTCTAAATTAAATATTTTTAGATAGTTTGAAGTGTCCTCTATTTTTTGATAAAATTTTTGGAATTTTCCCTTTAAAAATCAATTTATTGGAATTTTTAACAAAAAGTACCTCATTTTTTAGTCATTTTTAGTGGAAAATTAGTACCTTGCTAGAAAATTCATAACTTTTAAATAAATCGGTCAAAATTTTTGATTTTTTGTTAAATCATAGATAACACTCCAATCTATATTTTGGCA